AACATACTTTACCCACTGTCATCCCGAGAACTGTAATATATTTTTATAATTTTTTTATACGAAAAGAGACCTCTTATCGGTATTTTTCAACACTGAGTTAGTGATATTTTCTAAATCTTGTTTGGTTCTCGAGAGCAGGTACATCTTTGTAACTAAAAAATTGCCAAGTTATTGCGCTCTGAAGTTTACGACTGTGTAACCGGCCGACAAAGGTCGCTTTTCCCGAGATCAATTTATACTAATTTAGCCTATTATTCTAGTCGATTTGATGTTTTGACCTATATCCTATTCATTAGAGACTCTGAGCCCTGAGGTACAGTTAATGAAACCTGATAATAAATCGATACTTTCGATCTTAATCGATGTTTTGGTGATTTTCTCAAAATTAACTTTGTCAAAAAGAGGTCACTTTTCGCTTTGCGCATCACAGATAGTTTTTTTGTATTTTGCAAAAAAAAATGTATTTGTGTTTGTATTTAATGTATTGGGTAATGGTCTTTTTTACTATTTTGGAAACTCGTTTCATACATCTACAAACGATTAAATATAATTATTATTTCCTATTAAACAATACGGTTTCTTTTATTAAATGCACTATAAGGTCAGACAATAGTTGTTGGATCGAGATGACGAACAAAAACAAACTTTGTACGTTTTAATATATTATGTCACGGGGTGTTAACATTTATTTTGAAACGTTATTTTTAAAATAATTTTGCATACACTATAATATAGGTAGACACGCAGTAACCTCACCGTCTTTTTTATGTCCTACCTGTTTCTATTACTAATAAGTAATAACTTACACATAATGATGTACCGAATATATCTTAATCAGACGCTTAAAGTGTAAATCAAAACTAGGCTTTCGATTTGAAGAAAAAAAAATAATTGTAATCCATCGCTTTTCTCAGATCAAGCATATTAAGCATTAAAATCAACAGTATGAAAGCAAGTAATAAAAATGTATTTTATATAAATAATAAAAGTAGTGAAATAAAAACTCACCACAGATGTGAATATCATCTGCTGCAGTTTAACCATAATATCCACGGCCATCGAAGTCGTCCGCTTCACTGCAGTCGTTTTTCCTCACGCACTCTGTCGCGATAAAAAAAAGCCCGATAATCAAATATGATATATTATTTTATCTTGACGTCTCGAATAAAAATGTAATAAAAAACCAAACCCTTATGCAAGGAATCACGTGGGTACTATAATAGTGTGCGGATAAGACTGACAGTCGAGAGCAAGCGAGCAACGGTCATGTTTGGGCAGCGGAGCCACCTTGTGCGCGAATGGATACCTCGTGGTGGACCGGAGACTGTATCAGCGACTTAAGGTGCCTCGGCCTAACTCCTCACACTCCTTTCTCACATACATATAGATGGTGTTCCTTATAACATGCCTACACCTACCGAAGCGACAATTCTTCCGAATTGGGCCACTTTTACACACGTGATTTGCTAGCCGCGTCTGGAGCTGTCAATGGACCGCACATTGTATCCGAAATAACCAGCACAGGATCAGTCATACGAATTAGACGCGTGTAAAATTATTGAGAAAAATCGTTCCCATTATTAGTCCAGCCGACGTTGCGCACAGACCGGAGAGAAAACAGCATTGGGGTGATATAGTATTAACAATATTAATTATTATTATAAATAAAATGGTATTATACATTATTATATTGTATACAAGCCGACGCGACACCCGAACGACAATACGAACAATATTGGAAAATTAACCATGTAATGTGCATTTATAAATTACAACTTTACCTATACCTACTAAAAAAAAAAACAAAAGTTATAATAACATACACTATGTTTTCATTCAAAACAAATAGGTATTATACGTATGAATTAGTAATTTAAAATAAAATGTCGAAAATTTAATTAGATAGAATAGAATGTCCCCGTATAATTTTAGAAATAGGACAAAACATCCTTAGTGGAATACCTACGTTGAATGTATCGATTGTCACTAGTCTTGGTGTATATTCAGTGTTATTTATACGATATCTCATGTGTATATTGTCAAAAATGCATAAGTATATAAACAACTTTAGGATAAAACAAAATTAAACATTTTTAGGTTTATTTCTGAAGCCTTAACATTTTATGAAGTCAGATATCTATTTTATTTTTTTAATTATAATCAGACATTTTTAATTTATATAAAAGTTCACTTTTTTGAGGTAGGAATTTGCCGTTATTATTTTTATGTGTTTGCTTGAAAAAGTTTAAGAATTTCTATTAATACACCGTGAAAAAGATAAAGAAAAAAAATACAACATTTTATAATCAAAAGTACACACCAAAAACAAAGTTGTGACCGTCTTATTATTTTTATTTACTTATCTTTCAAGACTTTACATCGTATATATAACAAAAGTGAAAAGTAAGACTTATTTGTGTGGAACACGTCAAGTATTTTAAGTGGGTATCCGTATAAGAATAGGTACACAATTTAACAAAGGATCAAAATCAATATAGTACAATTTTAGTATATATTGATTTAGCTTATAATTGTTTCTTTCCGCATAAAATACAGTCTATAAAAATAATAGAGCAATGTTGCTCATGAAAGTAGGAGGGAAGTAAGGTTATGGACTAAAAAATGAGCAGACTTGGCCATAATGGAGACATCACTACTTTGACAGCCTGACTTTTCGATTGACCCGTAAGATGAACTGGACGAAAATCTCAACAAATTTGAATTAGCTATAAGAAATCAACTAAATACGTTGAACGTTCTAATGATTGGACTATTGGAGTGTGTACTGAGTGGTGTGAATGACAACTGAAATTAGCAGACAAAAATAGGAGATAACCGAGAATATTGTGATGATCAAGTGCAAGTCTTGTTGTAAACATGTTTGTGGATGATAATTAAACATGAACTAATGTTTTGGTGATAAAATATAATCTTCCGAGAAAAACTCCCGGGTACACAACCGGCCGCCGCATGACTAGTATAAAAAAAAAACGATGCGGCCTGTTTAGAAATTGTTTTGATACGATTGCTTAATAACGATCAGAACGCTGTAGCAAAATAGATACATGGCAAGGAACTTTAAAATCGAAGTAAATGCGTAAAAGACAAATGGGTATTCGGACACGGTAATCGTATTAGCGTAGCAACGGCAAGGTGGTACAGATTGTACGCTGTCTGCGACCGACTCCTCCACCGCTGCGCAGTCTGGAATATATATATATATGTAATGTACTAACTGTACTCTGTAGCAAAATAAATAATGTTCGTTTCCGGAGAAAAAATGGACGATAAGATGCAATTAATTATATTTAACAATGATAATAACAATAGTAGATCAGATGAAAACGACCGTTAAATTTTGCATTTTATATGGTTGTCGGTGTTTTGTTAATATTTATTATTTTATGGGCAACTAAAAACTGTTGAAGAAGGATTAAAGAAGACGATCGTTAAAATGACATTTATACAGCTGTGCACCTCTGGTACGCGTTTGACGATAAACAACCGGTGTGGTCTGTGGACTACACATTTCAATTGCACATTGTACACAGCTATGTATGTATAAATAAAAAGTCCTATACCTACCTAATACGGAATACCTAGCAACACTACTAGTGAAAATGGAAAACAACATAGCGTCAGTGTGGGGATTTGTAATCCACAACAGTTTATAAAAGAAATGGAACGAATCGGTAATACTACGGCTTATTATAGCTAGGGAACCGCCGCGATACCCTCATACTGAAGCTTGTTGCTATGATGTCTCAAACGACTCATCTTATACGCTATTTTTTCATAATAAAGTATTCACTCAATGTGCGTCTTTTGATACTCGAATAATCCTAAATATTTCGATTACGACGATATTTCAAATGAAGTGTTTATTATAGTGCAACACTAAGCTAAGTCCTAATTCAGAACTTGTCTCAAAGTTAGAGCGAATAAAGAGTTTGTAGTTTTTTTTTAAACGAAATAGTGAATTGAAAAGTTGAGTGCTGTTTCTATTTAGAATATGTTAAAATGTGTTATTAATTATAAGCTATAAGTTACAACAATAGACATATTTAATAACTATAAAAAGTATATACAAATATGTCTGGAATATATTTTAACCTGTAGATATAATAGGCATGTATTTACAAGTATTAACGCAAAATATTTCAACTTTTTTTTTTAAATTACCATAACATGAAAAAATATTTTTTATTTGTTCAATATATTTAAAAAATAGTTAAATTTAGTAGTTTTTACTTGAATAATATACAATAATAATATTATTATCAATATAATAACATTATAAAAGAGTGATTACAATATCGGTATGGAACCATCGTCCATCGACCATGCATAAAAATAAACCACGGATTCGACTTCTGAGTACATACAATGCAAATTGTAAATACATAAAATGCATTGCAATGTATAAAATGTACATAGTTGACATATCTATAATGATATTTGATTTGTTGGTATCTATTTTTAATTTCATCATAGTTTTGTTGAATAATTAAAATTACACTATACATTAATGACATTAATGGGTTAAACTTGTATACATAATAGAAATTAAAAAAATATCAAGGTTCCTCTAAATAGTAGATAGATTAAACCAAAGAAGCAAAATTATGATGATGATGAGTTATGGTGACCATTAAACTTCAATCCTACTTGTAAAAAGGATAAAGCAGAATTTTTCCTCAATCAAGAGAAACCAGTCACAACCAAAAAATGGTTTAATTATTCATTTAACATTTCATTTGAAACTAAAAAGTAAACCTATTAAAATATGATCGTAGAACTACTGTCTATAGAATTAAATATGTATAGCAAATATATATTGGATAAAAATTGATAGTATAATTGTTATTATGCATATGAAAATGTGAATTAACCGTGACTTACTATCAAAGGACATTACCAAACAGAAGCATAATATCAAATATGTATGCATACATCACTATTATTCATAGTATTCACTGACAATAACAAAACAACAACCATTGATGTACAAATTCATTGTATTCTCTGATGATTATAAATGCTTATTAAATGTTATTATTAAGTAGATCATACACGTACAAACACATATGTATTATAATATAATAATAATAATATGTATAATATGCATATTATTTTTATAAATAGAACCATAGGTTTCATATTCCATAGACCACTCTTCTTAACTCTTTCCAAAACTTTTTATTTACACTTGTATACTTAAAAAAATAAACATTAATTTGTGTTTGACGATAATAAGCAAATGTATAAATTTTGTGTAAATTAAAAACATATAAATTATATTTTAAAGTTTAATTACACCAAATTTGAACGATAATCATCATCACTATGTTCTAAATGTGTGCTCAAAAATTCATCAACAGTATCAGTGTCCCATCGTTCAATAGCCAACACCTACATAAAAGAAAAAAACAACTTTTATAATGATCAAACAAAAATGAAATATATATTTTTAAACAAATTTATTTATTTTAAGTTACCTCCTGTACATTGCCGTTGTTATCCATAAGTTTGATAATCGGATCCAGACCTCTTACATATCTAATTGTTAAATTTGGATACTTTTTAGGTCGATCACTTTTTAAAAATGCTAAAACAAAAAAAAATTGTTTTTAATAAAAAATACCATTTATGTTTTGAAAGTTTAATATTAAAAATAAACTAAATGACAATTAGCTTGCATTATAGAGCTATTAGCACTTGTATTGTATCTAAAACTATTTATCTACCTAGTATTAATATTTTAGAAATATATTTTGTTTTTTGTGCTATTTTGGATTATACAATAGTGTGTAGATACTAACTACAGTGTTATACAGACATTGGGGAGTAAAACGGACTTCGTCATGGTCCTAAAATGAAAATGATTGCATACAAAACACATAAAATATTGTCAATGTTTCGGGATGGTTAAAAGGAAGTTATACGCAAAATTTTCTAGTGTTCAAATTTAATTACAAAGAATGCATTTTTATCACTCCGTGATGAGTTTATAACAAATTTCTTATTATAAAATCAAAGGAGCATTGTTCTTTTGGAGGTTAAGCCTTTTTTGTTTTTATAAGTATTTTCTAAAAAATAATTATTAGTTTTACAAAAATGTAAATGGCTTTTATCAAACAATTTATACTTGGTCGAATATTTTTACTGCTCATTTCTGTACTAAAACTATCAAGGATGTTTTAGTTAAATTATTGTACTAATATAAGTACATAATAATTTTAGCATTAATTATAAATACTGATATTTTAAATCAAAAGTTAAAGCTTTAATATATGATTACTTTTTAATAAATAGTCGTTATAATTTAGGATTGTTGTCAAATATTTGTATATTCTTATTTGTTTAATTAAATAACTAAAACCTTATTAGCGACAAATGTTTGATAAAAAATTACTTTTGTAGAATTAAGCTTTTGGTGTTGGATGATTTTAAACCTTTTTTTTTTATGGAAGGCTTATAACTTTTCCAATGACAGCATCTAAACAAGCGATTTTTGATTTAGTTATTTGAAAATTAACTTAAAAAAATTATATAAAATTTAAAAATATACAAAATAACGTTTATAAGTTGTAACATATGCCCTTTTAGTGCCCATAAAGAAATTGAAATTTCAATTGATTGATTTATTGATCATTTAATCTGATACCTTTATATATTTACTTTATGTACAATGTGCTGTATTTCTTTGTTATTCAAAATTATGGGAGTATTGAAAAAAAGGGTATGCTATATATTAATTTTTAAAAATATTTACTACTTCGTAAATAACTAGTCACTGTAAAGTCACACAGTTTGTAAAGTATGAAATATAATTTGTATTAAAAACAATTATTACCTTGTATTTGAGGATAAGCTCCAAATTTACAAGTGCACACTTCTAACCTTGCTTTTGCATACATTTTAATTGATTTTTCTTCTTTATCCATTTGACAACATTGCAAACAGTGCTCACTGTAATAAAAAACAAATACTTTGAACATTTTCCTGAACAAAAGGTAAGATTTTAAAATTATAATTTAGAAATTATTACAAGGCTCTGCAAGTTTAAAATAGACATATTTTTAACAACTAATACCATTAAAAAATCTATGCACCATCTGTACATTATTTTGTAAACGACACCTACTCTGTATATTGCCCATTGTCAGTATTAAATTATTCTATCAGTCTATACTGTGTTCCAAAAGAGAATATTTCGAGCCACGAACCTAACCAAAGCAAGTTGCGATGGGAGGTGCTAGGCGCGAGATGTGTGCCGCTGAACATAAACCGGTCGCCGTCCGTTATGTTCTCTTTTGGAACGCAGTATAGTCCCAAGTATATTATTTTAATACACACATTTTATCAAATGCATTCACATTTAATTAATAATATATTAACTACATAATGTTCCATACTTATCATTTTTAAACAGACAAAAAAGTGTCGCACAAAATTTATGTTTTTACCCAATTCAAAATTTCATAATAATAATGATAATTAACAAATAATTTTACTTGTAAAATTTGTCTTTCATAGAGATATATCATTAAGAAATTTTCATTTTTTGTAACAAACAACTGATTGCTTGAATATAGAGAATAAAACAATATAATACAACTTACAATAATTTTATGACTTGAATAGATAGAAAAAAATATAGCTTTTAGGTAATAAATATAACGAATTGTAGATCACATCATTTAAATCAAACCTTCCTACTCTAAACATATATTTTTAATTAAATTAACCTTTTAATTTCTAACACTCTTTGTTAATAGAGAACATCATTATATACAATATGTACTAATAATCAACTAAGTACATTTTAAATAAGGCATAATAAGTATCTAAGAATAATAACTAACTTAATGTTATGAAATAATAACTTAGTTCAAGAAAAAAACGACACATACAAAGTACTTTTATATCAAAAATAATTATTTTAACAATTTATAAATTATGAATACCTTAATGATGAAAGTTGAAATTTTGTAAGTTGATCGCAAGTAGAACAGAGTAAGTTGTCTTTGTTAAATCCTAGTTGTGAACAATCGTTAGCAGAGTACTCGCTATTGCAATAACTCAACTATTGAATATTGAAACAAATTTTTTTATTAATTTCTTATTTATTATAAGACTCTTCTGAAACATTAGTATAATATACTTACTAAGATTGATAGCATAAGCGTTATTAGTATTATTCTTTGCATGTTTATGATTAAGTAAATAATTATGATACAATTCGGTTATAATTACTAATTTAAAAACTGAATTTTAAAAATAATGCAGAATTGTTTTATTCAATTAATATCCATTTTAAATTTCAAGAAAACAATACTATTATTAAAAACGACTATTAACATATCAAATAAATTCAAAATATTTCTGAATAGTGAATTCTGAATATCTGATTGTTATTCTTATCACTAATACATTAACCATTCGATGATAAAATAACCTACACATCTTCTCCTGAGTATAAAAATTCTTGGACAATATTTCAGTTACCATTTTTCAATGATATGAATAATTATTATAAAAACTATATGGTGGTTTGTATCGTTCTTATAAATTATAAGTTATAACTTAACTAGCTAATCTCTTAAAATTAAATAAAAACAACCGTCAAGTCACAGATGATACATAGGATTTATATTTTTAATTAGTATTTAATTATTTCAAACCCGTTTATCCTTAACATAAAACATAGTCTTACATTATAAAACTCGTATTAATTATTTGTGTTTATTAAAATGATTACATTAGTAAATTTAGCATAAATTAATTTCCTATACTTTAATTATCCAAATAGGTTACTGTAAATTACTGTACATCATATATTACGTTTAAACATATTTTAATTATTACATATTATTTTCTGGTTTTATAGTCTGGTTTGTTATACCCAATTTCTCAATAGATGTACCTTTGGTAAAATGTGTATAACGCTTATCTAAAAAAAAAAAACAAAAAAGAATTATCCAAATATTATACCTACATGTTATCTTGATATGGTTGATTTATTTATTCTTATTATATTTTAAAATAAGCAGTATATAGTATAATAAGATAAGTATTATTGTTAATATATCATTTTAATAAATCATCTGTTATAATAATAATTAATGTAATAATAAAATAAAACAATTTTTACAACGCGCAAATTCTTTTGAATTTTCTACTTTATAAATTATAATATATATATACTCTTTGGTTTTTACATTGCCCGACGCTTCAGCTATCGTCTACATCACTGCTTGTAATCACAAAATGTATGAAATATTATCTAGATTTTTGAGGTTGGCTATTTGACAATGAACACACTGTCCTGTTACTTGTTTACTCGTCAGCGTTAACCCTCTAATAATTTTCTCCATCAGTCATCAGAAGTTTTTTAAGGATTTTGTTCTTTATATTGGTTCTTGGATAGTGGTCAAAGGTAAATATCACTTATTAGTTGTACGTGTACTAACAGCTTATTAATAACTAATTGCCTAATGACTGATGTGTTAAAACATTTGTTCCATTAGTTTTGTAAAAAATAAAAACCACGTGGCTTGGTAAAAACACAGTTTTGACTTATTAAATAACTATATTTTAAATATTTTCCAGCAAAATGCAAATTTTCGTGAAGACTTTAACCGGCAAAACGATAACTCTCGAAGTAGAGTCGTCGGATTCCATTGAAAATGTTAAATCCAAAATTCAAGATAAAGAAGGTAGTGTAGTATTATATTATAAGTAATAAAATAAGAGCGGTAACATTTTAAATTTAATAGTGATATGTCATAAGTTATTGTGGCTTAAAAATGTATAGTAATTTTTTGTAATAAAGGTTAGCAACTGATAATAATTTTTTTGAAATTACTTTTTCAACCAAATAGCCATTGAAGTAGTAAATGAGTTTATTTAGTATTGATTAAAATATTACAACGTAAAAACCTAAATTATATGAAGTTTTCAAATGATACATTAAATAAAATAACTCGTTTATAAGAAATGTATTTTGAAAATACTAGTTACATGTGACATTTAGGTTGATCGCGAAATGTGGGGCACTATCACTTAATCTGGTCTTTATTTTAAATTATCTTTTGAGTTTTAGACTTATTTTTTAACTTACTCTTAATTTTAAACTTGATTTAACTTTAAACCTGGGACCTAGACTGTAGCCTGCAAACTTAGGATAGTTTTAGTTAAACAGAGCAAGGCAAGCGAGTGTCTAACCATTGGTAACCTGCCGTCTGTTAATACAACATTTTTGGCTATAGAGGGTTTGATAATATACTGGCGGGGCAAGTAGTCACTTCAACAGTAACCATAATAATGTGTGGTGCAATAATTTACAAAAACAATTTATTCACTATTAATAAATCAACGGTCTAGTGCACAAGTGTGATCATTGCGTTTTTTTTAATTGTTCAGAAAAGATGTTAGAAAATTAATTATGACATAATGTATTTAATAAATATGTTCTCTATGTATATTATACTAAAACTTCCAATACACATACCAATTTAAGAGGGACCTAGGGGCCGCAACCCCCCCAGGCTTGTATTTAAAAAAAAAAATTGTATATTAAAAACAAAATTTTAATTATACTATCATCTACCAAATATTATAGACACGTACAAGTGTGTAGTTAGAGGTATTTAGGTACTTATTATCTTTACTATGGTATATTATTGCAAATTATTACTTAGTCCCCCCCCCCCAACCAAGTCTTTGGAGCCGCCCCTACACAAATTGTATAAGAGGCTATTAGGTAACTATTATTATACATAACTCAATTTCTAAAAGATATGCACTTACCACATATGTGCTCATGGTCGTCGATATTATCTGTTATAACAATTTGTTTTAAAATTTAAATTAAATAAATAATACATTAGGCATTTAAAAACTGGTTATCTGTTATATATATATATATATATTTTTTTTTTAGTCCAATTTTATGTTTTTTAATGTTAAAAATTAATGCAACAATCACCAAACTAAAATGTTGGTCTTATAATTTTAACCACACAAAGTTATTCAATTGAATTGAGAAACCTTGTCTAAATTTTATATATATGGCAATCCAGTCTTTATCAATAACAATTTTGAGCAAGGTGTGGCGCAGTAGTTATCTCTGTTGTCATTAGGCACCTAAGGTTTAGCTGTGTGTTTGTTGCCACTGTTCCTGAATAGGTGACCACCCAGGACTTTTATAGACAGCCCATGTCATGACACCCTCATGTGTCTTCCACACTTACCAAACAAAAAAAAAATAAGCTAATAGGTGAAGGTCTAAGTTGCCAAACCTGAATAAAAAAAAAAATCTCGAGTACAAAACATGACGTCTTGACCACTGCACCAATCTTTTTATTTATTTTAAGGATTTTTTCCTAAACAACCATATAGTCTGGTATTTAAAATTTTACTTTGACCTACTAAAAAAAAAAAATGCAAAGATTGTATAACTTTAGAATTAATAATAAGTAACTGTTTTGTTAGACTAAATAAATATATAAACACAACTTCAATAATATGATAGCATAAAAATAAATATTGGGTTAGTAAAATGGACTCATAAGGTATACTTTGGTAATATGAGCTCATAAAGTTTTTATTTTTCATAAGGCTGTGTTTTTACATAATTCTTCATAGTTTTTAATTTATGTTATGGAAAAAATACCATTGTTGAATTTTTTTTACACAATATAACGTCTAGCTTAATTTGTTAAATTACCCACGAGCCATCCAAATGCATCTGTACCAAAACTTAATATATTGAAAAGGGAATAAAACCTCAAAATTATTGTTTTATGGTCATTATAATTAATAAGCTTCTTTAAATTTTATAAATACACCAAAACATTGACATGTTAAATAGTAATATTATTTTATTTCATGCCCTAAGGAATCCCACCAGATCAACAACGTCTAATTTTCGCTGGTAAGCAGTTGGAAGATGGACGCACATTATCAGACTACAACATTCAAAAAGAATCTACACTCCACCTTGTACTTAGATTAAGAGGTGGAGCTAAGAAACGCAAGAAGAAGAACTACTCTACGCCGAAAAAAATCAAGCATAAGAAAAGGAAGGTTAAGCTGGCTGTACTGAAATTCTACAAGGTAATTTACTGCTTATAAAACTGTATTTGGAAGTACTTTTGGAAAATAGGAATATTCACTAAAACATAGTCATACATATTCATAGATTAGAAAATAATACCTTTATGTTTCATGCCTTACTTGACATTTTTTTATACATTTCTTTTTGGTTGATTTGTATTAACAATTTCATCTCTTTTTTTTTTTTTTTAGGTCGATGAAAATGGAAAAGTTATTCGTCTTAAAAAAGAATGTACTTCAGAAAACTGTGGTCCTGGTGTCTTCATGGCTGATATGCCAAATAGGCATTACTGTGGAAAATGTACTGCTACAGTGCCCAAGTAGTTTTTTGTATGTTTTAAAATATGAATAAAATTATATTTAACAAACAAAACACTCTGCTTTGTATTTACATAATTCTACTTCTAAAAAGTTAAAACCCAATAACTTCAGATATTATCCAAGTTATCATAATGTTAATTTAGATAGAAGGTTAAACTAGTGTATTTCCATTTACATAAAAGGTTCAAAATAATTTAAATACTATGTACACTGTTCTACAAGAGAACACCTTGCACAGAAACCAAAACACCATTACTCTAGTATGCGCATACGCTAACAAAAGTAAACAGGACTAACGTGTTTTGGTTTCTCTGCAAGCTCTTTCCTCGTGAGACAGACTATAGTATGCAACGTCCACTACTATTTTATCGCTAAAAAAATAATTACGCCATACTCGTCCGTGGTAATATGTAGTAAAAATTGTTAAGATCCTTCCTATATTTATAATATTTTATCAGTCTTATCGTACATTAATACACAATCGATTTTTTAAACAAACCCTTTATTACACCTAGAAAAGTAGGATAATTAAAAAATATTAATACTTATGTATATTAAAAGGGTGATGAAAGTATGAAACCTATTATTAATTATATGTTATCTTGACAACAACAAAAAGTACACACGTTTTAAATGTAATAATTTAGTTGAAAAAATTGAATTGAACCAAAATAAAAATATGTATACATCTAACATATAATTCAAGGAAGAATTTTTTACAAAGTGGCATCTCATTTTCACGCAATAAAATAATAATGTAAGTTCAATATTTTGACTATCCATACAGAAGAAACTATAAATAGTTGTTTACTTCTTGGCGTTCATCACTTTTGATGAGAATAAATTAGGTGAAGTATTGAGAATTAAAAAATATGTTATAGACAATTTTATAGGAGAGTAAAACACATCATTCATGAATCTTTACACAAATTGATGAAAAATTACTTATAAAAAAACGCACATTGATGAATATTGTAAAATGTTGCCCAAACGTAACTCCTTTACAGAAGTTTAGTACATAAAATTATTATGAATGGGTTCTTTTATTTGTAGTGAACAGAATTGAGCGATTTGTATTTTAAGTAACAAATGACAACTAATAAGTTATTGGTGTGATGTATGTGTTTGATTTGCTTAAGTGTAATTCTTTGTTAACTTTTTTTTTTATAACTGAATACCCTCATTGGCTTTGTGATCTCATTATGCGCGCACCCGTTTATTATACAAAGTTAATGTTGCATTAAGTTTGGTACCCCCCTGGTCTCTTATCACTAGTGGTTTTTTTTATTAACCTACCGAGAAGACACCTACTTAGAAATGGGACTACTAGAATTAGCCAGGTTTCTCGTTAGGCCTATTCGCCTATGTTTTTATATGTACCTAGTTTCAAAAACATTACTTACAAAATGCTGTAAAATTGACAAATTGTAGTAGGAAATATTTCCATAATATTTTAACAAAAATGTGTAACTATAATTTTAAAATATTGTATCTAACACTAGAATTATGGGAAAATGTCTATTTCTTATCAGTGTTATCACTTACCTATGTCTTGGTAAAATATTTTTTTAAATGTTTTGACAATATTATTTTAGATCTTTTATACTTTAAATAAAATGCTGTTAGCTGGATTTAGTTGAAGCAGGCCGTTTTCCTGAATTTAATAAAAAATGTCCCGATAAAAATATTGAAAACAATTCTATTTAACATTTCTACTTTTTTTTTTTAAGGTATATAGACTATCATCAAGTTCATAAAAAATGTTGAGTAAAAAACAAATAACGAATTATTAAAATACTCTACATGAAAGAAATATGCCTTGATTAAATTAGTAATTCGGCATGTAATATACAGAATAACTAATGCAGAGTTTTTAGTTAATATGTTATTATCAATTTTTATAAACGCTAATGTCAAAACCAAACATAAAATAGATATAGCGATAATTATTCAAGAAGAAGAATTTAAGATCAGAACTACCCCATAAAAATGTGGTAACTAAACAAGTGCATGTGGTAACTAAATAAGTGATTTAAAACTTTTGAATTTGTTTTGCAATAAAAAACGGTAAACTGTTTAAACTAAATCATCTTATTTATTACTCTACAATTTAATACGTATAGCACATGATTTTTGTTGGACAAACGTACTTACATCAGTGTTTCTCTGAGTAAATTGACTTTTCAAACAACAATAATTATATCAATAGGGTCATTTGTACATTTATAAATTTGTTACAACTGTAATTAGTTTATTTATTTATATTACTTAATTTAGTAGTAGTCCTATAATATATTGTTCAATTATATTTAAATTTGAAGTACAAACGGTTCCCATTGACTATTCGTATATAATATCTATATTCTAAATAGGTATATATGTATATTAAAGCAAAATAAATGACAACTATATATTATAATGCTTGCTGCCTGTTGGCCTGTTTGTGTATCTAAGTGTTTGTGTATCTATATGCGGAGGTGCGTATAAGGGCTCGGGCGTCCTGCAGCCAGTATAAGCGGGGATAGCACTCAACATTTTGTTTGTTAATAAAAATTATCTTAATTAAAAAAATGTCTTCTCGATCATTTTTACTAAAAATTACTACTTAGATAGAAAACATAATGGACAACGATTTGCAAAATTATTTACAATTGAATGCAATATATACGTTAAAAGTTAAAACTTAGATTTAGACAATCCCCACTTGTACTCCGAATTAAAAAATTAAAATAATTTGCTAAACAATTAAATCATTTTTTAATTGAGTACTAATAAAACAGAGAGGTTTTCCGGTTTTTAGAATCTTTCTGTTTAATCAGTAATGTCTAATGACCATTAAAATTGTTGGCTATTACGGCGTCGCACCGCCTATTTTTAAGGAGTAAAGTATAGGCAATTTTTCACAAAATCTTAATTTAAGGGTTAAACTGTGATGTGTAATTATTAGTTCAATAACTAGGACTCTATTTTGGTAGTTGAATTATTTTTCGGACTATCACAGCATCCTTGAGAGCGATGTAAAAAAAATGTCTGTTGAGTTGAGTTTTACGTGGATTAATTTTTCTCAGACTTCATATGGTTAAGGAATGAAATTCATACACATTATACTTTATATTTTATAGTTAAAAGATGCACATACCGCACTTTGAAAATAATATAATATGTCTAATTAATATGAAATCATGAGTGTAGTGAATAATATCTAAGAAATATTCTCGTGATCCCATTCCGTTTTTTTCGCTACGTAGTTTGATTGGCAGGTCAACAGAAGTGGTTTAGAAGGGAACGGTCATAAAAGACCCATAAAGGATATCATTTTGTAGCCGCGGCATTCTAACAACAACAATATAAAAAAAAACGGTATTGCCTAGTCAGTCGGCCCAGACAGTTTGGTACCAACTGGCGCGCATTTATGCATTGTAGTCGACACGAATTTAATACATTTCCTATGAATTGGTTTGATATTAAGAAACATTGGGCGAAATAGTCTTATACCGATGCTTTCTTATTTGAGTTTATCCCGAACCTACCAAATCACTTTGTCAGTCTCGACGACACGTTTAATTAGATTAAAGAAAAATAAAAAAAAAGCAATACACAAAGTTCAACTACCTATTTAACTATTTACTGAAATTGGGTTTGAATTGCTGTTAAAAAATTTACAAAGTTACGTTTTTTTAATTTCGACGAATAGTTAACTACGCTCCTATTATAATCTCGGTTGAAGACATAACCGAGATAACTGTAGGAAAGCAAAACATACCTTCATACACTTCCGTCAATATAACATTAATTTGAATTTGTATCTTTATACATTTCATTTTAAAATCACTATATCCGGATTATGTTATAAACGATTGATCGATATTTAAATTGTCAGATGAACGATTTTAAAATAACGGCTTTTAGTATGTAATCCGAAAACAAAATAAAATGTTATGTAAATTTAACTGAAATTCGTCAAATTCAAAATCAGATTTACAAAATAATAGTGTATTATTGAAAACTCAGAAATGGGGTTTTTATTACACAACTAAAAAACTTTTATGCTGTATTCTAAAATTAATATTGGTTTTGTGGAATTAATTAGAAAATTCAAATTATAATAAAAATAAATTAGTTTGCCAAAAACTAACACAATAATTAAAAAGCTGAGTGGAAAAAGAATACTAATACGAAAATTCGAAAAATAAACTGAGATAGCCATTTTGTAGCTGAAAGGTATACTTATATGATAAACGTATAAATAATATATTCCATTGAAACTTCATTTATAAATTATAACAGGAATTATAGCTAACTCCTACATAAATTATACATGAAATAAACAGTTTTCTTCAATTTTCAGAAGTTTGGGTGGTGACTGTTGTTGAGGAATATTATCCCTTTTCCACCCATCTGTTCAAATATTAAATCAATATAAAAAAAGTTACAGTATACTTAAAGCCTAACGGCTAAAATGGTAAAACATGAAACATGCTTATTGCTTAGCCTGCTGGCTTCTGTATAGTAATTGTAGAGTGAAAGTGTCAAACGATCCAAGTGCCAAAGTATACAAATTGTACTGTATAATTTGATTTGTATTTTATTCATTACCGGAAACAATTTTGTAAATTTTTCAAGTAAAGAATAATTATTTATAAAAAAAACAATCATATTTAAAACTCAAAAATATGTTAAAGTGTTTCCGGTAATGAATAAAATACAAATCAAATTATAAAGTTCAATTTTTATACTTTGGCACTTGGAACGTTTGACACTTTCACTCTTCAATTATTTCTGATCTTTAATCTCCTTGCGGTTTATGATTAAAGTATAGTCTTAATTATATGTTCTAGCCAGACGTTATGCATGACGACGACGATTCGTTATTATTTCGATGGCATCATATATGTTATTACACTTTTAAAGTAGGCGTGCTACTTTAGTATCGCTATTTAGTGTCGTTTTGGGCTGGGGAGCCAAGGCTAAAATATATTCTTAATTAATATGGACACTACGTATAGTATCAGTGGTTTACATTATGTAAAAGTCTAAATTCCTAGCAAGTCTACGAAGATCTTAATACGACCCCAACGATATAATTTTACAAGTATAAGTAACTACTAACTTAAAAGTATATAAAAACGTATTTAGTAGACGTTGAGGTGTTAAAGATATAATTGAGGTCGCCTGTGTAGTAAACCGAACCAGAAAAACGATTTTTTTTTGCTACCTACCGACATTTGTAATTTTTCGAGGTACAACGAGGCATTAAATGATAATAACATTTAGTTATAATACATAGGTATTTTCTTTAATATAAAAGCAAATATGCCGCCGAAAAAGATACAATTATTATTTTATATTGTTAAATTTAATTTTATACCTATATAAAATGTATCTAGATATAACAGTAGAGTTGGGGTTCTTCTTTACCTTCGTGTTATTTTAGATTATCGCACGCGTTAAGTGAGTTTTAAGGGTTGGACCTGTGCATCGTGGCCTACGTCACTCGCAGGTTCAGGTAGTCGGTTGCAGATGTCAAGTGATTACCGTATACGGACGCGCCAAACCGGCAGACGGCGTGGCACCAACATTTATCAGTGGCCTAACAAATTGACCTTTGTTGCTGTTTGGAACTCTTCAAGTAATAAAAAAAAGGTTCAAGACCACCCGCTGTCCGTTATACATCTGCTTTTACCTACTTAGAAAGCAGCTGGACATCGGCGTCGAGCTGTCTCATGTCCAAACACCGGAATCCCAAAATAACATTTTGTGCACACTCGTATGGCGATGGCCTATTTAGGTACCTAGACGGTAGACTTTGATATTAAGTAGCAGTGAAACGTTTTTCGAGTAAGTTTTCCTATTTTTCTAATATCGCAAAGATATTACGGATCGAGTATCTACGTAACGATAATCTTTAACTTTAAAAACTTCCTAACGCCTTATGCTGGTATAAGGAGTAATATACATTTATGATATAGGTAGTGGCGTAGTCAGAATTGGTCAAGAAGCTGGGGTGGTCTAAAGAACGGCCAGGTGGAGGGTTTAAACTCCTAACCTTCCCCTCCCTGGCTACGCCACTGAAAATAGGAATACCGAATATCAGTGGCTTCTATATTCCCCCCTTTCTATTTCGTTATTATAAAATTGGGACTTTTCTAGATTATGTATACAGCCTATGCCGTCTTGAGGCACTCGCCCTATTTGTCCCATCTTTCCCTTATATCACAGCCCAGAGTGATATTTTATTTACATTAATTAATAAAATAAAGAATCTAATCAAATTATATTTTGAGGTGGCCTAACAGCTTTAATACTGTTTGGTTTAGAGGACCTGGAAGGGTTGTAAATATTGGTCCTGGAATGTTTAAATAATCGTTGTATTGCTGTGCAGAACCGTGCGTTTGGGTCTCTTTTTAAGGGTATTGTCAAGAAATGTGGTTTCCAGAAATATGAAAACCACGCCCTTTTGACCAATCCAACTCCCTACCCGGCACGGACGCCTGTTTGTCTGCCGATTCTTTCGGTCACATGTGTGTTCACAATGCCTCGACTACCCTCCAGAGACCCTGTGGTCATTTCACTATCATCTCTTGTTCGGCTTAGTCGTCGCAGTGAAGTGTGCATACCTGAGTGCAGTTAGCTTGTACAAAATACTGTTCTACATGTTTTTTTCTGATACAACAACAGGAATACATATTACATCAGGTATGTTATTTTAAATATTTTATAATTATTGCTATATAAAATTAGTATGAGTTTTAGTATATAGTTTTAATACTCGGTACCTACTGTTATATTGAATAATCAACCGCTCTAAGTGGTTACATCTTAACTGTAATTGTATAATGTAAAACCAAAAATATCAGCGAACGGAATACTCGATCAGTTTTCACAATGTTCAAATATAAATATTTACTTAACGTTGAAGTGTATAAAATATAATAGACGTTGTGCTGAAATATATCAAATTTACTGCTGAGTTAATTAAAAAAATTACCAATTTAGTATTTGCTACACAATCACTAACTTTAAATCAATGTCATGTTGATACTTTTTTCTTATAATTTATTTACTTATTACTTATAACTAATTGAAAAGTTATGTTTTTTTTTTTAGATACAATGATTATAATTGTATTGCTGTTGCTGGCCATTTTACCTAACCGATTGGCAATGATTACCGGCGGATACGATGTACAGTTGGCTGAAAAAAATTTAATGATGAAATTAGGTAATGTATTAGTATTTTTTTACTGTTAAATTGGATTATTTTTTTTAGTTTTATCGCGGGGAATTTAAAATTTTCCAAATATAATTTAAATAATAAATATATATTATTTTATTTCGTTAGGTTTGAGCAAGAGGCCTGTGGTGGACAAAAATTTAGATATACCGTCTGCTACGATGGATCTCTACAAATCGATGCTGAGAGAAAACACGGACACTACAAATTTGCCTCTTCCCGGCTTACACACTAAATCCGCCAACACAGCCAGGACTTTTGTCGACAAAGGTAATTTTTAGAACTCTGGATTTTGGCCTTTAAATCAGGGTTTTTTATCCACACCTATAACGGTTAAAGCATATATTAAGCTATTAACCCCGCATCGAAGCTAAAAAATATATATATATATTTATTTCAGGATCGACCCCGTTAAATGCAAAATCGCAAAAATACCGTTTGCAATTCGACATAAAACCATTACCGAATAACGAACTGGTAAAAGCGGCCGAGGTCCGACTTAGCTACATCGACACTTACTTGACTTACGACTACGTCCACATACTGATTCATGATATAGTTCAGCCCGGCATCAAAGGTCAATCGAAACCCATACTACGGTAACTAAAATAAAAATTATTATTACATAATATGTTTTAATACAATAACGTGTTTACGCGAAATCTTTGCAATTTTATATTATGTATGAAGTGTACTAATTTGTAATAATATTTTTTTTTTAGACTCATGGATTCAAAATCGATAAATATGACCGGAGTTTTAAAAACTGAGTTCATTAGTTTTGACGTGACACCAGCTCTAGAAAGACTCTCGGAAGACAATTTTGAAAACAACCATGGCATGCTCATACAGTGTTTGATGTCAACTGGTCGGGCACCGTTAAACGGCTTGTTTGATTTTGAATCGGCGAGCAAACCTGTACTAATGGTTTACACTGACGATGGAACAAGTAAGAATTAATATTAATTAATATACTTTTGTCATAAATTATACAGGGTAGGCCAGAAAAAATATCGCGCAAGTCTAGTATATAAAGTACAATATTAGCCCAGGACACCTCGACCCCTCCCCCTCCGTAAATACTCCATTGAACTATATAAAAAATTCCCTGGTTGTATTCAAAATATACTCATAAGACATGTTGAAAATGTTTAAGTTATCTGCGTACTTATCTTAGAAAATAATACAAAGTCGTTGATGCATTTACGAAACGTATATTATTTAGCCTGGACTGATAAAAAGGGTTTATTATACATACAATATTGTTGTATAATTGATTTAAACAAATTGCTTTCGGTATATTTTTGATTTCGAGTGATTATACATATATATTGATCTGGCTTAACAGCTCTTTGTATTGAACTTGTCAAAATTACCTCTCTTACTCAGTTCTATGTATACAATCAGTTATCAGAGTTAGGAATTATTTAAAAAATGTATTCTAATAACATTTTTACACGTATGTTAGGTATTTTTAGTTACCAAAATTTCATCTTTATAAGTTTAGAAATTATGTTATCTCAACAAAAGCACTTTTTCCCAAAAAATAGTTATTTGTTTTATTCCAAATTAACTATTCAAAAGAATTTTTTATTCAAATAAACTATTATCTTTTTATTTCAATGAATACGTTATTCGATTTGTTTTGATTGTTCATTCGTTAGCGGTTAGTTAATTAAATGTTTTTAAACCAATTACTGAAACTCTGTATAATATATAATTTTGTTTCTTATGCATTTACATTAATAGCATTAACTTAATTTATTTTACCTTTTAAAAGAAAAGATGAATTTTATTCCATTGAAATATAACGCCTACCTAAAGATATTTTAACTGATATTTTTGTGCGTTTTAGATAAGAAGAGTTCGTCGTCGATGCTGAGAAATAAGAGGTCAACAGACGAGTCGAGTTCCAAGAAATCGAAAAAGAAGATTTGTCAAAGGTATCCGTTGTACGTGGATTTCAAAGAAGTAGGATTCAGCGACTGGATTCAAGCGCCACAAGGATACGACGCTTACTATTGTCACGGCGAATGCACGTTTCCGCTGGCGAACCACATGAACGCGTCAAACCACGCGGTCATGCAGACCCTAATGAATTCCATAAACCCTGTGGCTGTCCCAAGAGCATGTTGCGTGCCAACCAAACTGAGGCCGCAAACGTTATTGTACGTAGACGACGAGGGTAAATTAGTCGTGAAAAATTATCCGGAAATGGCAGTGGAAGAATGTGGTTGCAGATAAAAATCAATTTCGAATCTACGATTAACAACAAGTTCTACTCGCACAAATCTATACGTAATGTATGTACAAAATGTAAAAAAAAAAAAAGTATATAAATGTAAATAATATGAACATGCATAATTTAAGCCATTATGTCAATCTAGTCGCTAAAAAAAAATAATAATTATAATGATTATACGGTAACAATATATTGTAAAAAAAAAAAACAATGTCATGGATTTTTTTTACGTTTTTTCAATGTTTCAACGTTTTTATAATATTTGACATGACACAAACTTGTTACACTACCTTTAAAACTATTTATTTATTTTTGTTGTTGTTGTTGAGCGGTACTGTCTAAAGTACATACTGTGTTTTAAATTAAATATTAATATATTATAATAAAATATCAAATACACAAAAAAATATTTTTAATTATTACGTTTTATTAACCTATTAACGTGAAATATCGCCGCTTCTTGGCGATTTTCAATTATTCAATGGACAATAATTATTATTATTGATCCCCAGTACATTTACTATCAACATAAATAGTGTCTCTCTTATATAAATCAAAATTAGAAAACAGCTCATCTTTAGTAGGTAAGTAATACCAGAATCAATTGGGTAATTTTTTAAATGTTTAGAGAAAAATTAAGAAAACAACCTAACTTTTGAACAGTTTCAAATGTAACTTGTGAAATAACTGCTTTAAACTATTAAAATTATGTTTATTAAAACATCGAAATTCCAGGTTAATGTGAAGGGGGGGGGGGTCTTAAGAGGACGCTACCCACCCATAATTTATCCACGAAAAATGGTTTTGCGGGGGACAAGAATGTGAGGGCGGTATTTAGAGTAGTCGTATACAATTTTTACAATTGAAGGGCTGCGTGGAAAAAAGATTAATGTCAATTTTTTTTGGAAATGCGATTTTGGTATTAAATTATTTGTATTGACGTATTGTATCTTTTATGCGCTCGAACCAGGGAAAAAAATAGATAAGTCGAGAATAACGACCGCCGGAAGTTTAGCCATACAGGCAAAATGTAATACGTTTTGAAATTAAAAACATGATTTTCTCAGAATTTTAAAAAATTGACATTGATCTTTTTTCCACGCAGCCCTTCAATTGATAGAGAAGAACTTTATCTACGGGGTAGCGTTTTTAGTTATTTGATAACTTAAGCACAATACAAATTATTCATTCGTAAATATTCACTTTTTTCCTTTTTTAATTTGCTTATAAAAAAATATTATGTATAGATATCGAACAAATTTAAACGCTACCCCATGTATAAAGTTCTTCTCTATAAATTGTGAAAATTTGGTAAATTTACTGTTACAAGGACGTCACACACCCGTTATTTTCTTCAAAAAACCCGCCTTGCGCGGATTAATTTTACAAAGGCTATAATTAAAACTAAGAAACCAAATTTGTACATAATATAGACAACAACATTGTCTGTGTTCTACCATTGCCTTTTGTTAAATATTTCAACCAGTTAATGAATAATTAATTAATTAAGAAAATACTTTTTTTAAAAATGATATAGCGTTGGTTGTATTAGGAATATCGAAAAAATACGGATGATGGAACACAGATCATTTTGTCATAAATAATATGTATGAATTTCTTTCCTTAACTATACATGAAGCCTGAAAAAAATTAATTCACGCAAAGCAGTTTTGAAGGGAAAAAATTGTAATTTATCCTATAGAAATGACTGTGATAGTCTGGCAAAAAAAAAATGGCAATCAACAAAGTATTCTCATTACTGTATTAATAAGTATGCATTATAGTTCAAACTCCAAATTAAGATTTTTCAAAAAATTGCCTATACTTTACTCCTTAGAAATGGCCGGTGTGGCGTCATCTTAATACTGGTTTCACATACTTGTCCCGCGCAAAGCAGTTTTGATGGGGAAAAAATTGTAATTTATCCTGTAGAAATGACTGTGATAGTCTGGCAATCAACAAAGTATTCTCATTACTGTATTAATAACTATCTATACATTATAATTCAAACTCTAATCTCTAATGTAATATTTTTCGAAAAATTGCCTATACGTTACTCCTTAGAAATGGCCTGGGTAGCGTCCTTTTAACGAGGTATTATTAATTCAAGGTGTTCCACTTATTTACTTTGAAATCAATTTATTATTAATTGTGGAAACAAGTTTAATTTATCCTAAACGGTTTCCGTTAGGAATTTTACAATAGGTATGATATAATTTACAAACATTTAGCCTTTTTAGAGCTTTGTTTACTTTTGAAATTTTAATACTACCCAAGTAGTAACATACACAAGTTATTATCTTTTTAGATCTAGAATAATGTATTCAAAATGTTGGGTGAAATTAAATACCCACATAAAAATTTGTATTTTAATGAGAATGGGTTATACACTGTTTCGGATTTCTGCAGTCACAATTTGGGAATGGCCTATGTGGTGTGGGCATAGGCGCGATTGCCAGTGATTCTAAGGTCTAAACGTGCTTGCATTAGGGGAACTTATAGACTATAGTACCCTCAATATGTCATGGTATAATTTGTTTACATGTATAATTATAGTTAAAGGTCTAATGCATAAACCTGTCCTGGTACTTAATCAGTTAGACATTCATTAAAAGGTAACATATTATAGTGATTTCTATTTAAATTGTTTAAAAAGTAAGTTTTTTACAAAATGTTGGCTAGTCAAAACCCAGTTTTAAATAAATACCTAATTTTAGATATATTCCCGTTTAAAAGTTTAGGAGGAAAGAGAGAAAATTCTTTTTGGTCAGCAAGGAACCTTATAAAACATGTATAAACAATTTATACTATTAAAGTATAAAACTACTATTCATTGTGGTATAAATGAGCAGCTTCATACTGCGTAGTGTTTTAAGTTTTCTGAAACCATATAAGTATAATATGAATAAGCTGAAGGACAATGTTATTTTACAAATGTATAGATTACATTTTATACTAATATACAACGATACAGGAAATCTGATATAACTTTCAGTATTACATAATTTTTAATTTTTCGTTGGTTAACTTATTTTAGTATTTATTTGATATTTTTAAATGATGATAATATGAAATTTGAATTTAATTAAAAACATACGAGAATTATAGGCTATAATTAGGCTCATTTATCAACTTATAACTTGTCATTGTTTTTATTTAATGATAATTTTTCACAAACGTTTTATTAATTTATTACAATATTACTTATTATGATACTATTATCCAAATCAGACTAAATAAATGTATTTAGTATAAGTAGCCGTAATACCGGGTCATAATTTCATATCAGTTATTAGATATTCAAAATTAAAAAGATAATCTTAAGCAAATGTTGATAGATATACCTGTACCTTCTTTGAAATACATTGAAATTAAAATTTTTTAATGTGGTGTTTGATAATTTTAATGGTCTTAACTCACCATTTTTCTCACCTTTGCTGTCAAAATTTTCCTGCTTTTAATGTCTCTTTAGCCAATATATATTTCTGGTGCGGAAAAGAGAAGAGAGAAAGACAACTATTTTTCCATATATATATACCTACTTATGAGTTATGTCTTATTTTAGAATGGGACCGTATAATATTGTGATTTCTATATTGTAACTTAAAAATAGTTTTATGTTCATTCCACAAAAAAACTACCTATTTCACATTATTTTGGTAATGTATGGTAATGAGTACCCAATCTGATTCTTCTTTTGAGATTGCACATTGTGTAGATTTATTATATCCACTTTATCACTCTTTCTCCTTGTTGTTATACAAATTAAATCTAATAAGAACACACCTGTAAATTGATAGATAGACATATAAATAGATTATCTTATTTGAATCTTAGAATCGAGCATAATATGATGGTTTTGTTTTTACAATATTCTATAACCTAAAACTTAAGCGTACACCTTTTTGTTTTTTGAACTTAAAAATCCATACACGCTGATTACAAAATTAATATTGAATTATAATATCATTATATTATGAATAACCGTTACATACGTTTGTTTCATTGAAAAAATAAAATACCACTGACTTATAACTATGGTCAATGTAGCACAAAATATAGAATAATTTCAAAATCAATACATATTAAATTATATTTTGTAAATTGTACATACGCCTAATAAACACTAAAAAGTATAGATTTAAAACTTGTGCAAACAAATTAATAATTTGTGGTAACTTGTAGGTACCAATTTATTTTTTAGTATTTTTACGCATCCTTTGAAGTTTAGGAAGGGTTGTGCTTCTTCATACTTAGAACGACAACTCAGCAACCTTATTGACAGAGTTAGCAACTAGATAGCAGTACCGACTACAAATAACTATGGTGTAGATATCGATTTGTAGTAGGAATGACTTTTACTCCTCAGCGGCTCAGCCGTTCTTCTTAGTTCTATCTTACTACTCTGACCTCTCATTAGTTCACTAGTCACCATGCCTTCAGCCTACATTACACGTGTTGAACAGTTCAGCTCTTGTCATCGACTCCACAGGTAGTATCCCAATATATAGCACATTCGTTGGGTTTTATTGATTATTTAATTAAAAAAAATAGATATCTTCAACTAGGTGTGATCCATGTAGTCCTCATTTTATCGTCATAAAATAATTCTAAAGAATTTGTATTATGTAACCATGTTTACTATGAATTACAATCAGTTTCGCAAAATTTAAATGGAGTAATAAATAGTAGATAATTTGACGAATATTGTATTTATTGATAAATAAAATAGTTTAAAACTCAATTATTAAAACATAATTCGTTTATTTATTGTTTAAAAATAAAAAATTATCTCAGGTAATTCCAAATAGTTTCTTATTTATTAATAAATTTTAGATAATTTTTAAAATGTATTTAATATTATTTATTAGACATTCAAACAAACAATAAATAAGATAACTATTAAAAAAATATATTTGTAAATAATAAAAATATCCTAAATGATTAAATAAAGATATTATATTACTTATATATTGGTTCATATATAAATAAAAAATTATTTGAATAATACCCAACTCTGAAAAAAATTACTATTTAAATATACTAAAAGTTTTAGTGTATCGTATATTAACAATATTTTTAGTTACAATACTTTTTATTACATTCATACAAGTGTAACTACTTAGTATAATTTTCTTCTAAGCACATTACAGATCCTCTTGTTTTTTTTACATTAATAAGCTAGAAAAAAATTGAAGTTGCTTCAAATTTTGGGTTTTTATTTTTTTATAAATTGCACCTATGTTATGGAAAATATAGGTAACCTATTAAAGAAGCATAAAAATGTATTGTTATTTACCGAAACTAAATCGGATAATTTTGTATAGCCATAATTTTGTCAAAGTTATTAGACTGTAGGCATGGTAAAAGTAACCAAATTCATTTTATAAGTAAATCTTAAATTCAAAAAAATGATATACTGAAATACAAAGGAATAGGTTAGTAATATACAAGATTTCTTTTAGAAGTTTAATTTTAATTAATTTACAATTACTAAAAATTAATAATATTATTTTCAACAAATAATGGTTAACCAATAAGCTGCCAAAAACACTCACAACCTTCCTCAATTAACTCACTGAACAACTTATTAATGATACTACTGAACAACATTTTTAGTAACAAATTGAGTGACGAAGAGAATTTACAGATTTTTGGCAAATGTAACAACAAAAATGGCCATGGACATAACTACAAAGGTAATAGATATAATTATACTTACTTAAAAGTAATAGGTGCAACTTTTTTCTAAATTATATAAAAAACACTAGATTAAGTCTTCTCATATGGAGACATTTATTTATTAGGTTTTTCGTTTACTAATAATACATCTGCTATTATGTTTGCCTTAAATAAATTAGAATCAATAAAGAAAATTATCAACTAATGAATTTTCATTATAGATATAACAGCTGCTTTCAATGAAATTTAAGTCCAACAGTATCTAAGGGCTAGTACTACTAAATTACAGTTAACTCGTTTGGTACTCGACTATTATAGCAGTTCACTTACTTTTTCAATACTTAAATATAATTGTAACAAAATTACATTATATTTTTCTATAAAAAGTAATAAACTTTGCGTTACGTTTTAGAGAAACTCATAACTTTTATTGATTTTCTTTAAGAATGTTATAGCATATAAACACTTTTTTCTTATTATTAGCAAAGTAGTATACTATATTACTACTATATAATATCAAAGCTGATGTTATGTAACGACTTATTTATTTATTTAATAATTTATGGACAGAGTCGAGATGGAGTAAATTAATTTTTGCAATATTTGATTAAATATAACTAAATTAATCGACGCATAAAAAAAAAAAACTTGTTACATTAACACATTATCGCTACTAGATGTTGAAGAGCTTCAAGTTATAATCAATGAATTTTGATAAATATGTCATTTTTTCAGTTGAAGTTACTGTAAAAGGTCCAGTTCATAGAGATACAGGGATGGTAATGAACATAGCAGATCTGAAAAATTATATAGATATTGCAGTGATGAAGCCTTTAGACCATAAAAATTTGGACAAGGACGTGCCTTATTTTCAAGATAGCGTCAGCACTACTGAAAATGTAGCAATATTCATTTGGAACAGTTTAAAAAATGTCATGGACAATCCAGATTTATTGTATGAAGTTAAACTGCATGAAACTGAAAAAAACATTGTTATTTATAAAGGAGAGTAATTGTTAATATTATAAAATAATGATTTCATTTTGTGTAACCTATTATTATTTTTATTTTATAATTATAAGATAATAATTGTTATAGTTAAGTTAATTATTTAAATAAAATACCTTTTTTATCATATATTTTTTTAAAAAAGTAATTTATAATTGAGAAAAAGACTTTTTTACTATCAGAAAGTAAGGACAAAATAAATAAATTATTTTTGAATTATTTTTTATCATAATCAAAAATTTTGAATGTGTTAACAAATGTCTTTTCTATTTGTTATCATAAAGAAGACGCCTCAAACAGATTATTGTAGCAAAAATAATGTGTTTGTATTTCAAATGCTACAAAATATTCAATGAACATAGACATATACGGCGTAATATACCATTGGAATGGCTATTAGTTCTAGAGTGTTTTTTTCGACTAGATTTAGATAATTCTAATTATTTCCTACCATGTTTGCAAATGGTGGTATAGTTGAAGATCAAAACTAAGATTTTTGAAAAGTTGCCTATACTTTACTCCTTAATAAATGGATAGTGTAACGCAGTGTCCTTTTAAGAACACATAATCATTTCCATTACGAGGGCTAAATACATAATTTGTCAATTACATTTTTTTACATTAAAAACCACAAATGGACTACAGTAAAATACCTTACCGGGTGATTATGCAATTAAGGTCTATTAATTTCATGAAAATCAGTCTTTTTCTGTTAGTTTATAATAAAAAAATAAGTGGCCCAAAACCTTCACACACTCTGGTCCAGTCCACCACTGCAAATAACTCATGATAACAATTGAGAGCATCTTAAGTAAATTCCATTGGGAATCAAACCTAATATAAATAAATCTATAACTGATCAGTATACCAAAAAAGGGATTTACTAATTAGAACAAAATAATTACACTAGAATGTAATCATATTTTTCAAAAGAAATATTTTATTGACTTAAATGTATTATACATCATTAAATAGTAATTTTTTATTTAATAAAAACAGTAGTCATAAATTGAGTATATTTTACTTATTCAATAAATGATCACAATATCACAATAATTTTATTGACTTAAAGTTCTTATTTAAACAAAATAAATGAAAAACTTAAATTGTATTAAAACAATTAAGCTGAAAAAATGAAAATAAACTGTTAGTTATATTAAAGCTTAAACTTACTACTTAACTTATTTTTAAATAAAATTTGTAATAGTGTTAAGAGCTATCGTCTAAGGAATCAGAATGCAATTTGGAGGTTTCTTCTGGCTTTTCGTTATTTTCTATTAAAAATCAAACAAAATACATTTTATTTATTAGTTTGTGTTATATATATATATATATATATGTGTTTATGTATACTTATATAATGTTTATTTATTAGTTAAAATTTAGAAATAATTTAATACTTTTATTGTTAAGAGGAACAGAAAGCGCAAAATTAGAAACTGATTCCAAAAAAAATTGTTTTTTTTATAAAGTTTACTCTATACTCCTCTTAAAGTGATAACAATTGTGTTTATTCTAAGCAAATTATTTTAAAAGATCATAAGGGGCCTCTACACTAGCATATATTAAGGCACATTGCATAGACAATTTTCACTAAAACTTAACATTAAGCTAACATTTTTGAACATATCGTCGTTTAAGATGCAACACCCGATAACTCACTTTTTGATCAAACTGAGTTGGCAACATTATTTAATTAAAAATTTTGCAGGGAATGGACAGATGGGCTCAGATTTATTATAAAGTCAATAGATAACGCTATAATCGAATAATCGAAAACATAGTTAATATGTTATTGAATGGTAATTGAAACTGGTTTTATTGCTCTCCTGAAAAGTTGAAAAAAGTGAGTTATTGGGTGTTACATCTTAAGCGACGATAAGTATTACCATAGGAAAGAAAGATCTATTTTTGTACAAAAATATGTTTCTACTTCAAACGTACTGTTCCTAAGAATACTTTGATATAAGTTTTGAAAAAAACATTTGAATTCTTCATAACATTTTCAAGACATAGGTCGTGGCACAATTTTAAAATTATTTTTAGTTAATTAATTATTCAATGTAAAAAACTGCAATTTTTAACTTTTTTAAACTGAAATAATTAATTTAAAAAGAATAAATTTAATTTTATGCCACAATCGATGCATGAAAATGTTATGAAAAATTCTAATGTTTTTTCAAAACTTAAATCTGAGTATTCTTAGGAACAGTACGTTTGAAGTAGAATGAGTTGTTTTCAACCAAAAATATGCAGGTTTAAGAGGTTCCTTAAATAAAATTTATTTTAAAAATCTTAAATTTTCAAATATCTATCGCCACAAAATTTTTAACAATACTGTAGAGTTATTTTGTGATAAATAATCTTTATAAATATATTTTTTAATTTACATATTATTCCACACGTTTTTCCTCAAATTATTACTATAGTATATTTTCATTTGTTTATATGGTCAAAGTGAGATACTTTGTAATAAATCCCTTCAATTTAACACTAAATTTATAGTATACACTTACAGACAAGATGCAAGTATGAGTGATAATTCAATTAATATAAGTGTATTTGATTTCGAAAGATTAAGCCGGATTAGGCAATTTCTCCTTTTTCGCACACGTCAACAATATTATTATTTAAAATTTTTTATTACTAAAAAAACTATTTCTGTTTATCGTACTAACTGATCTGATAATGCAATACGAAATCAAAACACAGATTTAAATTTCTCATAAAGTTTATTTGAGATCAGTTGTATTAATATTTCAACTCCTTTCTCCTATTACTTAGAACAAACATTTAAAAAATGTTTGAATTTCAAAATTTAAAATCAAACTTAATAAGCAATGAAACTTAGAATTAAAAAAAAATATTAAGATCCATCACAAGTAAACTTTATGTCTTTAGATTTATTATTGGATCAATTTGATTAAGGGGGGGGGGGGGTAAGGTATAAAATTTTTTTTTTTTTTTGTTAACTGAATGCATAATATCTCAAGAATATTGTGTCAAAATTTCAAGTCGATCGGAACAAAATTGACGACGTTATGAGTTGTCGGAATTTTATAGCTGCCCGGCCCGAGCGCACTATCGTTAACTTTAAAGCGTTTTTCCCACAACTCACGTTTTCAAAGTCGGTGACCCTCATAACTTCAAAACTACTACACCGATCCTTTTGAAATTTTGAACACTATTTCTGTACATAACTTACGAGGTAACGCTGGAGATTTTTTTTCAAATTTGTTAATATTTTTTATTTTACAATAACAAATTAGCCGATTTTTTTCGCAAAAATCGCGTTTTTCCCTTCAAAGTGTTCCCAAAAAGTGAAAAATTGGAATTTCAAAAAACACTCCCGGCGTTACTTGGGGAAAGCAATTATCTAACGAAAGAACTTGATTTTTTTAAATTCGGATGATCCAGCATCGAGTTATGAGGGACACTGCAATTCTACTTTTTTCCGAGACGCTTCCAAATAATTGCTGCCATTGCCGTATTTTGTAATATTTCTACATGAAAATATTATACAATATTCTTCGAATGTTATCCTTTAATGTACCATTAGTTTTAATAAATAGATTTTAACTGTCGTCAAAAAAAATTCACAAAAATTTGCCGTTTTTTGCACAAATTAACTTTACCCCCTCCCCCCTTAATTGATACAATGATTAAAAAATTATATGTTTTGTTTAAAAAAAACTGTCTGTGGTCAAACGACAAACCTAAAATTTTTAATTAATGGTTAAACTTAAATTACCTTCTAGTTTACTTTTGGCAATGAACTTTTGAAGTTTTTGTTTGTTAATTCGTCTTTTTATTTCTTTTTTTTTCTTTTTCTGTCTTTTCAACTCTTCATTTTGACAACCTCCAAACAGGTCTTTTTTTGCTGAATTTGGAATAGATTTATCTTCTTTTATTAAATTAAAGAATATACCTCCAGATGTTCTTCTTCGGCCACCATTCTACATTATAAAAAAAAAATTAAATATTAGATTCATAAATTATAACCAATATAAATTGTCACCATTTAAATAATAGAGAACATATTATAATGCGTTTTACTATTTTAAAATAAGACTATCGTATAATGATCATTGCTAATATTCACAATTAGTATAATTTAAAAATAAATCTAATAACTATATAAAGAAATAACATTATATTTTATACAATATTTCTTTTTAACAACTCGGTTCCTTGTTTTGAAGTCTTTTAACACATTAACTGCCATAGGTAGTGCCCGCGATCACAAATCAGTTATTCATCTTGGCAGTTAAAGTGTTAATGATTCAAAAAGAGCGAAAACCAGCTCAGCTCCTGAAATGGTTTTAAGACCCAATTATTGGGGTCATTATTTGCATTATTGCTAAATCTTTATCTAATTGTAAATTATACAATGAAAATTAATTTAACTAAATTTATATAAATATCCTAACCTTTATCATTTGGCCTCCATTAACTTCAATCAAACAAGTCTTGTTGTATTTTTCTAAAATAATTTTTTTATCTATTTTTGATATCACAGACACTGTAAAAAAATTGCATAATGAACTTCAATTGTAAACAAACACAAATTTATATTCTTTAGTTAATAAAATACCACAATGGATTACTAAACTAACCATGTTATACAGGGCTATTAAACAATTTTATAAATAATTTTTTGTAATAAATGTAACAGTTAATATGCCAATTGCTTTTTCTTAAATTTCCAAAATTAATTCTGATGGCAACAATGAAAAGTATATTCAATAATAAAGCAACTAATTATTCAGTATCCACTAGTAGATAATTATTTTTATGATATTTATTATTACATTAGACCACTTGTTAAAATAACAATAGAAACATATACTAGCAAGATAATACATTACCAAAATCCCTAAAGTAAAAATATATAAATAACAAATTATAAACATGTTAGCGTCTCGCTGATACAGACTATGAATAAAGCATTATACATTTTCGTCTTTCTTAAAAATTAAAATTAAAAAATATAAGGTCTATGCGAATGGTATAATACTTTCTTCTTATAACCAAAGAAAAGACATGATCAAAATCTAATCATTCAAAATCTACGGGGAGTTTTTATTCTTCTTATACAGCAAAACGATTGTGTGGCCTTTGTTCAATTATCAATAAATGAGTTCTTTATTGTAAATAGTAAATTATACCAATAAATAATAATAATATAAAAATTACTAAAATTATTAGCATAGAAGCATTTACATACTTACACATTAATATTTTATTATTTTCATGTAAATTCGTACATAATTCATCAGAAAACTCGTCAATAGTCTTATCAATAGAATCTTTGATTTTAGGTAATATTCTAGATTTTTGTTTAGGATCGCCATTATCTCTTTTATCTATAAAACCTTTAGAATTGTTATATTTGTAACTACAATTTGTATTATCATCTTTACTATGTTTTAATCTTTTTTTTTTTATTACATGGTTAGATTCTAAATCACAATTTTCCCTGAAAACAGTGAAATTTATTGTTATTACATAAATATTTACAAATAATTTTTCATACATAATTGATTTAATTTGGATTATACTTACATTGATGTTGTATTAACTTTTTGATTAGATTTATTACGTAAAAACAGTTTTCGTTTTCTTTCATTTTCCCTAATATACAAATTAACCAATATTATTACTAAACAAAAAAAATAGAAATACATGTTTGAAAAAAATATATATATTTATTCTCAACACATTAATTAATTTTAAGATGATAAATGTGCAATCTTTTACAAAGTTTTTGACAACGTCTCCCGTTATAGATTCCAGCCACCATCGTCTTTAATCCCAAAAAGTCAAACCAATGATCACATAAATATAAATTTATCAATAATATAACTTTTTATTTAATTTAAACATTCGCCTTTATTTCTATCAGATTTTACAATGCATAATACGTTTTTCAATCTGAAAAAATATTAGGTTTCTCTATGAAATGTTCAAAATAAAAAAATGAAAATGTTGACTACATCAAATTTGACAACATGAAATTCATTCGAAAATATGAAAATATTCTACAATCAATCCCTTAAACAAGTTGTAAAGTATCTTTAGATAGTATCAGAACACTTTTTACGTCGGACTGTTAAAAATAGAATGAGTAAAGGAGTTATTGAACAATAACATCTATATTTCCCCTAAACTATTTGAGTAACAAAGTGTGTCTTAATGTCAAGGAATCAAATTAAAGGAATTTTGTGCAGCTCCCTTGGACCTCTTTTAATTTATTATTACTCACATAAATACCTAAATTAAAATATCGGTGTTCAACAATTTTAGAAACCCATAACTGTTAGTTCCCAGAAAACTGGAAAAAACCCACACTCCGAAAAATATATTTTTGTTTAATCTTTTTATTTAATTGTATACAAGTATATTGGGTAAATAATGTCTAAGAAAATATAATATTACTTGAAATGTTGTATCTTTAACCTTCTTATTTAATCATAAATATTATATATATGATATATCTAGGTGTTATTATTAATAGAAGAAAATAATTACGTTGGCCTATAATTTGGATCGTCCATATCTGTATAATTAGAGGTTTTAGTTGTCACTTCTAGTCGGGTTAGACAACCTTCTATTTGTTCACCAACTACAATGTCTCTCCATACAGAACCAATTTTATGGCTAATGGTTGCAGGTTGTTCTTCTTGGGTAATGATGAAATCATTATCAGTATCCAAAATCAATTCATCAGGGTCAGACTAAAAAAAAAAGGATTTAAAACTAGGTATAATACAAATCAATTATTTAATAAAATATAAGAAAGATTACCTCATTATCAGAGTGAATAATTTGAGAAGGCAAGTCCATTATGATATTTATACAACAAAAATATTTATCACTAGGTTCTAAATCTTAAGTTAAGTTTTAATTTGCATGATTAATACCTAAAGTAAAAATGACATATTATTAATCATAAACAGCATCATGATTTTGTATTAGGTTTTCTAAAAAATGTTAGTATGAAAACATCATCATCAAGAACTTACTGGGATACGACCATGAGGCTTGCCAAAATAATATACATAGTTTTATCGTTTAAAAAAAATATTTAAATATTATAAGAGAGTACCTACCAAGCACTTACCAATGTTAATGGTAAATTAATCAAACGTCGAAAACCTACACCAGAAACAGAAATGCTGATACTTCAAACGAGATTCGATATCCAAAATCTAGTGAATTGTAGAAAATGAACTATAAAGAAATCTAATAAGAATGAAAGATAATGTGAACCGTAACAGTATTGGATTTTGCGGTGCTAATATCATTATCATTTTTTATCAAGGTTCTTATCGTTATCATTTTTCAATTAGAATTCAAAATAAGGCGCGTTAGTAAAATTTTGATATTTCATATTATTATAAAACTACAATTAACATTCAACATTGATTAAAGTTTGATCGAAATTACAAATAAAACGTTGATTAAATAATACTATAGCAAACATATTTTATATTAATAATTAATATGTTATAAAACTATTTCCAATCATTTTTAGGAACAAATCTGGTTTAGCTACCAAGTGATTTTTTTCAAAATGTGTGTTTTTTTTTACATTGAAGACGATAGTGTTTTCAGCTTTTACCGATCACACTTAGTTTTTGAGTTATAGCTAAAAACCCTTTTACGCGAACGGCCGCATTCAGTCGCAGCAACCTGCAATTGAGTACTATGTGTCCCTGGAGTCTGTATTAATATTTGCCAGTAATAATTCCCAACTCGAATTTTTTGCTTTTTGTTATCTACTCGTCGCCTCGGTCATCGCTGGCCATGGGGCATAAATATATCTTTGAATGCAGTCTGTTTTTTTTTACGTTTACACTTAAAAGCCTGACAACATTTCAACTAATTAGAATGGTCGGTTTTCAATTCTGTAAAGAGATATGCGTTCTTTGGCTACATTACTAAGTTATGTGGGATACAGATTTTAAAATTTTTGTATTTTTATGTTAAAAATGTTTTCTTTAATAACAAAAAATGTTCAAATTTATTTTGTTTAATTGCAAGAAACTGACTTTTTTTAAAAATAAAAAACGGTTTTCTACATAACCTAGTAAAGTAGTCAAAGAGCTCGAATCTCTTTACAAAATTTAAATCTTATAATTTTAAGTAGGCGTGATTTTGTCAGGTCTAAAAAAACCAAAATGGCTTTTACTCAAAGAAAAATTGTATAAAATAAAAATAAAACTTTGAAGCTTATACAGATTAGCTGGATAATAATTTGACATGGTCGAAATTGATTAAAACCACTTTCTGCTTAAGTATTGCCTATATAAAACTCCTTAAAAACCGCCGGTTCCAATCCCTTTAATATAAAAAGTATTTTTACTTATCGTTGTAGGTTATACTATTTATCATGTCTTTAAAAAAAGAAAACTTTCAGGATGTCAGAACTATAAATGTATAACAATTAGTAATAATAAAACAAAATTACATTTAATATATTTATGTAATAATTAATATAATATCTTAGCTTCAATGCGGAGCTGAGAAGGTATTGTTTTTAAAGTGATGTTTTTTTGTGTGTGTCGGGACCCAGAATATTTTTAAACCGTAGAACCAATTTCTTTGTGTAGCAACCCTATAAATACCTTGAAAGGTCCTGAAATTATGACAATACATTTTTATAGACAGACGATCAACTCTAATCGTATCCACCCTAATACTAAAGATACATTTTTAAACACATAATTGTCATTAGGTACAATGCTTTTATCGACATTTGTATTTTTATCTGTGAGCACTGGGACTCCCTTACTCACACACGTAAAATACTTTCTTACTGTGCTGGTTTATACTGTACCTACTTGATTTGGACTGTATTGATTTGAACCTAGTATAATATCAGCTATAATTCCTGTAGACCTGTGACCCCCGTCCCCACTATGCCCCAACCACGCTTTACTGGGTTTTTTTTATTCACATATTAATCAATAAGTATTACATTTATTTTATTTTATGGTGTACAAATAATACATGATTATTTTATGTACTTATTAGATTTAAGAATTATAATTAAAAATTTAGGAAAGATATAAAAACATTGTTAGTAAGGAGGGGGGGGGGCTATTTTATGCAGTTAATAGCATATAATACTTACTTACCGAATACTAGCAAACGTAATTTTGGTTTTGGTCAAGTTTTTTTTAAAATTAAGTGTCACTGTGCACCGCAGCATCGAATCCAATATTAAAAATTTTAATTATCTTTTTACAAATAGTACAAATCGTACTAACACACGTACAGCCTTTTTTATCGCTTTTATTAAATTAATAACCATCTACGGTATCCAACTGTAAAATAACACGTACCGCAAATAAAAATCATTATTCGAATATATTGACTCAGGCGTTTTCCACAACCATCCACAAATTAAATACTGTAGTAAACTATCTAGAAAAATAGATGTACTCCGTATTGTGATGTATACAATTATGGTCTACAGTTTAAGTGAAAATTTTAGACTCTTAGAAATATTAACTAAGAATGTGCATATATGTACGCCGTATTGTTTTCGGGACATTTTCGCATTGTTTTTGGTATTGGCTATCGCAACAATTATGTGGCCAAACGATCATTTGACGTCTATATGTTTGCGTCGAAAATTTGCAAATATTTACCATTTGTTCGATTATTATAGTAAGTTGATGAAAATCGATACAGGACATTTTGTCGAAATAAAACCAATAGTGTCGACGAAGGATGAATCTAGGAACTAGGAAAAAGTACGGCTCGCAATACACGAACTATACCCATGAGATATTGTGCTACGTTCGATATTATGAATTTGCTGGAGTTGCTTTTTTCAAAAATCGGTAAAAAAGATTTGACTAAATTAATCAAAAGTAAAGACTACACTGTTGTTTTGCTAAAACAAAATTGCATTGAAACGTTGAACGTCCTGTACCATTTCGCTATGTTGGACGATATGGGGCGATATGGCTCGTTCATATGTATGTAAGGTACTTAGTACTTACAATCGATTGACAAGCAGCAAATTTCAGGTAGACGGGAACATATTTTAAACGAACACCAGACCATTCATCGGCGACTTACAAAAATGCATAAAGAGCATAAAATGCAAGACCCAAAACAGGTACAACCTACACGGCGGGTCAGATTATTTTAACCTTTTGGTTAAACACTCCGTTCGAATCCAACGAAACAACATTCAATAGTGGGCTTCATAATGGGCTTAGGAAAGTCAATGGATAATAGAAATAAAAGAATCTATGATCTCGTGGAAAACGACGGCAATTGTAAATTTTTCTTTACTGGTCAGCATTTACGCTTATTGCCCATTTGAGGAAAGGAAGAAAATATGAGGCATTTACTTGTCGACTTAGCAGAGATGTCTGAATGGGAAAATCGCAAAGTTTGTTTACAAATTTAGGAAAATTTACAATTAAAATTTAAAAACACTTAGAAAAACACCTAACGTTAATAAATATGTCTTTGCGTCAAATTGATAACGAAAACAACCACATAGACTATGGCACCCATGGACCAATCACAATGAGTCCACAGAGCAGATAGGCGATTTCAACAACTCTGTAGTTTATTATGTTAAACGTATGATTAAATATTTTAAGACGATTCAAGGGTTGTCTTTGATTGAAATGCCAAATTCATTAACCTAAGTGCAGGTCAACAAGACACATGAAGTATCGACAAATGTGGATGACATTTTGTCACAAGTATTCGGATGTGAAACGAAGCTAGTAAGGTTCTGCAGTCACATCTTCTCACAGTACATTGCAGGATAAAATTGTATAAATATTAAATAATTACAGTATTTGAAGTGATATTTTCAGTTTTTATCTATTTTAAAATGCATTTAAAGTATGATAGGTACATTATTTATTATTAGCTAAGTGAATACTAGAAAAGAAATTTGATATTTAAATTTGTGCTCGATTTTCAAGAGAGTCGATTCTGTAGTATATTTAATCTAGTGATTCTCCCAAGCTCTCTATGGAATTATGATTCATATTTCATTGGGTCCGAACGGAGTGTTTCCAAAAATTTGTAATAATCTGACTCCTTATGTAGGTCGTTCTACATGTTTTGCGTTTTACAGTTTTGCTCTTTATGCATGATTGAAAGTCGTTGATAAAAATGTTAGTGTTCCTTTGAAATATTTTCCCACCTAATTGACATTTCATACTTGTCAATCGATTTTAATTAATATCTTACAAACATATAAATGAGCCATATCGGACCCATATCTTCCAATATAGCAAAATGGTAAAGAACGTTTAAATTTTTAATACAGAAAAATAATAGTGTGGTCTTTACTTTTGGCTAACTGAGTTAACTCATTGTTACCGTTTTTCGAAAAAAATTGCCCTATAAAATTCATATAATGAATCTAAATCAGAACAATAGGAAGTAAGGAAAGTAGGAAACGACAGTTATTAAATAGGAAACTAATTTCATCAAAAACAGACAGAAAATACTAATAGGAAGTCGTCTTTAGCATAGCCAGATATAAAATTATTCAAATTGCTTATCTGATTTATGGTTTCAATTATCATCGTGATGACTGATGACCCTTCAGAACCTATGTGGTGGTTATTTTTATTAAATTTTGTTTTCCTTTATTTGTAATATGCACACCGTGACCTGCTCGTGCTACGCCAGCATCTATAAGAGCTATTCACTGGAATTAGCGAATTTTGAAACACCGGTATATTATATTTATGGCTGTTTTATATTGCCTATATTTTACGCCTTAAAATGCAGGTTAAAATCCTTAAGAAAGTCGGTATTCAAACTGATAAAATTCTGACATTTTAACCCACAACTTATGCTTGGAAATGTAATACTTATTTAGTTGAGATACACTTAGTACATTGTGAGGTTCTTTTAAAAAAATGGCCTACCTCATAGGCCTACCCTTATTTTGGTACTTCTCTTTTCAGGAACTGAAATGATGTGTTACTATGTACCTAATGGTTTTTATCGATTTCATAATTGTTTCATTCCAGACCTTTTAACAAATCATACATTTAATTTGCGACGAGCAGTTGAGAAGGTATTACAATGGTGTTTGATTTACAGTGATGTGTTTATTTTTTTTCATCTGAAAATACTTTTTTTTTATGTTTATAGATATTTTAAAATATGTTTTTATCTCTAAAAAGGGAACAGATATTTTATATGGACATATTTTATAATTAAGGCCAATAAAACTTGGGCACTTGTTTTTATTTACATTGACGAACTTGACGCGGAATCGAAAACATAAAGCGTGTTATTGTGTCTAAAATATTTCCACAACTTATGTAGTCAGCTCTTTGAAGATATAGTATAATATCAAGTAGGTACATTTAGAATCAGTATAGTATGCCGAGAAGTTGTTGTTTATATGAACCACAGTAAATAATATTATAATATAATAAATTTAGGTATATTATTCATTAGTTGATGAAAGTTGTTTAACGCTGCAACTCATAAATAACATTAAATTATACACATAGAAAATTATTACAAATAAATAAAATATAAAAGAATAATAAAAAATACTTTGTATACATAAAACATAAAATAAACACTGTTGGCCGATTGTACAAATCATAAAATAATACGAATAAATAATGCAGATTATATAGTATTTGCATATGTACTCTAATAAATAGATAATAAATCTGAAATACTTAATGGTTTCTGCCACATAACAAAAATGCATTCGACAATTATTATTATATTAGTGACTATTGAATTTACTATACCAAATTTTAAACGATTTTGTTAGTGTTCGTATATTTTATATTATAAATGCGTTCTAAAATACTACAAGCGCTGTGCTAATCACGAGTTTTTTCCATTTTTGAAAATCTAATCAATGAATATAATACTATATTGTTTATTTTAATTCATTGTATTTGAAAAGAAATTACTCTTGCTAATATTTTTTTTTCTATAATAAAACGGAACCCTACAATTTCTGAAGCTACATTTTAAACATCGTTGGGCAACATAGGATAAAGGAATGTAGAAGCGGAATCTCTGCTAACTGAATTTTCGATGACACAAGTGTATTCACCCATGTCCGACCAACTAAGGCTATTCAATATCAGCTCACCTTCCGGCCCCACCTGTTAAACATATTATTATTATAATATACAAGTTACATATAACCTAAAAACCAATAGTTTCGCATAATTACATACCTTATGCTTTGGGTCAACGTCGAAATTAATAACCCGGTTATAGTTGTCCTTCCAGTAGTGTCTATACGGTGCAGTACCAGAAACCGAACACGGAATTACCACAGTTGTACCCATCATTTGCATCAAAACTGGACTCCATTTAGTTACTCTGGACATTTTTTCTTGACCACATGGTATGCCTCTACCTGGAAATCAAACGAATATCAAAAATTAAGTTAACTACAGTAACACATGAGAGTACAGACATAGTTTTAATGGCGCAATTAGAAGAGTTATAGAAGGACTAAACCCTTCCCCTCAGTCATCTGAAGCCCTTTCAAGTTGCTAATTATATCCTGTGTATACTGTTTTATTGATATCTTAGTATATAGGGCATAAGCCCCATCAACAATTTAAAGTAAAATGTATAACTGCAAAGTATTAAACCCGAAAATGGTATTTTCTAAAAACTGTAAATATTTGCGTACAAAATCTACAAGTATAATAATAAAAATGGCAATTTGTCAACAAAAATAAGTTCTCTACAATTTTTTATGTAGACTTATTTTAAACTTGGGTTCAATTTTTTAAAAATATATTAATGTTTCGTACGAAAAAATGCCATAACTCGCCTTCTTTGCGCTTTCTAAACTAGGGTTTCCCTTAATAGTTAAATATCTAATATAAATTGATTAATCTAGTTAAAATAAATATCCACGTAAAAATATTAACTATAGTTAGTTTATAGATAATATTAATTATGTCTAAAGAAGTACTTTGGACGAATTGTATAGACACATGTTCCTTTAATACGCATTTAAAACTTTATAATCAATTTTTTTTTAGTTGTTTAACGCTAAATAGTATAATTTATTATGGTACACGTGATCGTAAAGTGGCAATAAGTGTGTACTATATATATAACACTTAAGTATTGTTACATGAAAACATGAAGTGACATGTTATGAAATATTAGATGTGTAAAAATATTACGTGTTGGTTTTTGAGCAGTGATAAAAAGGTGTCGAAAAAAAACACTACCGGGCTCCAAATTCTAAACACTTTCCTGAATATACTTTATACCTACTGTTTTAGCGTTCAAGTAGATAAAATCATTCATTTACTGAACATACCTTCGACTATGATTGACACTGGATCACTAGCGATCGATTGTTCTCTTGCTTGTCCTGTACAGGTATAAACTCCTTGGTGATGTGGTTGAATGCAGTCGATGATATGCCTCACAGTCACTTTTCCAGCGCCTTGGTATTCTCCAGAATTTTCAAACTCGTTTGGTCCAACAGTTATCTAAAAAAACAAAATACTGTAAAGTTTTATTCGCCGAAAAATATAAATTAAAATATGAATAGAAAATAAAAAAAATACAGGTATATTATATTACACCTAGTTAATTATTCATTCAAAATTGTTTAACCAACTATTGTGGCATGTAGTCTATCAAAATTTAAATTACCTGATTAAGTTGAACCCCGCGATTCCATTGTGCTTGGGGCACAGGACTGCCGAAAACTGTACATTCAAGTTCAATCCTTTGTCCAGGCGAAGCTCTTATAATGCTCGGAGGCATCTCTTTTACCATAACCCAGTCTTTATGCTCGAAATTTCCCCTGCCTTTCTCATTACCTATCAAACAATATTTTATGACTCCGGGGAAATTGTATAACGTGTTTTCGGAATTCTTTATATTCTTATTAAAAGTAAATTACTGAACATAAGTATAATGTAAATTTTTTCGGTTCTGCTTATAATTTAACAAAATTAAAGGGAAATAATTGTAAAATATTAAATAAATCTCACCACTAAATGCAGATTCGTCCAATGAATTCTGAAAAACATACAAAATGCGATTTAATTAAAACAATTTTTAAAAAGACAAAAATGAATTGGAAAAAAGTATGTGTTTTGTTTAAACTATATAGAAGTTACGGTTTTCAACGATTATTACAAGTACACGGGATTGGTGTAGCAGACACGCGTACTTGCGTATTAAAGTTTAAATAAAATACAACCCTAGTTTTGTAGCATTATCGCAGAAGATTAATGTCAGGTTTAAAATTTTTTTTTTAATAATTTGTTAATAATTGTTTAAGCGGCGGAAAATTACTTGTTACATATTTCATTATCAATATCTTTTACAACGTTTTAAGTAAAATTACATTTACATAGTACATTTTAATCGTTTAATTTAACACGCGAAGTTCAAGATTTTAATGACATGGATTGTAAGGTACTTAATTCATGACCATTATTCGCAATATTCATAAATTTAGCACATGAATTTTTCTCCGATTTTATATTATTAGTGTTATTATGTAATATTTAGAGCAAAGTTGGGAGTTAATTTAAAAGATATAAATACAATAATTATTGTAAATTTAATACATTCACGTCACTGCACTATGCCAGTTTATATTTCAGCACAGCTGTGGGTTGATTTAAAAAAAAATAAGTGGTAGTAATAATTAAAGTATGCAACAATATATTTTATACTTTTATGCCAATACCTATCTTAGATAAATCTAAATGATCAGATTTGTACATATTATATAGTTGGTCATCTATACATTATAATATTACAAAGCAAACCCTATTTTAATTTTAATAATTTTAATATTGATTATATGTTTTTCTATAGTTTAATGAAACTCGTAAAATAAACGGTTTTTGATAATTAAGTCGCAGTCCACATGAGTATTTGAGTATTTATCTTCACAGGTCAGCGATAACATTGTTTTAGACGTCACAAACATTTATTATAACACAGGTAAACTCACAATATGTTATGACCTCAAGAATTCACTTAATTTTTTACCAAAATAAGGGCTCTGATTTTAAAAAACGTCAGAGGTTTGTTTCGGTAGGGCTCTAATTTTAGAAATATTTGCTTGATTGTCAGTGGGTTACTACATACATTTTTGTTATAAATTACTAAGTATTTAATGATTAAATTATTGTTACGGGAATTACAGTGTAATCAAAATAAAAAAATTTAGTCTAGCCGTGCTCATTTTTATTTATTCAAATCGCCAAATCTTCATATATTATATAGGTACCTATACTTGAAATGCTACTGTACATTTTTAAATTTGAATTGTACATCTAATAAGTTATTAACAATAAAATAAATGTCTACTAACCTCAACAATGTGGCTGACTGGTAAAATTGCTGCAAATCCAATACTCGTGAACGAGGCAACCCAGGAAAAACCCAGGAGCACCGCTGAATATCCCATGATGGCCATCATGTACTTAGCACAAAAAAATTGCAAATATTGGAGTTAATAAAATAATTAACAAGTTAAAACTTATTAACAAGTTGTAATTTTATTAATCTGACGTTAATTAATAGTGATAAAATATAACGATAAAACTTTTATAAAAAACTACTAAAAACTATACTTATTTTTAAAAATCAAAACTTTAACTGTTAGGTTATTATAAGAACAAAAGAAAAGAGCCTTGGCTTAAACACTTTGTATTGGGATGGTTTTTGGAATTGGGAGTTAATCGTAGAAGAAGACATGTTTCAGGAATTTGGTTGATACCGGTTATACGGAAATCGAGAGTATGTTGTATAGTATGTGTAGTCTTAGGAGTGAATGAAATTACACGAGGGTCGAGTTTGTCTTTTATACTCGAACTATTATCTCACAGTTCTAAAACATTGCATCAACCGGTGCAACTATATGGAATATATTTTTTTTATTACAGAGGTCAAGTTCTCAAAATCCGGTTTAGATAACTGTAAGATCCAAAAGAGTATAGTATATTAATATAAAAAAAAGATAATAACAATAATGAAGGTAATGCGTAAATATCTATCACTTTATTCAAATAAAACCTAGTTGTAAGTAGTGTCCTTAAAATAGGGTTTATGCAATCAAAATTTACTTTGAATAAAAAACGAAATTCTATTAGTTACTTTTTATCTAGATACTTCAATTGAGTATCTGTTAATATAATAAGCCAATTAGTGTATTATTAATAAGTATTAAAATGTTTAAATCTGATCACAATTAAAAGTCTTATTATTAATCATGTCAAATGAAGTGAAACAATTTCTATAACATACTCTTAATTATTAACATAATAGTAATCATATAAATGATAACTACTCAAAATCACAATTCACATTAACACCTTTTCTGATACTATGCTAAATAATTTCTTTATACCATTTTTATGTATAATTTATTTTATTACATATTTAACATATTGCGCACTTAATAAAATAGAAAGTATATTTAATTTAAAAAAGGATGATTCGAATTTTTATATTTTTATAATTTAAGACAATACTACTGGTAAGTTGTAACATGATGCAATAGTTTAACAATTAATTAATTAAATAATAATAACAAATAATCGTCATGATTAATTTTCAATATAATATATTAACGTTTATAATACGTAATACTTAATTCATAAATTTTATTTTAGACAATGACAAAGTCCTAACGGTGAACTTCTAATAACATTATTTTTAATAATAATTAAGAATAATAATTTAATGATAATACAATTAAGGTCACCACACGAGGTTCCTCATCGAGGTCCAGTATTTTTTGCAAAAAATAAATCACTAATTAATCATTTTTGACTTTATATTAATTAACTATGGTTGCATTGATATTTATTTTATACAATACACATACTATTATAATTTATTATTATAGTATAATATATAGGTTATACTAATACTATTGATTTTTAAATCAGTAGTACGGTAATGCCATAGTATGTCATGCCATAGCATTGCATAATTACTCATGCAGTAAGCAAGGCAACTTGTTATTCTCTGGGAAGAATAATTAAATTGCAGAACTTTAAACATTTAATTTTTTTAAATTATAAATACTATAACTTTTTGAATGAGTAGAAACTATAAAGATGGATCCATAGACATATTATGCAGCTAATGTCTGTTACAACTATTTGTTCGTCTTTTGTCAATTGTGTTATATTAATATTTTTAAAAACATACAACATGTATTGATACATGTTGTAGAAAAACAACCTCTTGTCGGCAAAGTTGTTTCGATAAAAAAGCTAAAACCTCGATTAAGGACGAATGTATCTATTTCTTAGCAAGTACCAATAATTATACCTTGGAGTCTACTCTCTAGGATTAGGATATAGGTAAAATTTCGAATTTAATCAAATAATAGTCTAAATTAGTATACATTTATCTCGGGTAAAGTGACCTTTTGTTGGTCGACTTGCTAGCCGACAATATCGAAAACTTCAAAGTACAATTAGTGTATCATCGTTTTCTTAGCAACAAAGATGTACCACTCGTTTTAAAATAAAATAAAAAAATTCTGAAAAATGCCGGCAAGATGCAACCATTTCGCTTTCCTAATCACATATAATTTGTCTACAGATAACATCAAATGAGTACAAACAAAGATATATATATAATTATAATGCATGCACATAAAATAATCTAAAATTGGAGTGTAAATTGTAATATATCGTTAGAATTTCAAATACTTGTTGTTTTTATAATAATAATGCTATTTTTAGTACATTTTACGATTTTTTATTTTTTAGTCGATTTTAGAATCGCTTATGATTTAGTAATAATTATTTACCGTATATTTTGTTAGGTTAAATAAAATTTCGTTATAATTGTTTACGTTTATTCAATATTCATACAGGTCTTAAAAACTTTACAGCTTATATTGTTTAACAACAATATATTGTATTGTTATTTAGTATTCCGTTAGATTTATTATATTTTTGTTGCAAAACGATATTGTGAAATAATTCAGGAACTTTAAATAACGTTTTCATGAAGAAACGTTGTATTATGTTCCGTTTCTTAGTAAAACGTAACACTATCGATAGAACGTTTAATGACTCTATTATACAGTTCTTAACTATATTCAAATATTAAGTAGATAACCTTTCGCATAAAACAATAAAAATGGAGGAATGACGGAATTTAGAAGCCGTGTCGACTTTTACATTATTAATCTATTTAGATTAGGTACATAGATTACGCCGAATTAATAAGTAATTTGATATTAACAGGGAGTGTAAAATTACTAATTAATTTAATATGTATAATATATAATTCTATGTGTATCAATTCGTATAATATGATTTAACACACTGTACAAATATTTTAAACCTACAATTTAATATCAATATAAAATATTATAAATAAATATTGTACATAATTACATATCAAAATTATTTATTATTTAATAATTGCAACTAATTAGTAAGTATATTTAGTGGAAGTATATTATATATTGTCTACTACAAAACTATTTGTTTTTATTTATTTTATATATTAATCATTTATTTTGTATTTCCTTCAATTGTTTGTAAAATATGTATTATACAACCTTATAATCATTGGTATTTATTATTAAATGTTAGTTTACGATTCAGAACAAGTAATGCATCGGTTCCCAGAGAGGAAAACGTAATCGTTCATCACCTGTTCAGGGGCGGGTTTTATCACTCACCAAGGGGGGGGGGCTAATTGAGGTTAAGAATTTACCTAGCTGTATTTCAAATCCAAACTCTAACAATCCAAAAATAGCTTGAAACCTAAATATTCAAATATCCATAAATATTAAATAACCATATTCTTCAATGACGAATCATAATACTTGCCTTAGAGAAATGGATAGCTTAGTCCCAAAGGGGAGGGGGTTACTGCGCCCTTAGCCACCCCCTTAAACCCGCCACTGCACCTGTTGATAGGACGAATAAAAATAAATGAATGAAAGTTTACTATTAAAAAAACGGAATATACTGAAAAGTAATCCCAAGGCTCTAGAGTTATACATTTTATTTGGATCTACTTAATTAGACAGCTTTTGCTTTGGCTCTTACTTACTAAAAAAATATGAAATTAAAGTCAGTATCCCCCTTAGTGTTAATTTATTACACTGGCTAACAATTTTTCATTTTTCATTTATTGCTTAACATTAACATAAAAACTCATTGGTGAATTATATTGAGCAAATATCTCCAAAACTAGGGTCAATCGCGAAAAAGTAATATCATTTTTAAAATCGGGGTCTGTAATCTTAGTAAAACATAAAATGTTTTTAAGGCAACAAAATAGTGTGTACATGTTACCCGTGTTATCATGTTACAATAATACATCTAGATAAAATAATCACTAAGGCGAGGGCAAATTTCTTAGAAGGTCTGAAGTCTTCTATCCCTAGTGTCAGCTTCTGACTCATTTCCTCTCGACAAAATTAGAATACCTTAACTAAATACAGAACTCGTATTTGATTTCCAAACTCAAGTTTCTTACTTATTCCGGATGCAATTAATATTCCCCAAGTATTGCAAAGACTTGGGCACACCACTGCTATTATTATAATACCTATACAATTTTTTGTTTTCCTTAATCCTTTTTTATTTTACTAGTAGACTATGAATACCTTTTATTTTTTAATGTAAATATTAAATTTATCATCGGAAAAAACAATTATGATGCAACTTAATTAAAACAGTAAATATGGATCCCGATTCGTATTATTGGCGTAAATCATAAACTTAATCGTTTTTCACACAGAACTGATTTTACTTTAGCTTGTATAATTTATAATACATATTTTATCTTTGTATGTTATCATGTTATTATGTCATTTTTTATGTCATAAACATCTTTATTGCGTTATTTTCTAAAAAATATTTTAAAATATAGTCTGTTAAATGGTGCTTATGTCTTTAACGTAGGTCATTAGATCAAACTAAATGGTAATAAATCATTATAATATTGGTTTAATTATTTCTTGTACTTTATAAAGAAGAGTAGAGCACAATAATTTTTATGAGATTTGTCATATTTAATAATTATCACAACATCGTAAAATAAACGAGAGATACGAACGGAAACAAATGGCCCCATGATCATTGATAATAAAATAATGGATGGGACATCAACTTATCGCTTGAGATAAAGTGATAATATTTTTTATGTTATATGGGGTCGTTTATTTTAACTTTTAATAAAAAATAAAATATAGTTATTAATCAATGATTAATGATTGTTTAAAACATTAAACAATTAACAAATAAATAATAATATAGATATTTTGTACTAAATTATGATAAAAACTTTTGTATTTTTGTATTAAATATTGAATTTTAAAGTAGTATGATATAATAACTATATATTAAAAAATTGATTTTTTTTTTTAATACTTACAAATAAAAACTAATATTTTAATTACTATGACATAAAACACAACAAAGAACCATGATACAAATTAATAACTTAATGAAAATAACAATAAATGGTTTAGTTTTTATGAAAATGTATGTTAATTTCATTAAATGGTTATGTAAAAACTGAATATGTTAATTATGTGAAGTATTAACACAGTTATACTGCTTACACAGTTCGAACTTAAAACAAATTTAACCCAAAATTCATGTGTCTATTTTTTATTAAATCCGTTTCAATATGAAAGCCATAATGCAGAATGCATCCATCCCACAAAAACATTAAAAAAATGAGATTTCGATACAATTTGATACAAAATGTCTTAAAAATAAAACAAATTTGACTGCCGCGCTATTTATCAATTTTTAAAAACCTACAGAATTATATGAATTTCAACCCGTTACTAATCGTGTCATTTTTGGTCACACTTAAATAAGTCACTTTAGACGTGACCGGCGTACATTTTTTACCTGAATCACAGTAAACAGTGTGACGCGACGTGTGACGGGTTAAATAATTGTTTTGTAAAACCTCAAATTATTCCCTAACACAGATTTGTGGGGTGGTTGCTTCCTGCATAATGCTATTCATATAATAACGATAATGTTACCAAATTTACAAAGAAAACTAAATCATTTTTGTTTTGTTTCCGTTGATTTTTGATATGGTTATTATCAATTACTGGTTTCAACTTTCATTAGTAAAACATGCAATAGTAAATTACTTTGCTACTTTCTACGAACAGAGGAAATATGGACATTTTTTTGTAAATAAAATTAAATAAACAGATAACAGGAAGGATTAGCATGGATGATTTAAATTATCCGTCATATTGCATTCAACATTAATACATTTTTTTATATTGGTTTATCAAGAGTGTATAAAACAATAAACCTTTAATCCACTTAAATTCTTAGATACGCATTTTATAATTTATTTCTATATTATTTAATACATAAACAAGCGCGTCTGTAAGATTTTAACAATAAATCATTATTTAATAGACCTAGTGGCTAGTTATATTTTTAATTGATCGTATGTTGATCTGGTGATCACATCATTTTAATTTGATAGTACAGTTGAAAATAATATGTACCTATATATACATTAAATGTTTCCGTTAAATATTGACGTAGTTCATTCATAAATAATCTGTGCTTGCACAGATATAGAAATAAAAAGTGTATGATGTAATATAAAATACGAGTATCATATAAGTGTATAAGTAGTATATGTGTTAAACATGCATGTCAGCGTTTTAGTTGTTTAATGCAGCTCAAGATACGTTACATGAATAATCATGTAATTTGAGAATTAAAAATCAAGGGCCTCTATTTCAAACATTTTTACCGAGTGTGAATTAAATTATGTATCAATTTTTGTTTAATTTGAAACGTAAATTTTTGTTTTCCTCAACATATTTGGAAAATATGTTTCTTATTTTTAATACTGATAAGCAAATTAAATGAAACACGTGCACCTACAAAAGAAAAAATATGAATCAATATAATAAAAAAATTGTAGCAAGCAGCTGATATTGATCCTGAACAACGAATTTTAATTGTATCACAGTTATAAAATAAGCGATTGCTCAATATTGAAATCCGATAACTGTATTGAGTGCATTTTGATTAACTTTGATGGACTCAAGCTATTTGCTAAGAATTCTAAATATATTTAAATAATAATTATTATTAAAAGTATAATTTAACAGGTTTAAAATTGTGCGTAGTAATAATAAAACAACGTTAAAACATTTGTTCGCTATAATTTTAAATCGAAGAAAAAATCAATGGCCCACCATTAAACAAATTACATGTAGCTTAACCATATACCATACAACATTGTTGTTTATAATAAATAAAATCATTTACGGAATCAGAGTACAAAATACATATTTAGTACTGTAACCAGAATTTGTTTTAGGCACTAGTTATTACTTACTATAAGGACTAAGAGATAATATATATTTTACAACAATAAAATAAACTCTATTGACCATAGTCTATACGAAGGAGCCGGGGCAGTTCTTAAAAGATATCTGACAATAAAGTAATCATTTTATAAGTGATACTAATTACGAATTAATATTAAAATACGTATAAATACGATGTAAGGTACTCATTTTTTAAGAAAATATGAATATTTTGAAAATTAATTTTTTTCTTTACTCTTAGCTTCTTGGGTACATATTTTAGTATATTTTTTAATGCTTGGAAATGTAATACCTATACTAAGTTATATTTCTATAACGAACAGATTGATGAAAATAATTTAAACACTAATATTTTTTTAAACGTTTTGTCTACATATTTATGGAATTAAAAACACATGTTTCCATTTGAAAAAATGAAGTCCATACTTTTTTTACGTTTAAAGGATGAAGATAAAAATAATCAAATTATTGGAAAACATAGTAAAATATACAAGTACATGAAAAAATCACAACAGATTGTATATTAACTAGTATATTTTCCTATTACCCTTAATGAGGACGTCATACTATCGTATTTTTGTATGTAAAAATTACTTTTGTTTTTCATTTTATTTTGTTTATGGTAGATGTACCGATGTTTTAAAATTCTATGTATTAATTCAATATACCACAAACAAATACATAGTTTGAAAAATACATAGTCATTAGATGGTTTACATTACTGATCAATAATAAATAAAAATTGAAAAATTGTCTGTTGAAAAACTTATCAGGTACTATTACAGACTCCTTACTACTGTGCTAATAATTAATGTACACTAAAATTTTAGTTCAAAGCAAATTTGGTCATTTTTTATTTAAGTAACAATAATAATTTGAAAATAAGAGTTATCTTAAATACATTTTCTGCATAAAAAATGTTTTATTTAAACAACATTTTTTTTGGTGTCTGTACGATATCTTCTGAACCGCTGAAACGATTTCTTCATGTAGAAACATGTAACTCTATAGATCCGAAATCGTATCTAAAAGGTACTTTATTCAGTAAAAAATTTGGAAAATTCGCCCTTTCTCCTTTTAAATAGAGAAGAAATGTACATATTTTTAAATTTAAAACGCTATAACCTTTTTAAAAATAAAAATAATTAGTTTCAAATTGACTTGGAATATTTTTTAGATAACGTATTATCAATGACCATTAAAAAATATTACAAACTCTTTAAGTAGGGGTAGAAACTTTTCCTTTATTTCTCATATCAAACAAAGTTTTATGCCTTTAGGTCTGAAAACTATACTGAAGGTAGATCTAATGTGAAGCTATACATACAGTTTTCTTAAATATCTGTAGTAAAACTTTTTTTTATTAAGGAAAATACCCCCAAAAAAGGTAAAATTATTAGACTTTGAGAGTAGTAAATTTCTAGGTTTTTCAAATTTTTTTTATAAACTTTTGGTCTAATATAAGACCATTTAAAAAAAAAAATTTTATCACTCATATTTATCGCAAAAATATATGTTTTTTATGTTATTTTTCACGAAAAATCGATTTCGACCCGTTAGCTCAAATAATATTTTATTTAAATACATTTTTATTTTACTTTTTTAATACCTTATTTTAAATAAATACTGATCTTATTTTATTATTTTAACCCTTTTTAATTTGAGTTATTATTTCTATCTATCTATTTATAGATAGAACATTGTTTAGACTTAAAAATTATTTTTATTATAAAACAATTTCTAATATATATTTGTAAAAAAAATGTATTTAAAACTATTATTTATCTTGATAAAATAAAAATACAATTTTGTTTATTATTTTATTACATGATTTGAATTTTTACTTAAATACGTCTTTATTTTTAATAATTATGTTAATTTATTTACTTAAATGAAGTCATCTCAATAATGCCGACGTTTGGTTAATAAGTAAAAATTCATTGAAAAATTGTCTATACTAAACCCCTTAAAAATGTAAGTGTCCTCATAATCTTAAACCTGTGATCTATCTCTCAATATTTAACTAGTACAAAATTCTACTATAAAAGTACTCACGGTTGATATCTTAGTGTTGCGCGCCGTCTAACTGGAAGAATGCAACAAGTCGTAATGATCTGACATTAACGGTCCCTAGGCTTTATAAGGCACAGTCTACAGCACTGTTTCATGACGCAAGCGTGGGTTTATGGGCTCAACTTATTAATCCTAACAAAACATTTCAATAAATTAAATACTATATCGGCCGACCTTAACGAAAATTGAACTAATCATACTGTTGGCCATCGAAAACTTCGCGGGTGGCAAATAACATTATTAGTTTGGGTCATAATTCAACAATTTTTCAATTGAATATCGATCACGTTTTGACAACGCACAGTCGAAAAATTAAGTGTTTTTAGGCTACAACCACGCACAATTCAATGAGTTACCCTCAAGGGAAAATTATTTTTTATTTGTGTAATTTCAAACGAACCGACAGAAATGTGTAATCTAATACTTTAAGGGGATAAGCGGTTTTGTTTTTAAGAAGTTTTGTTTAGGCAGTATTTATGAAAAAAGTGGTTTTAATAAATTTCGACCATGTCGGTTATATTACCGGTTAATTTGTATATGCTTCATGGTATTATTTTTAATTTAAATCATTTTGTCTATAAGTAAAAGCCATTTTAGTTAATATAATATACATTTTTTGTTCTATCGCACAGGCTGAAACAGTGATCCGATTATTAATCTGAAAACGGATTTGACTTCGCCATGAAGTTTACTTGAGATCGGTCAGCGTAATTGTTTGATATCTTATTCATACTATGTATAACCACGTTTGAACATAATTTAAAATATCAAATTTGGAAGGGGTTAAAGCTAAAAATTGATAAAAGTACCCTAGAACTAGAAGTGCAATAGAATAAAAATGATGTGTTTTGACCGAAGAAACCGACCGCATGCAATCCCCTTGATTATTAAGGGGATTGTACGGTGTACCTATTAAGGCTTAATAGGTACAATAAAGAAAATATGTATTTCATGTGCGTAAACGTGTAAGCATAATTAAACTCAATGAGTAAATCTACTAAATTTATAAAATGTTAATAATTAATAAATAGAAGTTATTAAAATAAATTGTGAGAGTAAAATAATCATCAGACAATTTGTTTTTAAATAGTACCATTTACATCAAAGCGTTTGTTAGAAAGTTATAATAACTCTTAAGACTGTGACATTCCCGACTACTTTATGTTCCACTAATTGCTATACCCATTGTCCCGATATTGTGCTGCCTTTATTTTTTCGTAATGTATTTGCCATTTTCATAATTAAATGAACGAGACTAATTATGCATGAAATGTGTACCTAAAAATAGAACATACCCAATTCGGATGCTAATTTACGATTTTAGCTTCGATGCGGAGCTAAGAGGCTATTGGTTTTGCTATGATGAGATTTTTTTAGTCTATAGGCTAACAATTACCTACAGGCCACAATTACTTTTTTTATACTGCACCAGCTATAATTTTATAATATAAGAACAATTTTAATTTTATATAATATAATTATTTTACTCATTTACGTTTGAATATTTTCCTACTTAAATTGCTTAGCATCGGAAAAGGTTTTATTAATTATAATGACAATTATTGTTTTTGTTATTTTCAAATACTAAAATTTAAATTTTTTTATGCAAATCTAATATTTTTATTGTTAGATTAATCATTTTTTGGTTTTTTTTTAACTAGTGCACTTGAAATGCGATTCAATGTAAATCGAATAGACAAAATGGATATTGTTCTTAGTCAAAAAGAAAGGTAGATCTTATTAAGTTTTTTTCCTCAATTAATAAACTCAATCTAAAGCTTTTGCATCTTAGTTCCAAACTGACAGTTTTTATGAATTTTTAATAAATAAATAATAATCATTACTTTTACTTGTATGTCAACAATTTTTTTGACATAAAAATTCTTTAGAAATTTATTTTAAATGTAGCTTTGATGCGGAGCTAAGAAAGTATTGGTTTTATGAGACCCACGATATATTTTAAGCCGCTGCATCGATTTCTTCAAGTAGCATCTCTATTGATCAGCAATTGTAACTAAAAGGTACTTTAATGGGCCAGAGATTTAAAAAGTTTACCCCATCCCCTTTAAAATCGAAAAAACTGGCGAAAAATATGTTTTTTTTTTCAACTTGGAATTACAGAGACATTTAAAACACAATTACAACATTTTTTTTATATAGTTTAATTAGCTCCAAATTTGTATGGAATATTCTTTAGACATATATAATATAACCGATAATTGTTGACAAACTAAAACATATTATAACCCTTTCTCTTAGAAGTGCTGAAAACTTGTTTTTTACTTTTTCCTGTAAACTTTTAGGTCTTAAGATTTGAAAATTAGACCGAAGGTTAATCTATAATGGGGCTTTTTTAACACATTATTGTTATTGCAATGCTTGTGTCGATTTGTATTTCTACCATTACAGATTCACCTCAAAGCGATTATTTTAAAGTGATTTTTACACTATCAAAAATCCACAAAAAATCCAGTAACTTGGGGATGTATTAGGGAAGAGGGAGACGTCACAGGTATACAGGAATCATTATAACTGATAAAATCACTTTCAAATAAACGTATCGACGCGAATCTGTAAACGGTAAATATTTTTAACTCGACAAAAGTATTTAAATGAAATTAATGTGCTTAAAGTTCTAGTTTTGAAATTAAATTAAAATTTGTACTCAATATAGTTATTACATTCAATTATTTGTACTGGCTAAAAACAAATTTTAACTTACTAATAATATATTAATTTTTGGCCGTTATACACGACTAAAATCGCCAAGTCGATAAATAAACTAATCTTCACCTAGGTTTTTTACTTTTACGTCAAATCGAGCAATTTTCTTTCTGATGAAACTTAATGATTACTTTAGACATTTCTTTTGTTTTTTTTTTTTTTTAATTTTTTTGTTTGTGTTTACTGAGACAGTAGAATTTTTTAAAACAGCGCGGCGATTGTTGGAAAAGCATTTGTCGACCAATTTCAAAAAATAGGTATGTTTATATTTTTATTATTTAAATAGTATTATTATTTAGTATAAAGTAGGAAAATATTCAAACAAAAATACATACAACTTTCTTATATTCTTTTATAGTGACTTATAGTTATAACAGTAATCTTACAAAAATTAAAAACAATTTTTTCTGTTAAATTATTATGTTGTGTTGTGTTGATATATTCTGACGTTTTTTAGGTAAAATTAATACAAAAGTAAATCGGTACAAATTTAAACATATGAATACAAATAATTTTATGATGATAATAATAATTTATGAAAGTGAAAAACCCGGTGTTTAATAATCCCACTGGATAATAATTATAGTTCTAATCCGTCTACAGGGTAATTAATCGGAGAGTCTCGTGTTGGAAAATGGACGGCAACATTAATTAAAGGCCTACACCAAATTAACATTATTTAGAACATGTAACTTTGTAAGCAAGACTAGTTAGAAATAATATTTCTTTGTAATTTTCTATTATTATTATTATGAAATATATCAGCGAACAGTTAACAGACAATTTTATTTATAATAACAAAAAAAGTCACAGCGTACTATGTTTGAATTCGAAAAATATGAGTAAATTATTAAAATGGGGGCGCTATTTGGCTGTAGAGCCGGGGCGCGTCGGGAAAGCTCCCAGTGTTTCAGTACGGACCTGAGGTCAGTCCGGACTACAATAATCCGTCGCTTCTAGTGTTTAGTGTTTTGTACAGTTTTGACTTTTGTTAACTATTAAATGCTCAAACGCATACGGGCATACGGCATACCTATTCTGATATTAAAAATACGAATTTACAATTATTTTATATACCTAGCTATATTACTGTAAAGTGTTTAAGAAGATGAACAGATAACTGATAACACAATAGTACCTATATGTATTTGATTATTAGGAAAAAAATTTTGTTAATTTTTCTGAAAAATTTTAGTTATAAAAGTTAAGTTATTTGTGTGTATTATTCTTGTACAACCCTCCCCAGAACAAGATTGAATGTACGCCACTGTATGAGTTTAACCTGTTGGAATATACTTTATTACTCCACTGACACATATAAGTTATTAATTTAATAAATTAAACATTCGGCTTCTTATAATAATAAAACGAAATTATATACAAAACAAATGTCTTCTAATAATTAAGAAATCAAATAATTAATAATGTAACAATTAAAATACAGAAAAAAAAATTATCATAAGATTTTTATTTGTTAAGTACTATTAAACCATCCAAGTTGTGCCAGATATCCCAAATTTGCAAGGAATTGCTAGTCCACTTTTTCACTAAATATGTTCAAAATCATATTAAAATACAATATACTTAAATTTTAATTTACAATTTGGGTTTTAAAATTAAGAAGTCTACAAAATGTGTTTGCAAATTAAATAGTAATTTAATAATTGAAAAAAAATAACAACAACTAATGTTTTACAACTTGCAATTTTTTTTTCGAGATTAGGTTCCTAAAACTTTATAGTAACTATTTTATATTTTAAGCATAAAACAATATTTTGTACTTTTTTGTTTATTAGTTAGATATATCTTTTAATTTATTACACGGGGACCCATAGTTGGTATAAATAATTGGTTAATAATTATTTTTATCCGTTAATATTTTATTTGATGCGGGTAACATTTTTAAAACTATTTTTATATGCATATTAAGTATTATTTTTTATACAACTAGATGACATTATTATTTATTACCATTTATTAAAGTGATTGACTGACTTTTTGTGTTAACATAATTTTATAATGCCCCTGTATAAGAGTATGAATTAAAGGAAAGTGTTTCCATTTTAATATGCAATTGCCATGGAGTTATTCTTACATACAATACAAATTTTCATAATTGTTCATTTTTCAACCGATCAATAAATATTAATAATTTTTTCATAACAACCGTTTTAATATTGTCTATGATATAATACAAGACTTTAACGACCTATCGCAAATATAATAAATAAATAATTTGATTTGTTGAAATAAATTTGTTGACGGTTGCTATGTAAATTATTAGTTGTCATTTTAGTAGCGCAATCCATGACAAATCAACGTTTTGTTTTAGTTTTGAATAGTTGTTAATTTTTAACATGAAAAGACGTAATTGGAAGTTTATCAAACTCTTTTTTAAATTACATACTTGATTTAAACCAGTAACTAGACGATGAATAATGGATGTTGGATGAATAGAAGAGACACATAAGGTATTAACTGATCATCTGAACGGGGTATGTAGCGTACATTAAAATTATTATTACTTTTTTTCTAGGTATTCTAATGTATCATGAACAAAACCCTATTTTTTAATTAACCATAACTTCGTTACTAAGTACAATTTTGAATGTCCACCAACTTACAGCTCTCTGAAATAGTATATTCATTAGTTTTGATTTTTGATCATTAAGTTACTCTTACACTAGATATTCAAAAGTCTATGTTTTTTATTTACAAAATGTATAAGTGCTCTGAAGACTCGCGCCACACTTTTTTCTATTTTGTCTACATCTATAAAATAATTGACAGTCATATAACATATCTTGTCTGATCTAGGCGTCGGCAGATGTTTTAAAATTAAATAAATCGATTGAAAGTTAAATGTAAACAGTGACCGTATTATTGACATCATCATTTCCAGCTTACAATATCTACTGATTTTTTTTTTTTACAATAATTCTTCGGTATAATCTTCTTTTAGTTCTTGGTAGGAAATCTTCTGCACAAAATTTCGATAGCCTAGCTTCATATAATGATACATAGAAGTTCTTTCCTTCATAATATGTAATTTTGATTATTAGGTATGTAAAATTATAACATATTGTCTCCAGTCTGATACCACGTACGCTAATCGCTATCTATTTTCGCGTTGCCGCAAAGTAAAACTTATCGCAAAAAAAACTGTTATTTTCCAAATTTTTTTAATTAAATTTTTTCATTGGTAGGGATTGGCTATCAGTTTCCAAGAGGTACAATTTCGACTGTTAATAGAACCATACTGTACGAAAATCGAATCCTTCACTCAAGTCAAAAGCCGTTTGCCTTGAAAGTCTTAATGATATAATACCCAAGTTCCGCGTGCAGTCTGCGTACAACCCAACTATACTTTTTCGGTAGGTTAGCTTCCATAATATGTAATACTTATCTCAGGCTTTAATAGCTGAAAACAGACATCTGAACAGACATTTCTATATAAATATATTTTATTCCAGTATATAAGGGTATAGCTCGTTAAGGTCCCGGCTTTAGATTGTCGACAGTTCGTAGAGACACTGCGATGAACGTGCGAGGTGTTATGTGAAGTAAGACTTTATAACCGAAAAACTTTCTGTTGCGCTGTAGCCGGTTACCGCTTGAACGACTGACAGTTCTTAGGAACCGTGCGATGAACGCGATATCGGAAAAGTGGAGTAGGAATTATCGTCTGAAAAACTGACTCTTGCACAGAAGCCGGATATCTTGAACAACTGACGCTCAAGTTCGGCTGGCTTTCGATGTTATAGACCGGACTATGCTGGAATCAAATACGGTATAATCAAAAAATAATAATCACAACAGATACCTATAGCTATGACAAGAATAGCGAATACGTCTATGACATTAACGTGCAAGAGATTCAATTAGGAAGTTTGGATATGGAAATTGGAGTACCAAGCTGGACTAAAATAAAAACGTAGCGCAATATCACTACAACAAATAGGTAATAAATAATAATAATTGTTCGATAAACATAATTGTAGTTGAGGCCTGAGAGAGTACTTGAACGGATCGACGGATGATGAAGAATGATAAATACAATAATAAGAGCAATAATCAATCTCAGAGGTTGTTACTATAATAATCAGAAGGTAGGAAATGAAGAAACGGAGGTATGGAATCATCAAATGGCAAATTGACAAGCCATGGTCTTCAGTAGAAACAAGATGTTTAGGTAGTTTAGAAATATTATTATAATTTAGTATCTAGCATTTTGTAAAGGGACTCGAATTACACCAGTCCAAATTTTAATTTTACTACATATTTATTTATATATATATTGTCCTGTGTATATTATAGTATACTTATTGTGTTTTATCTTTTGTGTAAACATATTAATTGCTTATTTATATGTACAATAAAATGTTTACTGGATGATTGACTCTTTTCACTTAAGTGCTTGACTCGGAAAATTCATAAAAATTGGGTCGCCTTTATTGAACATTTATTTTTCATATTGTTGTTAACTGTTCATTCATGTATTTTTATAATTAGAAGAAATCTAAAAATGTCCTTTTGTTGCGCGTTATAACTCCAAGTCAAGTACTCGCGGATTAGGTCTATGTATGATGATATAGGTAGGTCCTGCAATTTGAAATGATCATTTTTGTTTACTAGGTACTTATCCTCCTTTGAAGTAAGACATTTTTTTAATTTTTCATAGAAGCGTGCACGATGAACATGTGAGAGCTAAATAGCACCGTATTTAGTCCGAAAAGCTTACCTCACAGACTAGTCAGAAGCCGTTTCCGTGATCAACAAATTATATAATACCTAAGTTCCGTATGCAGGCAGTTTGAGTGTTAAACCAAACTATACTAGGATTCATAGTATGATTTATATAATATTTTATTGGACTTTTTTATTTGATTTATTATACTGCATTATTTCACTCAGTTTCTTCCAATACCTACGTTGTTCAAAAACTCAACATTCTAAATCTCGCTAAAATATATTTCGTATGTCTATTAGCTGTTGTTGCTGATGTTCTTTTTTAAAAGTTTCACTTCGTCAACTTTTTTCTTCCTACGATTTTGCAAGTTAATATTTCCTCTTTGTTTTCCATTATTTTATTTTTAATTATTGCTTCTACATGTATCCGATGACTTTTCACCCCTTTTTTGACTGCCGTTTGGTAAATTGTTCATTCTTTTTCGAAAATATCTTATTATATTTCCTATTCTTTAATCTCAACCACCTTGCACCAAATATTTTATTACTCAGACAACATAATTCGTACATTAGTTCATCATCAACACATTTAATTTTACTTTTTACTAATTCTTTCACATAAACTACTTCCATATATTTGTTATGGGTAGTAGTGGACAAAGGTACCTATGTCTTGACTGTTCATAGAAGCGCGTATGATAAATGTGCGAGATGTGCTATATAAGACCAGCGAGTACATCTGGTACATATCACATATGCGATCTGAAAAGCTTGCCCTACAGTCTACAGACAAGTCGTATGCCTGTTGTATGAACGTCTGATGATATTATACCTAAGTTAATTTATCTACTAAAGTAAAAACACCTCAACTATACATATCATTGAGTTTTATCTACCACAATAATTAGAAACATCATCATACATAGAGATACTACGTTAAAAAAAACGAGCCAAATACTCTACCTCATGGGTGGTTTGGAAATGAGTATAAATAAAAAATTATGTTATTCTAACGTCAAATAATTGAAATCTATCTATATACATTTTATATACACAATGACATTTTTTTTTATATTAACTTGACAGATAATATAATATCACAGATCTTAATTCAAGAAATTCTAACCAAAAATACTTTTACAAAATAAATAATTTTATAATTTTAATGACAGTAGTTAATGATTTACAATAAAAATTTAAACAATCAAAAACATTCATACATATATTTTATAATAGGTACTTCACGCACAATTCACGTACTGTTACACCATATAAAAAAACCCTAGCTGTAAATGAATGTATCAATACAGTTACATTTCATAATTGTTTCAATTAAATTTGTTTTTTATTGCAACGACTCTTAGCTGTTGATCTCAATTTTCTAATAATCTTACTTCTCAGCATGGACCGTTTTTATTTTATTGCAATTTGATAATATCATCAATAACACTTAAGTACAGCGTGTAAAACGGTTTTACTAAAACCATCCATAATCGTTTAAATGCGATGGCATTTACCAAATGAACATACCACTAAACTAAGTACAGTATTCAGTTCAGTGGTACATACATATCTATCAGTGGATCAGCTCGAATTAAATATATTGTATTAGTATTAAATTATTATATTAGGCATCAGCGATGACTGATGTATTTACAAGAGGTGTTTAGGATGATATATTATCCCTAACCCCTCAGAGCTTTTAATTTTATAAAAATATTATTATTAATCTATTTGTTAAAAAATTATATTAAGTTATAAATATTATATTTTTAAAATAAAAATATAGCCAGTACATTTTACTTAACTAACTGTTTTAATGACTTATATTTTTTTTTTATAAGGAAACTTTTAAAAATGGAAACAATATTTTATCCAATTAAAATTTAAAAATAATAGAAAATGTAAATAAACAAACGTTCATCAGTGGTATGCAAAAGATAAAATTGATCTTAAATTATAAGTAATTTTAATTATAGTATTTAATAGGTACATAATTCACCTTTATTGGTCCGACTATAAGGGGGATAGGGGGAATTTCTTTTTGTATATCATCCCCAGATGCAAATTGTAAATACGCCACTATAGGCATTTAACTAATTAGGTACTTTCCGAATTCATTCTTCATGATTAAGAAGACTGAGGTCTGAGAAGTGATTATACATGTCTACATTTTTGTTAAAAATAAAAAATGAAATTCATATAGTGACATTTTAATTTGATTTTAGCAAGGGACTTTGCACAACTTAAAAGATACAAGCATTATTTATGTTAGGTGTTAAATGTTTTCAGTTCTCAAATACTGAGTACACAACTAGAATGCATAAAAAATTGAGTTCTTTAAACTTAAAAATATATGAATAATGCCAAGTGGTCAACTAATTATCAGTACATTTATATTTGCCGTTATTATTCTATAAGGCTGTTTTAATAATAACACTACTCAGACGATAAACCTAAAGTATTTGCTGAATGATAAAAACCAAATAATTGTAGAAATTTTGAAAAATGTAGTCAGGCGCCATTGATAATAATACAAATGTGGTATGTTTTATGTTTAACACTTAACATGTTATAACATATAACTTTTATGTTTAACCAAAAGCTACTAATTATCGTTATTTAATATATCTATTATAAATGGTTTGAAGTTTGTACAGGGCGTTGCCTGTAAAATCTACAGACAATCCCTAATATTACTTTCCTAGTATTTTTCAGTTTATTTTTTCTTCAGTCAAATTAAACAATTCTATGCAGGAAGTATATTTTATTAATTGAAACAATTATACCATAAAAAAAGTATCATTACTTTTAAATACATTAAATAGAGATATTTCTATTGTTAAATATGTCTAAAATAATTTCTGATTCATCACTAATGTAAATACCTCAAAAATATTGTTTTTTTTTTTTTGTTTATTGTGCAAGTATGAGGTATTGTTAATTGGAATAATTAACAATAAATAAATTACTTTTTTGTAATATTTAAAAGTAGTAACAACTTACTTTACTAACATTTATTTTTGGTGCGGATAACATGTTATACAAATAAACACAGTAATAATCAGCGAGTAGGGAAATAACTAGAAAATACCGTTGGCGTTGAACGTGTTAAACAATTATTACTCTGTTATATTGTCTACTAATTCAGAAAATAAATTAGCGATATCTTCACAATTAGTACTTTCAGAATTGTTAGGCTTATCATCGATATCCAGATAAATTCTATAATCTTGAGGAATAGTTATGTAACTTTCAAAACTACTATTTTTCAAATTCATTGAGTGCAACCAATTTAGTGGAATTTGTTTTGATTTACACTTCTTAAAAATCATGCAATGCATGTGCGTAAGTTTTTCATATTTAATACGCCAAAAACCTAAATTAGCTAATGCAAATTTCCAATTTTTCATAAGTTTTGAATTATGGGTTGCATGGGATGAATCTGGTGTAGCTATAATTAATAAACCAGCTGGTTTTAAAATACTATATGCCTTCTCACAACATGTATACCTTTGCCACGGAGTCGGAAAATATTCTAGTAAAAATGAAAACACTACTACATCAAAGCTAGAAAACGGCAATGTATAGCAAACATTTTTAGTAACACTGAGCTCTGCTCCAATATTTACTGAAAGAAAATCACATTTCACAACACTTTCAAATGCTGGAGCTATATCTATAGGTAACACTTTAAAAAATGAATAGCTTTTAAAGGGGTTATAACAACTTCCTACATCAAGTAAGTAATACGGGTTATCAGGTTTAGTACATAGGTCGTCAACAATGTTCACTTTAAAACGTTTAGCTAATAACTCCTCTCGTTCATTTTCATGAAGAAAATCATCTTCAAAATATTTTAGGGCATTTTGTGCAATCCATGAAATTCTACAGCTGGTAATTTCTTGTTTGTTATTTGCGTCCCAAAATTGTGAAGCAAGTTGATGCATTGTACTGGAATAGTTCTACAACATAAATAAATTAACATTTACAAAATAAAATATTAAAAAGTAATGTAATAGAGAACATAGAGAATTTTAAGTCAGAAATGTAAATATTACAGACATAGTACTAAATGTTTCTCAAAGCATATTTAAAAAAAATTGTTTTACATTGATTTTAAAATACACAGATGAAGGGTCTAGGGATCCCTAAAACCATTTAACAGAACAAAACTTAAATCATAAAGGTGTACATTTTTCAACATGTGATAGTATGAAAGGTTTATCCAAAAACTTCAGGTAAATTATATTTATATAGAATAATTTAAAAGAATGTATGTTAAAATTTTTTTTAAAAAATTTAAATACAAAAAAAATATTCCAGAGTGGTTTTACCCCTGGGTCCTTCAGATAAACAGGGTTATGCTTAATAACAGTGACCTATTTTATAAAGATTTTATGCTGTAAAAAGAGGATAATACCATTGATAAACTATGACCACAATATTTCTTGAAAGTGGAAAATCCTACTTTTAACAAAATCAATGTTAAAGTAAACAACATCGCTTATATGTATATTTTTTAATATTGGGCTTAATATAACAATATTTTTATTTCATTATCTTAATTTTTATATACAAGTCAGACCAAGGCAAAACATAACATTTATTTTAAACGTTTTTTATGTTTTTCTGACTAAGTGTTCTTTATTCTAATTAATTTCACATAATAATAAAGTAAATATACTTTTAAAAGTAACTCATCCGAACAATGTTTTTTCCACGCTTCATCAGCACCAATTTCTTGTGAACTTAACCTTAAATTCAAATGACACTGTTTAATAAATTTTGCGTACTGTTTATGCTGGTATTCTGCCGGCTTTCTTGACTTAATTTTGCTTTTATGATTAATCCTATAACAAAAAAAAAAATGTAAAACCATTTAGTTATTAAGGCTGATATTTATATACCAGCACCTAAAATTTACACTACTACAATTGGGCGCAAAATCAAATTTTTTTATTAATGATAATAATGGTTAACAATATTTAAACAAAAATATAATGCAAAAGGACACAAAAATGTACCAAATTATATTTTTATTAAGCATCTTACTATTTTGTTATTTTTTTAAATATGTCATATGTGAATATTTGCGAACTTTACTTGAAAGTTGATGAAATAAGAGTACATAGGCTTATACACAATATAAAAATTATGTCACAAGTTATTGAAAAACATATAATAATTGTGTGTGACAAAGTAGCTATTAGTCATACTATTACTAACCTAATACTAGTAGTTAAGTCTGAATATTGACCTAGTATTAAAAAGCTCAAGATTATTTTTAAATTTGAAAGATTTTATGAAAAGTCAGTACTTTGGAAGAAGATAATTCTGCTCTCATTAGTAAATACAGGTTCAAGTAATTAATGTCTAAAGAATATTTTAAATTACATAGGATTTGGCGGTTACTACATCATTTGATGCATAAGCAAGTAATTACAACATAAAACACACTAAAGTAGGCGAGAAAAAAAATTGTAAAGCCATCCTCCATTTGACAAAAAAAAGAAAGAAAGCAGAAATTAACATTCATTTAAATATTCAAGTACAATGGCTGATCAAGAATTCAAATAAATATTATTTACTCACATATTGGGTTCCATAGTTATTACACTTTGTCTTGATATAAAGTAATAAAAACTAAAAAATATAATGCATCATAGTTTTATCGTAATTATTGTTTAAGAGAAAATAAAAAACTTTCATTTTAACTGACGAATTACAACATTTGTTTACAGGGATTATAATAATTATGGAAATGTGTTGAAGGCATTTATATAATTATATCATATAAATTACATAGTATGAAGCAATTGAGGTTTTAGTAGTAGGTAGGTGGTCATTGACTAGATTAATTAAATCATTAATAATAAATAATAAAGTAAATGGTATAATATTTAAATATTAACCAAAGGTGATACAATCACACAGTGTTATTCTGTGATAATGAATGATATAATTATTATCACAATTTGTTTTTATTAATGTTGTTATTTTTTTTAATTTCTGCGGAAAATGTTTCTAACATCATTTTAGTACGTAATCAATAACCAATGACATTTCGCCAAGTAAACTAGTACTTCTATGTACAACTTGTGCGTTTAAAATATGTTTGATTTGAAATGTTGTGTATGTGTCTTTTTCATTTCTTATACTCGAATCCTAGAAAATTTTTTAGTATTAGACTACTAGAAACTAAGTACAGTTGTTTGATTAATTGTTGTGTATTACCAATGTTATAAAGTATTTTCGTTACCAAAAAATCATTATTCATTTTATAAACATTCTATGAGTTGATTTATAAAACATTTTTTGGAAATAAAAAATATAAAAACAAATTGTACAACTGTTACTATTGAATATCTATCACCTATTTTTTAAGCATATTATAAGTAAATACACCAAAGTATTTGAGAGTAATGGATAATTATATGCTTCTTTTATGTGTTTTCTTCTTTGTGCTAATTTTCCAAGCACAAGCCCGTACGTTTACAGCCGATGACTGTCCTGGTATGTTATAAAATTTTATTCATGTAAGTATCGAGTATTATAAACAAAAAAATGTTGTTATTTCAGTATGTGTAGCAACAATTGACAAGTTTTCACAAACATTAGAAAATGTGAACGAACCAAAAAAAATTGAAGAAAGTTTTAGATCATTTTGCTTGTTAACCAAAAATGATAAAGAAAAAAGATTAGTAAGTACAATTATTAAATTAAGTGTATTAATTTGAGTTTTCAGTGGCTTAGTCATTGTAATATCAAAATATTGTATGCCTGTTGAAAATTTCACTCAACTCGAGTCCATATTGGGGGTCTAATGCTCACCCATGTCCCCCATAAGAGTAGTCAAGCGCGCCTGCATCCTTGCCTTAAATGTTATTTAGCCCATTAGATAATGATTAATGACAAAATAAAAATGATTATACATTTCACTGTTGATCATATAAAATTACCTTCACTATTTAAGTTGGGAACAAATCTACTTTACCGGACACCTTTTTTTTTTCGATTTTTTTTTAAATCGATAGTATTTTGCATGCTGATTACGAATCTGCAAAAATTTTGGGCCGCTCGCACTTACTTTGGAAGTTACAGACGTTTGAAGTTCGCAGATTTTGACTTACGTGCGCGCCCGGCAGGCCCCGTCTCCCGGCGTCCCCCGGGTACTTCGCCGCTCTCGACATACCGGCTGTCTTTTGATGTCGGTGTCGTACTTTAGCGAACACCTTTTTTTTTCGATTTTTTTATTGCCATATTACAATGTTTTTAACGCTGATTACGAATCTGAATTTTAAATCGGGCAGACTTCTTTTTTCAGTTAAGTTTTAATTAAATAAGCCTATAATTAAATAATAAGCCTATGTACTCTTATTTCATCAACTTTCAAGTAAAGTTCGCAAATATTCACATATGACATATTTAAAAAAATAACAAAATGAGATGCTTAATAAAAATATAATTTGGTACATTTTTGTGTCAACTTTTGCATTATATTTTTGTTTAAATATTGTTAACCATTATTATCATTAATAAAAAAATTTGTCCGGTAAAGTAGATTTATACCTTAAGTTGTCTTAAAAATTAAAATTCATCAACCTGTTTAAAAAAACGTTTCCATCATTCATATGTTAAAAATGTGAAACAAATGCACTTTACCGGGCACCCTTTTTCTCGGGAGTATTTTTATACTAATTATGAATCTGAAGTCGAAAATTGGCAGGGTCCTCTACCTCCAAAGTTATAGCTACTTGAAATATGCATATTTCCGCGTGTATTAAAATAGGTGGCTGTTGCCCCAGCTGCACTATACATTTGTTGGCGAAGCGATTGCACGCTGCTACAGTATTATTAGTTAATTATTTATTTTTATTATTATTATATTATTACTATAATACTACCAATGATATAATATCAATACTGTAATTAACTACAATATTATTTTTCCTAAGTTTTTAAGCTTTAACTATTTAAAACAACTCCCTACACCTGCCGGCTTCCGGAGCCGACTTAAGCCCCTTTGGAACTTCAATAGGATGGGAGCTTACGCTCCCAAAGGAAAAAATTGCTTGCCTAAAGGACTAAACTACCCTAATACAGCTCTGAAAGTGTCAGCGACCTAACAAAACCAAACCTAACATCGCTGACAAATGTATGGTGTGTGGGCAGACAGCTGCGGCCTATCGTTATACATGCGGAAATATGAAATTGTCAAGTAGTTGTAACTGGAACTAGAGGAGTCTGCCAATTTTTTACTTCAGATTTGTAATCGCCTTAAAAAAAACTACAAGATATAGTGTTTTTTTTTATGAAAATCTGGATTTTCAAATTCCTATCACTATTGAAAAACACCTTATGTTAATTTATATTTATTATGATTAAGTTTCAAGTACTTTAGTGACTCCATTAAACTTAAAACATCTGTTTTATAAATTTTAATAATTTTCAATAAATCAACGCGTGTTGCTAAAGTACAAGGTTTCAAACTTAGTACCAAAAGGTATGTGTTTCTGATTCTACAACATTGGATAACAGAAGAGTCTCAGTTCTTATCATTCGAGGAGGGCACATTAGAAATTATAATAAGTCTTAAAAAAATATGTTTATGTGTATGGGCACTCACTCAAGTGCATTCATTATTATTTGCATAATAAGTAAGGTGCCAAGACTATTATCTAGATTTTATCTGATAGGTACTATCCATGAAATATTGTATGAAGTATTTAGATTTTAGTTTAAAATATAATACTTGTTTTAGTGTTACTACCTAGGTGGTTTAGAAGATTCAGCAACTGGTATTTTAAGTGAGATGTCCAAGCCCTTATCGTGGTCTATGCCATCAGTAAAAATTTGCGAGCGTTTAAAGAAGATGGATGTTCAGATTTGTGATATTAAATTTGGTAATTGAAAGTGTTAATTTGTACTTCCATATTAAATATATGTATATTTTATACCTTTTTATTTTCAGATAAAGAAATCGATTGGAAGACTGTAAACCTTAAGAAACTTAAAGTCAAAGATTTGAAAAAGATATTAGACAACTGGGGTGAAATTTGCGATGGCTGTTTAGAAAAAACTGATTACATCAAACGTGTTGAAGAATTAAAACCTAACTATGTCAAAGAAGAATTGTAAAATAATACTTATAAATTAATATTATGTTTTTTTTTGTACAATAAAACACACTATTTAATTATTTCTTTGTAAATATATATAAAATGGCAATAAAAAGGGCTATCAAAAATGAGCATTTTTCACTACTATATGGTTATTTTGGAAAAGGTTCTCGATTTCCATCGATAAAAATAAAAATTGTATTACTATGGGCTATAAAATGTAAAAATTAGCTACCAATACTCATTTCGTTAACCCTACAATTATAACAAAAAAATTAAATACATATTATAAATACAACATATTTTAGAGTTTATTTCAACCCAAGATGATTTTTTGTTATAACATTAGAACATAGAGTTAATTTTTTAATAAATACAAAATTGCTTTGTTTTTGGTGTTTTTTTGTTTTTTATACATAAAAAATTAGAGTAATAGTTTTTGGAAACTGTATCAGTCGGTTTTACAATACTTCCATTGGGCTTTGGCTAAGACTACTCTCAGCATGCGAAGACAACATGGTCGATACTTCATCGTCCATTTCCTGAAGATTCGAATTATCGTTTTCTTGACTATTGGTTTGCATGCCGTTGCTGGTTGATTGCTGTTCTGAATCGTCCCAGTTAATTTTAAACCTAGTTACCCTAGGTTCTGTGCCCAAAATGTTTCTAGTCATCTTTAACAAACAATGTTTTATTTATAAACCATTCAAATAAAAAATGTATAAAATATGAAAGTAAATAGAGCAGTAAAATATGAAATCAGTAACAAACAATGAAGTGTATTTTCTTCAAAGTAAACATTTTTAAGCGATTAGTATTTTTCGTAACTGTCTTATTCTTATAACTATAAATGAGATGACCTAGCAAGGTCTTATAAACTCAATTCAAATTTGAGCTCTGGCATATAGTACTGTGAGTGAGACTCCCAGTGGAACCAAGAGAATATCTAAGTATTTGAAATGGAAATTTCAAAATTACGTTTCTTTTCATACCGAAATGATTTTGTGATAATTTTTTGGCCAAAAAATCGAAATGTGATTTCGAATATTTGTATAGTTCATTTATTACTTGTGTTGTTTTAATAAAGCACCATTTTAAAGTTCTAAATATTACTTTAAGAGAAAGTCAAACTGAATTAAAAAGAAAAAATTCTGAAGGAGAATGTCTATTTTATAGAGAACTATTTTAATATTTTTTTTTTAATTTATCGTTATAGCCTGAATTTGATAAGTTTTTAGACTTATTGGCGGATATTAAAAGAGAGCTTGGGATTCTCAAAACCTTAAAATTTTAAATTAGTGCTACAATTATTTTTACAGATAAACTACAGTATAGCACTAATATGTCATTTAGTGCTGTTAGCGATTCACAACTCCTGAATTTGCATGAACCACAATTGATTACTTAGAAAAATTTATCTTTTGTAGCTTATCTGTATTTTGCAAAACCAATGCTATGTAAAGTTAAACCAATATATGTTTAAAATACAATTCAAAAATTGTATTCTTATGTGGCAATTATAAAAATTATTATAATTAATATTACCTTTTCAAATTGTGGAGTTGCTGGTGGATTTTCCTGTAACTCGGGATCTGTATACTCATTGTTTATGAAATAGCCGACCCTGACAAATTCTTGATTGCGATAACAACAAGTTAATAATACAACTGTAACACCGACAGCATCTTGAACGGGTATTTTAGAAACATCTGGAGGATTTGCCTATAAACACCATATGGTTTATATCTATTAACTTCGCCCTTAACTAGAGGCATGCAGTATCACGTGTATATATATATATATATTTACTTTATAAGAACACACCTATGCAGAAACCAAAATGGCATTTCTCCTGGCTGAGTAGGTGCATACAAGAGTAACAAGTTTTGGTATCTGCACAGGTAAGTTCTTGGTGGCATGGAGTATAGTAAGAATTAAAAGAAGCTACCACATTAACAGGTCATCAAATTTAATTATAACTGTTCAGGTAAATCTAGAGCAAAATTTATAGGATCCGTATAAAATTATCTGCATCAATGAGTACCAGTTCTAAAAAATTTGCCGGTATAATAATTAAAGATCTTAAAATAAATGCAGTATACATAATATATAGCACGTCTGACAGTTCTAGTTCTTTTTTACCGATTGAAATTTAAAACGGAAGAGTATAAATGTAACATAACTGATGACCCCTACACAATGTAGACAGTTGTCAGACTTTCACGTGTTTATCTTTTTAAAGAGCTTTGTTTATTTCAATATCCATTTACTATATAACTAGGATTTATTAAAACAAATGGTAGGGATTCGTTATTTTTATTCTTAATTTTTTGTTTGTGTTCATAAGGGTTTTAAACATACTTCAAAGACAAACATATGTCTTCCTTCAGGAACAGGACCCACGTAGATTGTATCTAATATTTGATCATGTTCTTCACTCTCTGCTGAGCCAACATAAATCATTTTCCATTCTAAATCTAATTAACATTTAATAAACAATAAAATATTATTGAAACTATGAAATACAATTAATATTCTGGTTTATTTATTACCTTCATTTAAATCTTCTATGCATTCAAAAGTGAGCTCAAACTGAAAAGGATTTAAAAATGGAGATGGATTATCCAAAACAACAACATTTGACAATTGTACTTTAGCCATGTTGTTAGATTAACACCTAATGAAATCAGATCATAATTAATAACAAATAACTATAAGAATTACTATTTTATTATAATTTTAAGTCAGGCAAAAGAAATTTCTAATTTAAATGTAAGACATTTTTCTACATTAATGAAAATCTAGTTATTCTTATAGTAAATTATATATAGTAGTAGAATCATATACACAGTAAATCAGATTTTTCAATTACTGAAGAAAAGATCTAGTTTTCCCAATGTAATGTTACAATCAACATATTTTTCAAAAACACCTATTTCCAAAAATGACAAACTAAATTTACTTAATTACTTTTATCCTCGGAGAAGAGGTAACGGTGACGACAAGCACCATTCTGGTGGAGCTTGTCGTCAGCGACCTTGAAGAGGAGGTGACGGCCAAGATGGTGGAGGAAGCATTACAATGCTTTCCAGGAGCAGAGTTAGGAGTAACTGTAGTCCGGGTCGTGCCGGGCTTTAGTTGTGGCAAGTCAGCCATCATCAGAGTCCTGCGTGCACTCGGGCTGCAGTTGGACAAGGTAGGTGGCCTACTCGTGGGGCTTGTACACTGTCGGGTGAAGCTTCGGCTTCGTCTCGACAGATGCTACAAGTGCCACGGGTACGGTCACTACATGCAGGAGTATAAAGGGCCAAATAGGTCTTTGCTTATCATGTGGTGGGGCGGATCACCGTGCAGTTCAATGTACGGCTCTGCCGCATTGTGTGGTATGCAAGGATCGGGCCTTGGCATTTGACCACTGCCCCGGTAGTAGCCGTTGTGCGGCGTACCAAGAAGCGAGGATGAAGAAGAATATTTAAGTGTAAATAATTAAAATTGTAACCTTGTAATTTCATTATGTGAGCCCGCCCCGCGAAGGGGAAAACGGGTTTTTTGCAAATAAATAATTGTGACATTAAAAAATTAATAAACGATGCGTGCTGGGGGGGGGGATGAAATGACTAGCGTCAATGCCAACCCCCAGCCTTCGATTTCAATGAAAAAAAAAAAAATTAATTTTATCGGAAAAAGCAAATTGACATACTTTTTCTAAAAAATGACACCTATGCTACAAACAATTTTTATAAACTGTTAAAATTGTATAAACAATTAAATGGTTAAAAGATTATACTAGATAATCAACTTTTAAAGGAGGAGGAGTGGTCAAGTGGGTAAGGCGGCAGTGTGTTAGCGCTCACTGTCGTCGGTTCGACACTCGGTCACAGGCGCTCCGTTTACTGGGCGAGCAATCGTCCGGTAAAAAGGAACTGCCACCCCCCTCTCCGGCGACGGATTGACGACCCGTCCCGGAAGCGAATTTATCAAGAAACCATCTCATGATGGCAGCGTTGGGCCTTCATGGCCCGTTAAGCTACATGAAAATGAAAAATTAACTTTTAAAGATTTGAATAATAATTATTATATTTGAGCAGTTGTAAAATTAATATTAATTAATGTTAGTATTAAACTAAATTAAGTTTAATTGGTATTAATTATTTGTTTTAGTCAAATATGTGAATTTTTTTAGCACTAGCTATTTTTGACTTCAAATTTGTAATCGGCATAAAAAAAGGTGTCCGGTGAAATGAATTTCTACCAAAACATTTTCCACTTTTCTAAGATGCTAACTAGTGATGGGACATACTCAAATGTTTGAATAATACAAATAATTAATATCAATCCAACTTAAATAATATAAATTCATATTTAATTTAAAACTAATCAAAAGGTGATAATTAGTCTAATTTTTAAAATTAAGTATTCAAATTTGAATACTTTGAAGATACAAATCCAAATTACAACCATAATACATAGTGTGTTATATAGTACCTATAGTACTTCGTAACCAGTGTAAAAACCTTTTAATAAGGTTTTATTGTTTACTAAAATACTGGAACCAAATCAGAAATGTCCACCATAAATATTCTGAATTCTAGTCATGTTTTCAAAAGTATATTTTAATAAGCAAATATATTCATTATTGCATATAATTAAAATGTAATCAATATAATAATTATTATAATTTTTAACTTAAATACTCTATAGAATACATCGTGATAAATGCAAATGAAATCAAATCCATTTGTCCAATTGTATAATAGTAAATAGATTCAACATTCTTTTTTAAAAACTATCAAGTTAGAAGTTTTGAAACATTTCTTAGCTGTATACAATTAAATAAAGCGTAGAGAAATAAATAATTTGATATCTGTTATAAAGCCGACCTCTGTTACTAAAACAGTTCGTCTACACATTTTGATCATTAAAAGCTACTAAATAAAAATAAATTAAACAAAATCATGTCACTCACCTCAATAAGTTTAACTACTGATTAATTTTATTATATATTAATGATTCATAAATAATAATTAATAAATGATGTTGGTGCAATGAAATTTATACACAATTATTAAAGACTAGAGCGTCGGCCGTCGGGAAATGTCAGTTACCGTCATTACAAAATACAAATAATATGTACCTAATAACTAAGCATTAATCTGTTAACAAAAAAACTAAGAATATTTCCCTCCAATCAGCCATTTTTTTTTATTTATCAATTTATCAGATGTTTATTACTATCAGTCATGGAAAACTTTAATACAATATGGTTGAAACCACAAATGTAGATAAAAAGGTTACTCGTTAATAAATTTTATAGATAAAGATTTTCTTATCTGTGATTAAATGTTCAATACTTCAATTTTTTATTTTTTTAAACCTACTGCCCAGTGCTCAGTGCTCACAGAATATAATTTTTTTTTAAGTATTTTGAAAAATTATTAGTTAAAATATTTGAACGTAGTGAAAAGTTAAAACACCAAACAATATTTCCATATCTATGCATTAAAATTCAGCTGTTCTTTGGTAAAATTAAAGCTTCATAGATCTAAAATTTCAATTTTTTTAAGTATGCAAAATTATTTTTGTATGATATTTTTGTTATTAAACTGTCTTACTCTTCTTCATCTTGTATACACTGTCTATTAATATTTTGTTAAGCTGATTTGTGTTATTTGTTTTATTTTAACTGTATGGCTTCGAAAATGTTGGACATGTAACTGTATTAGATTGTTTCGGTTTTATTTTTAAAGAAAATGTGTGGTATGGTGAGGGACTTGATACAAGCCTCACCTAAAGGTCCTGGGTGGTTACCCGTCTTGGAACGAGCAGTGACACATGCAGCTGAAGTGTCATCAAAGTTCACCTCTGAGCCCAGACCATGTCTCTTAAAAATGATTATACATCATAATATTATCAAATATATATTTTATATATTCAAAATAAGACATCCATTTAAAAAAAATGTGCATTGTGCAAATTAAAAAAATCATTGCTAGAAACCAAACAAAAAAATTATTTCTAAATTCACAATAGGAGTACACTTTTATAACTATTCTCACTCAGGCGCGTAGGGAGGGAAGTGTTATAGGTGTTGTAACACTCCCCCTCGGCCGTGTTATGGTTTCACATTCCTACATTATTGATAGAGGAAATAATAAATGAACTAGCCTTAAAAACTCGTCGTATGAAAATTTAATTAGTGTAAACGTTACAAATTTGTATATTTGTACAATTAAATAAAACAAAATTTTGTTAAATTATACTTGAAGTAAATATTTTAGATAACACTCCTCCTTTGAACTTCTTAGCTATGTGCCTGTTCTCACTCATTCTAAATACAATTTCATTATTAATTTATATATTTATTTATACAATTGATTTTTAAAATTATATTTCATGTACGAATACGTATTTAACAAACTTAATGATGACCACTTTTTTCTTGAACACCTATCATTATTAATTTGCTAGTTAAATTATTTTATAGACATTTTAATTATTTCAAAAACTTGTTAGCATTTTCATACTAGATTTATAAACATATAAAATTTAACTACACATTAAAAATTAAAAATCCTCTAATTGTAAATATATCCCTTGGTTTTGTAAATTGTTTAAACAAATTTCCAGAAGTGTTTAATATCTGCTAAATAAGCTTAAGCTAAAAACATTCATATAAATAAAAAATTTCATGATTTTTAGGGAAACAATGTCGTTTCTAAGTAAATGCTTAAGATTTAGCATTCCGCTTAAAAACAGGTGAGTTCTTAAAATGTAAATAAATATCATTTTAATTTTTTTATCTTTATAATATTAATTTACTAAATTTGTTTTTAAGAATCCAAAGTGTACCTAATTGGGCTACTGCTAAGTACAGCGTATATCCTCCACATTACGGAAACCCTATTTACAAGAAAGAAGAACTAAATAAATTGTATGAGAATGGAGAGATTGAAAAATTAAAGTTAATTCCAGTTAAAGCAGCCAAAAGTAATGAATCTTGTTCGGAGTTTCATGATCCTGTTGTTGCGTATGTAGTCCTAAGTATCTCAATAACAAATCATAAATATGTTAATATTAACATAAACTAAAGCAGGATGCAAATTAAAATCAAGCAATATGTAAATAAATAAATATTAATCAATATTTTCACTTTGCCAAAATACATTATTCTTACTTAGACATACAATAACCAATTATAAATATAAATAGGAAATACAAAGTAAACAAATTTTAAATTCAGTATAATATATTATGAAGATTTGATTTTCTTACTTAGACATACAATAACCAATTATAAATATAAATAGGAAATACACAGTAAACAAATTTTAAATTCAGTATAATATATTATAAAGATTTGATTTTCTCTTTTACTCAATTTAATAATAATTCTAACTTATTAGTTTGATAATTTTTGGCTCTATCCATATTAGTTCAAGTCATGAAAGTTTTAACAAATTCAAATCTTAACTTATTTAAAATATTTTTTTAATTTTATTCCTTATTATGAATTGTTTATCTATGTATAATTTATCTAACATTAAAAAAAAATTGCTAAAATGTGACCAAAAGAGTATGGTTCACAATAAATGGTATTAAATTAAACATTACTTTAAATGGTCCAACATCACTATGTATAATACTAATAAATCAGTTTTTAATAAAATAAAAATAATGTACTAAATATTAAAGTAAATTTTGTTATTATTTTACAGAAAATTTATTAACTATATGATGCACAAGGGACAAAAAAAATTAGCTAGACAAGTCCTTGAAAAAGTAAAAATATGGAATAGTAAATTTATTAATTTTTTATTCTAAAAATTACATATCATGAAACAATATCTTTACTACTTATTTTAGACATTTGAAAAAATAAAAAGAATACAGCTAGAAAAATATAATAGAGAAACGGATATTGAGAAAAAATATCAAATAACCATTGATCCTGTTATAATATTGAAGAAGGCAATTGCTAATTGTAAACCATTACTAAAATTGACTCCAGTAAAACGAGGAGGTTCATATTACCAGGTAATAAAAACAACTTTTTACTGCTAATTGTGTAACATGATAATACTACGTTTAATTATTTAATGTTCTTTTGTGTATTCATTTATTTAAATCTTCTAGTTATGCCAAACCTTTTGTTGAAGTCAGGCTATTGCCTAACTTACCTCCCAGGTTAGCGATTATTTAGGGGGGAAAAAAGCCATTGTCTAACTACATTTTTAAAAATTACAACAATTATTTTAATTTCTTATTTAGTATTCTAATCTTATTGTAAGAATTTTTGTTACTTTCAGTAAAGTAATATCTTTTAAAATAATATTAAATATTTCCCAATTCACAATTATATTAATGAATATTTTAGTTTTATAAATTTAATATATATTATAGATATGCAATTCCCAATGATAATGTCTCTCGCTATTTGATGTAGCGGAGGACAATTAGGGTAAGTGACAATGTGTTAGTGCTTTCGGTGTTGAACCAATGATAGAAAGAGAATACTCAGTGTCTGGTGGTATTTGTCTAGAGGGAGAAATTACCATCTTCCTCTAAGACAAAGCTATGCCTTAAACAATACAATGTATCACCAAATGTATATCCAAAAATGTTGCATTTAAGGCTTACTTCTGCTCAGAAATACCATTTCCAGGCCAGAGATGCCTATCTAATAAGTAGTATATATTTTAAAGAACAAATTTGTTTAACAGATATCCTTTTTTTTTTTTTTTTTTAATTAGTTTTTATTATTGATTATGAATGTGATCTCAAAAAACCATCAACAAAAAATTTGGGAATTTCAATTTTTTTATTATTTTTATTAAATTTATGGTTTTAATTCATATTACAATTTTATTATTATAATTACTTTTTTTACTTACATTATATGTCTGTTTTGCAGGGTTATTAAGGTTTTAGTATGATCGTATATTTGAATTTCATTATAAGCACTTCAATTTTTTAGCTATATCAACTAAAAGCTATAAAGCAATTAACATAGATTAAACAAACATAGAAAGATCTGGCCAAATTATAGCATCTTAAATCTACGCTATAGTTTTACAAAGATAAAAGGTTTTTATTTTAATAACATTTTACTGTTTAAATGTTTGGCTTACATTTTTTGTACAACTGAAATAATATGAGCAAAATAACTCAATTTTCAGTTTTTACTTTAAAATGTTAAGAAAAACTACTCGACTGGGTCGATTGCATTTATGGAGTCTAAAAATATACTTCCTTAGTAGGTTATTAGGTGGTGCTTAGGTATTTATTATCAGCTTGATCCCAAGACTTAACGCTACTGGCAAATAAAAAATTATGTGGCTACTTGGTAATATTTAACCGTGACCTTACTCAGTGAAATGTATATTTCATTCTAACTACTCGGCCACTATGTAGTAGACTTAAAATTACTAAGCATTAGGTATTATATTTATAATTTATTTATTTTCTAACAAATTATCACAAACGAAGAATGAAAAAAAAAATTATTTATTTAAAAAAATTGAGCATTTGTTTTGTAGAATGAAAATTATATATTACTCCTACAAAATGAATAATGTTAATTTGTTTTAATTACATATTTTAGCTCATAGTTATTTCCTCTACCTTTTAATATATTATTTTCAATTTTTAGTTGCGTCTACTCAATCAGATAATCCTCTTACTTATAAGTTATATTATCTACCCATGTTTTTTTTTTTACCCACATTTTCCGTTACATCAAATTGGCTTGTTGTTCTGCCACTAATAAATACTAATGTTGTTCCATTTCACTTTTTGTAATATTTAATTTCCGTTAATTCTCTTAACATAATTTGAACTATCCCAGTTATTCTCTATCAAATTGCAACTACCAAACTGCTGTTCTCTCTAAATTCGTCGGAGCTATCAATTCTACATTTACATCACCACTTCTTTTTCACATGATTTAAGAAAAATGTATTGTAAGTTTTTATTATTTATTGTAGGTTCCAGTACCAATAACGGATAAAGAGTCGACCTTTTTTGCCATGAGGTGGTTTGTACATTGTGGACGAGAAAAAGATAAGAGTATAAGTTTTGCCGATTTTATGGCTACCGAATTTATCAATGCTTCAAATAACGAAGTGAGAATACCATTTAGAGTTAAGATTGCAAAATAAATTACCATATTTTTTTAATATTGCTACCTAACGCTGTATTTTATACTTAATAGGCAAGAATATGTTTATAAGTATATTTTTAGCTTTTCGTGGTATCCAAAAAAAGAGGTTTTTGGGGTTTTCCGCATATCGTCATTGTCGCGAAAAACTCCCATGTGCTAAAAGCTAATTGTTCAGGAGACACTACGTGTAATTAAATATTTAGTTCAGTGGTAACACATACTACAAAGGAAGTTTTAATTTTCATTAATCATTTATTCTACAATGGAGATAGTTTGTTGGAGTTTTTATCATATGATTTTTTTTCTGTATCCAGATACCAAAACCTCAAATCGTATAAAATTGGCACATAGGATGTTTTTTCACCGCAACGGCGATATATTACGTTAATATGCAGTCGCTAATGCGCATTAAGTTAATTCGGTAGTTAGTATGCATATAAACATGTATTTAATGCGCATTTAAAAAGTTAATTAGAATTGTCAAATCGAATTAAGTCTTACTCCGTTATTAAAAAATATTATAATAATAAAAATAATACAATATTGCGAAAGAATATTGTACAATATTGTGTAAAGAATAACAATCCTTTTTTTATCGTAGAACATAAAGCATTCGAATTTATATTTTATACGAGTTTAAACCTAATATTTGAACTAGGTACCACGTTTACAGGATAAACCCGTACATTAATGCGCATAAGCGACTGCATGTAAACGTACTAAATAAGAGTAACTGGCGGCAGTGCCTTACGTCCAATTGCCTAAATCTCATAAACTACGCCCAAAAAATCGAAATAATTAAAAGTGTCAGTTTCTCTTTGAAAGAAACCTTTTTTTAAGAAAAAGGTTTGATAATAATTTGTTAGTCTGATTGAAGCAATTCAGCATAACGCTAAAAAATAGCGCAAAACAATTTTAGAGCTATTCCGACTATTTTTTGGAAAGTTTTTTTCCCGATTGAAAGGTGTGAATTTGTTTCAACTTTTGGCTTAAAATATAACGCAAGTTGACATAAGATTTATGATCTATAGATTGTATTTGTTCAAAGAAAGCGATCCAGTAGTTCACTGTAGTTGACAAGATACACCTAACATTCCCAGTTCGACATCAAAACTAATAAAAACTCGGATTATTTTTAGAAGGAAAAACGTTTTATAAAATTTAAATAAATTTACTGTTTTTTTGTTATTTAATGTTGTAGACATTTCGTATTTTTAAAAATGTATTTTTCGTGTTCTAGGGACGCGTGTGGAAGAAAAAATTAGATTTGCATAAACAATGTGAAGCCAACAGAGCGTATGCACACTACCGTTGGAGTTAATTAGCCTACAATAACTGTAAAAATAAATTTAATCTATTAAATAAATGATTTCGTCAGTAATATAATAATAAGCGTATTGTTGTTGTTTACGTTGCAAAACACCCACTTGGTATGAATTTTAAATAGACGTTCCTAGTGTCTACAAATATGGGCAACAATACCTTAAGCAAACGAATGAGCTAGTTTCTATTTCCTTTCACTTTTTATAACAGAATTTCATGCCAGTTATAAAAAAAACCCATATTAATTCGAATGTATAATACGCGTGCTAAAGCTGTTTTATTACTACATTTTTTTTCAAATTAAAAGTGCAAGCTAAAATGTTTGAATATAAAATTATTGTATATTTTTTCGTTGGTATAATGGTATTCGGATCGTCGAAATCTACCATGTACATGAAACGTGGTGATCACTTGGAACCAAGTAATATACATACATTTAACTAGTTATTAATAATACAAATTGACTATGGAAAAAGTAATAATCTGTTTAAACTTTGTTTTTTAATATTAAATTAGTTTTAGAACCAATATCATCGACAGTTGAACCTATTCCGATTTATAAATTATCTCGCGGTTTTGAAATTGGTTCCATCAAAGAAGATATCGATAAAACTACTCTGTTAACATGTAATAATCGATTTAAAAATAAACAATCCTATAGCATCAGTATTATTCATTATTACGGAATTCATAATATTATGTTTATATTTGTTAACTGTTTAGTAAAAAGTATCAATAAATTGAAAGAAAGTGAAACGCGCAAAGAAGAAAAAGCCAAGATAAAACCAATTAAGGATCTTTATTGAAGCTGCGTTGGCGATTTTGTTTTACTTGTTAAGTTACACCACAGTAACATTATAAAAATATAATACCTCATAAGATAAAAATTCATATTGCATATAAGTTTTAAATGTTCTAAGCTTATATAAAATGATTGTGTATTATTTTATTTTAGTACAAAAAAAGCTGGTCTATTTATATAAAAATAAAATACATTATATATTTTTATAGTAATTTATTATACATTCATAACCAAAACATTTAAGGCATTTACATTGCTTTAACAACATATTTAGCAAATTTATAAAATTTAATATATACATAGAATGTAATTTTTTTCTGGTAACTTTTTAGCTAATTTTCTCTGTTTATTTCACATACTACATACGGTTTGGCGTTTTAAACTGATTCATTAGTTTTTTATTTGGAGGCTTGGTATGAATGATATTGAGTGGAGGCGTTTTCCCATAGGCGTTTAACATTTTTAAACGTTTTCTTACAGGCGAAAATTCGGATTGAAATACATGCGGTGAACTAACTGCAGCTGAAGGTGATTCTCCATAAGGTTTTTGAATTTTTTTGTTGGCCACATTTAATGAGTATACATCAATATCATGACTTGGAACATCAGATTTTTTGTTTTGAAATTCAACAATTTTATTTTGACACAATTGAATAAAATTCTGTTAATGACAATACAATTGTAATTTAGTATAATAATGTTGCAAATCATTTAAAAATAACAGTCAATTTATATATAAACTTACTTCGGAATTTTTTAGGAACTTTATATAATCATCAGAACATTGTTTAAGATGTTCAGCTTTAGGAACAGTGGTAAATAATGACAGTTCGGTGACATAAACTTTAGGTATTGGTGTATTACTATGAAAACCCTTAAATACGAGATTCATACCAGATATTATACTACCAGGGTACAACATTTTATCGTCACATCCAAATTCCTATAAAAAGAATAAATACATTTAGTAGTCGTTTTGTTATAATTCATATATATATATTTTATTAGTCTATTGAAATTCATAATATTTTAAAATTGCAAATTTGTTTTAATTAGATAAATGTGATCCAAATGTATGTACACAATTAGTAAAAATCATGTTCAACTTGAATACAAGTTTTGTTATTTACTATTCAGTGTTTTTTTTATAGAGAATTCTTTTAATTCCAATGGGTAAATGATAAATTAGTATTTTATTACCTAATATAAAATAAATAATACAATAAGAATCTAATTTTTAGAATATATTGCAAAATGATAGAAGCACAGGTCGCTTTCACTTATGTCCTATAGTGAGGTGGCATCCAAACCAAACGTATGAAAAATAATACTTAAATAAAAAATGTACACTGTACAATATTATACAGTGTAGTTATATCACATAATTTAAATTGTTGTCAGATTTATTGTAAATTTGTGTACAATTGTAAGAATGTTGTTTTTTATATTTTACTTTAAAAGAAATTAACAAAATTTCAACATTTGCTGCCAGATGGTCTGAAATGTGACAATGTGCAGTGGTTGAACATAGTTCACGACAAAATCAGTTTTTATACAGTATGTATATGGTAAGTACATAAGCAATTGGAGTAGGAAAGTGCAGCTGACCCCATGGATGCCAGAGACCTGAACTTAATTATAAACAACATGTTTAAGTTGAAAAATTTGGTTTTTAGGAGGGGGAGGAAATAGGAAAATTTTAAACGTGCTTATCTGATGAACTACTGCAAATTGTAGAAAAGAAATACTTATTTGATAGAGATTACCTTAAAATCACCTCGAAATACAATACTAACGATATTCATCTCTGTGTCTGTCACATATACTTCATTAAAAGTTTCGTTTTCTTTGATTATACCAATTACAATACCCACTAAGTCTAGTTCACTGTACAATGGCGAAAAACTGCCAGACCAAAAAGTTTTGGCACTGATAACAGCCCGTTTTGCGTAATTGTTTATAATTTTCTTAAAAACATAATGTGACTGTTTACCAGCTGATAATTGGAGTTCACCATTCCTTATACATAAAAAAAAACATCAATATAAATCATGCAATATCTTAAATTATTATTACTAACAAATATTGAGAGAATATATTGAAATTTATATTACATGTAGCCAGTAGCGGTGAGATGACTAAATACACAGCAATGACCCTCTGAAATTGTATCAAAAAACATAGATACACTTTCCGACGGGTTCCATATAGTAAGTACTGCGAAATTCAATCCTGAACAAGCATCTTTTTCATCCACAACACGTAACTATAAATTAAAAGAAATAAACCAACAATAAAACAATTATGAGTTTTAGAATCTATTTTAATAGTAGATGTTCAACATATACACAATGGCCATTTAGACTAGACAAATTGAATTTACCTTAAGTAAAGGAGTTACTCTACGTTTGTTATCTTTAAACTGATCGTTAAATACATTATCCACTCTTTTTTTGAGTTCATACATAAAATTATCGTGTTGTGTCTTCTTATAGTTTTGAATGGCTTCTAATTTATCTTCACTAATAACCGACTACAATTTAAATGATAAAAAAAATGATTTTAATAATGAAGATTATATAGTTATAAAAATAACTGACTTGAATTTCTGAAGGATCCATACAATTTTCTATTATATCACTAAGCTCCTCTATACTGTAATTTTTTATATTTTCTTTTGTTATTTTTATTAATTTAATTTTGTTTTTAGTTTTTGACATTAATTCTCTTTCCATTTCAGATTGAATATTGTTTGATATTTTTTCTAAATTTTTCTGTTGAGTTGTTTTATGTTTTTCTTCTTCAAATATTTCCATTTTCTCGTTTCTAAAAACTAAATTACTGTATAATTAAAATTTATATTGATTATAACTTATTTGTTAATCAAAAATAATTGTTTAAAATGTATACAAATTTAAGACAATATAAATCAATATTTTTACTTTAAATTAATTTAAAAAATTGATTTTTAAAAATAAATATTCGATTCAAATAAAAATTTATTTTATTTATACTATTTTTATTTACCAGATTTTGAGTTTAACTTCCGTTCAAAGTACAACATTGGATATTTTCTAAGAACTACAAGTGACAATGATCCTATTGTACCGCCATGTGGAAGAACTGATTCTAAGCTAATTGGTACGGGAGAAGTTGGATATTTACACAATCCTAATTTAGCATACCATCGAACACGTCGAGTACTGTTTGTTGATATTTTAAGCTTAACACCATCATGCACCTGAAATTTATATACAATTGTTAATTTAAAAAAAAAAAACTGGATATATTAAAAAGGCAAACAGAATGATCGAAAATATTTTATACTTCCTAACTGTTTTGTTGAAAAAAATAACAATACCAATGAAAACAAATTTAAATATATAGATTGGTATATTTTAATGTTAAGATGGATGAGTGGAGTGACTAGGGAGGATAGAATAAGAAATAAATACATAAGGGGGAGTCTAGGAGTTGCATCAGTTATGAAGAAAATGAGAGATAATAGGTTAAGATGATTCAGTTATGTTACGAGAAGAGATGAGGCAGAGGCAGTAAGAGGTGTTAGAGGAAAAGAGAGGAAGAGGGAGACCAAATAAAAGAATGATAGACGGAATACAGAGTAACATAACTGGGGATAACTGGGGTGATTGAACGAGATGCAAAAGTTCGAGCTTCATGAAGGTGTAGGACTATGGTAGCGACCCCAGGTAGTTGGGAGTGTAAGGCGAAGATAAAGAAGAAGAAGATTGGTATATATTTATATTCAAGTTTAATTTTGGCAAGCCATTGGGAAAAGTGCCGGTCACTCTTAAAACTAATTTTAATTAAAAACAAGTTTACTTGTAATGGGTCAATTCCTTCTCCAGCACCAACAAGTTCTGCATTACTTATAAGAAGTTTAGTGCCAACTCTAACTACTTGTCTGTGTACAAGTGTATTCATCTCAGAATCCAGTAAGCCTTGTACTTTGTACCACCCGTCAGTTAGCTCAATGTTGTAATTTTCAGCTGTATTTGACTAAAATATATTTCAAAATAATAAATAAAATAATACAAACTGTAACATTATTACTTAATTGTATTATGCAATATAATATAATAGTTAAACTATAACATTCACCAAGACATGAGTTTCTGACGCCTGGCTTCAAAGAATGTAATAAATGGATTCAAACTAAATCTATACTCAAGTCAATTAAAAGTAGAGTAACTTGTGGTTTTATTATAAAATTATGGATAAACCCTCAACACAACAAAAATATACTTATGAGCGTAAACGTATTACGGTGACTATGTTGTGGTAACACGTATACACTCATAAGTATACTATACGGGCTTGAGCAACCCATTGAGAACCACTACTGCATCCACCAAGGAGGTTTCTTAACATATTCTCAGAAAGCCGGCTGTTACTTTATCTCCAGAAAAAGGGATGCTTTTTCTCACAAGATGATTAGGATGAATATCTAAGTGAGTATAGCATCGACACTTATTCATGCTAGCTTGACGAGAAACTGTCAAGTTAACAGAAACTTTCATTTCTTTCTCCACGAACTAATGACCCATTCCGAAAAGGTTATCCTTAAAAAAACTCCTCCATAGAAAAAGCAGAAATAAGCTCTGATTCTCGCCATAAGTCTAAAATTATTCAAAAAGTCAAAAAGTACTAACTAGGTTTACTCAACCCGACTATTGCCTGTAACAATATACCTATAACACATAAAATAAAATTAAACATATATTTAAAATGTAATAATTACATACTTTAATGATTTTAGAAACACACAAAATCATTCTTTTTGTTGCAACATCATCTTTTTCTAATATTTTTTTTAAAACTGATCTTTGACATTTTTCAATTTCCCTGTAATATCTATACAATAGCTCGTGAATTGTGTTCTTTGCAGTTAAAAGCCTTAAAATATGGTGGTTATTTAATAAAAGTTAATAGTTTTTATAACAGGTTATTAATATAATATACTTGTTTGCAAATAAATTAGGAAAACTAAGCTCCATTGATGCTAGTTTCCAAATGATCCAATGAAAATGGTTTTCGACCCAACTTTTTGGAATTAATTTTACATCCACCAAAAAATGTGATTCAAATAAGTTCTTTATATTGTTGAAATTATAAAAATTTGCTTCTGTGTTGCTCCTAAAATTATTATAATATATTAAAGAAAAATAATTAAAATTTTAAACACAAGCAAATATTACCTATTGTAATCCCAACATAATTTAAAATCTAATGACTTGTTTGAGTCAAAATTAGCAAAGTCATAGTTGCCATTAAAGTGCTAAAAAAAATATATATACTCATTTTACATTAAAGTAACCAAATTAAGCATAACAATAGATGGTAGACATAATTAATCATATATATTTTTACATAATAGGGATTGCATTTTGAAAACAAACATTAATAATTTTTGGAGGTAGATCTGGATTGTTTATATTTGTTTGAAAAAGTTGTATTGTTGCCGTTTTTATTTGCAATAAATGGTTGGCTATTTTTGTACAGCTAGCATGCTTAAGTACAGTACATATTATCAATAAGCTTTGGCTAGCATAAAAAACTTTTTATTCCAAAGTTAAAAAAATTACATAATTTTTTGTTATAATAAAATAATTCCAACTTGCTAAATAAGTCTTTATTTTTTTAGGCAGTTAAAATAGACTCTTTTTTACAAATTCTCTTTGTATTATTGTACTTATACAAATGTAAAAAGTGATTAACATAATTATAAAATACCTGATTTGCTGTACTCTTCTTTGGTAAACTGTAATCTACTAATGTAGACAGTGAAGTTTTTTGACTACTTAACTTTTTGGACAAATATACTTTAAATGATTTTTCCAATTCATTTTTCTCCCATCCGAAATCTAATATAGGCTTTTTAATTATTTTTTCAATATCATAATTAGGACTTCCAGGTCGTTTATTATGTGAAGTAGTATTCAAAAAATGTTGTTGACCTTTTTCTATTCGTTCAACAGTATCCACCAATGATATGTCTTCGAGTATTGATTGTGTGTCATTTAGACCATCGTTTAGACTTTTTTTATCATGTGTACTATTATGAGTAGTATTTTTCAAATTTTGCAATTCTTTAAATGCTGGTTTGTTACCTGTTCCTAATAATTTGTTTTCAGATAAAATAAATGAATCGTTCGAAAAAAATTCATCAATAATTTCAACATTCATATCTTCTATATTACCTAATATATCTGATTTTCCTATATTACATTTGCTTACTGATTGTAGTATTTTTTTTTTATTATCTATTTTTAATAGGTTATCATTATAACTAGAAAGCTTATTTACAACACAATTGCCATCTTTAAAAACAATTTGAGCCATTTGTGTAGTATTTTCCGATATCATAACTGATTTGTCTGTTGAAAAACTTTTTAATTTATTAGAGGGTTCATCGGCTTTGACTAGTATGTTAAAACTTCCATTTGTTGATTGAGCTTGATCATCCTTCAGGAGTGCTTCTACTTGACGTAATGCTTGCTCTGGAACTTTAATTGCCTTCCCTGTAGCCGTTGAAAATCCTTTGAATTCATTAGTAGTTGCTTGAGGTATATTTAAAGGATTTACCCTTTTATTTAATAATTGAGTTTCATCATCATTTAATAGTGTTTCAACTTTATGCAATGCTTTAGCCGAGATTTTTATTGACTTTCCTGTAGCTGTTGAAAATCCTTTAAATTTATTTGATGCTTCATCAACTCTACTTAAAGTTTTTAACTTTACATTTGATGATTGAGCTTGATCATCCTTCAGGAGTGCTTCTGCTTGACGTAATGCTTGCTCTGGAACTTTAATTGCCTTCCCTGTAGCCGTTGAAAATCCTTTGAATTCATTAGTAGTTGCTTGAGGTATATTTAAAGGATTTACCCTTTTATTTAATAATTGAGTTTCATCATCATTTAATAGTGTTTCAACTTTATGCAATGCTTTAGCCGAGATTTTTATTGACTTTCCTGTAGCTGTTGAAAATCCTTTAAATTTATTTGATGCTTCATCAACTCTACTTAAAGTTTTTAACTTTACATTTAATGATTGAGCTTGATCATCCTTCAGGAGTGCTTCTGCTTGACGTAATGCTTGCTCTGGAACTTTAATTGCCTTTCCTGTAGCCGTTGAAAATCCTTTGAATTCATTAGTAGTTGCTTGAGGTATATTTAAAGGATTTACCCTTTTATTTAATAATTGAGTTTCATCATCATTTAATAGTGTTTCAACTTTATGCAATGCTTTAGCCGAGATTTTTATTGACTTTCCTGTAGCTGTTGAAAATCCTTTAAATTTATTTGATGCTTCATCAACTCTACTTAAAGTTTTTAACTTTACATTTAATGATTGAGCTTGATCATCCTTCAGGAGTGCTTCTGCTTGACTTAATGCTTGCTCTGGAACTTTAATTGCCTTTCCTGTAGCCGTTGAAAATCCTTTGAATTCATTAGTAGTTGCTTGAGGTATATTTAAAGGCTTTAATTTTTCATTTGATAATGAAGTTTTATCATCTTTCACAAGCACTTCACTTTTATGTGTTGCTCTCTTTAATATGTTTAATGAATTATTTTCAGGTGTTGAAAATTCTGTATTTTCAGTTAAAGGCTTATACATTTTATTTTCTGATTTATAAGTGTATGAATATTTATGCTCATTATTACTACTCTGTACGTCACATTTTAATTTTAGATTATGAACTGCACCTTGATTACAATTGGAACTACTGCTGACTTGAATATTTGAATTTAATGTATATTGTTGAGTCCATTGATCATCAAAAGATGATAATGGTTCAATTATATCAGCTATTTCACACATTTGTGTATTGCCAATCTCATTGGTACTCATAAGGTTATTTGTGGTCAGTTGAGTTGAATTAGTAAAAAAAGTTGAATGAACGTTATCATTTTTACATTTTTTACTGTTTTGAAAAGATGTATTTTCATTTTTTTGTAGTTTGTTTAAAGTTGTAAAATTTGTTTCCACTTCCAGTACTTTTTTGGGCTTTTTTTCATTTGTTATAAAATCCTCCATTTTTAATGCTAACCGTAATAAATCATTTTCTACTACTGTATTTTCTAGTTTTGTTGAAGTGTTACCATACAGAAAAGATACCAAATTATTTACATTTTTATTGGAACATTCAAGAGTACGTTCTGACATCTGACACACTTGTTCTAAAGTATCCAAAGATATATTAAGTGAATCTTGATCCATATCTGAATTTGATGAACTCAACTTCTCATTTTCAAACAAACATCTTTTGGTATTTTCATTTTTGTGTTTTAAAGATTTCTTATTTGCAATTTCAGAGATCATTAATGGCTCACATAGGTTACTTTCAGGACTTTGTGCTTTTAAATGTGTACTGAATTTTAACTTACTTTTAATTTCTTTACTGTTATTTATTTTTGATGTATTAGGGTCAATGGAACAGTCCTAAAAAAAAAAAAAAATTAATAGTATATTTAAATGTTTAGATTTATTATACTTCTAAGCTGATTTTTTTAATAAAAACTATCTATAATAAAAGAAAAACTATAGTTAAAATAACATTAGTTCAACAACAAATGTTAATGGAATGTAGTAATTTACAATTTCGTTAGTAGTTTTAACTATAATAACAACTATTTGTCATATTTACAAATGTATGAATAAATCAAAACATTTTTAGCTTGATAATCTATGATGTATGAATGTCTTTGTTGCTGACATTTCAGACTCATTGCTGAGTTCATCTTCAGAGAGTATTTATCAAAGACATGGATACATCCAGAAATCATAAAGTTAATAACATTTCAATTGATGAGAGCTTTAACACATTTATAATTAAAAATGTTTTGTAAACATAATTACTTTATACAACACAAATGTAAACAAATATTTACCATTGGAATCTCTCTTTTACATTTAAGTAAATGGCATGGAAAAATATCTGTACCATTTACTGGATTATCTATTACTGTTGTAGAAGTTGCAGCAATTGGACTGAGGCTAAAATACATGCATTTGACATTATACTTGCTTTTTATTTTTAATAATAATATATTCATTTTTGTTTGTACTTTATTATTTCTCTTGATTCTGTTATTGATTTTTTTATATTTTGAGCATAAGGTGTTGATTGTAAATTACTATACTTAAATTTTTTTGGTCTGTTTTGCATATGAACAATAGGACTCTCATCAGGTAAAACTGAATACTTTGTCTGTCAAAATAAAATAACATTTAATTTTCTTTGTACAGAACATATAATAATATTAATAACCTTACATTTTTATCCAATTTATTGACTGATTTCAAGCTGCTTTCACAAATGCCTATTTTGCTCCTACCAGACATAATTATAGGACTTCTAGGTCTCATTTTGAGTTGCAACTTAGCAGTTTTAGAAGAATCAACCATCTAAAAAGAAATTGAATAAATGTAATCTTTTGTACAGAGCAGTATGCTAGTTAGAGAAATAATTGACTCTAAACTTTTTTTTAAATTAAATTTAATCTATTGATAGAGAAATATAATCTGTTACAAAATAGTTAATTGACTGAATGTTAATTAAGTTGACCTAATCCATTTATACAAATTACTTCAACTTCAATACATCACATTAATTTAATAACTATATTTATGAAAGCCATTACAGTGAATTGGTAGGCTTATTGATAGTTTTATTATTTTATAAAGAAGTTAAATAAGCAATTTCAGAAATATCAAATGTAAATGACTTCATACGCCAAAAACAAATAAATCATAATAAAATCATTAGAAGGACATAAAACAGTTAAATTGATCTGATTTTTTTAAACAAAAGCCAAATAGTCCCGACCCTCATAATATCAATTTTACATAGGTTGACATTGTTTTCATTTAGTATTATAAAAATAATGATTCAATAAAAATACCATTAGAATTATAAATTTTATGTTACCTTTAAATGAATTAAGATATTACTGTATTACAATTTTCATTTCACACAACCAAAAATGTTTAATATACCCAACATTATTACTCTAAATATAATTAACCAGATGGTAGATAAAAAAAGTATATAGTATTTATTTATTATATTATTTTGTTAACCGTCTCTTTTTAATAGTACATACTGATTACTGATACTTTTACTAACAATTAACAAGTACTCAAGTTCCAACCAACTCTTTGAAGTTTGAACTTACTACATAGTTATTAGTTACTACTGTCTACTATCGTCTCCTTAACAAAACTTAAATCTTAATATGCCTGTTATTGCTATATCTGTTATTGCTAGACCATCTGGATATTAAAGATTACAATCAGGTTGGTAACCGGTTTCATTTTTTTTTCCATGATGATACTATGACCAAAAAATATTAGGTATGTCAGCAACTTTGATAACCACAATATAGCGCCACGCTATTTGGGCGGCCGTTTAATTCTTAAGAGATCATCTCAACACCATGTGGTGAAAATTGATAACACTACATGATGACATACCTATTTTCAAAATTATATTGTCATGGATGATAATTACGCAATGATTATTAGCGGTTACCTCTATACAGTTTTAGTGGTTCGAGTTATAATAAAACTTATAATCATTATAATCATCATATTTAAATAATATTTATTATTTAGTATTTACATATCGATGAATAAGCTATCGTGTTATCCTGCATGAACATAAGTCATCTCTCATCAACGAGATTCTTATTTTTTTTTAAATTATTTAAAATTTAATTTATGAAAAACTAGGCTATTTGTTTTGTGTGTCAAATCGTAATGGTCGACCGTATTTTTTCTGAAAGTTGAGTTAAATTATGTCAAAATATTCATTATTACAAAACAAAATAATATATGTAAGTACTAATTAGTCGAATGAAAAAAATATGAGGTTTAAATGTTTGTATTTTCCTAGGGCTGGATATCGTTTACTAATTAAAACTTTTATGGTTACTTATTACTTACTGAAATGATATTTAGTACTTAGAAAAAAATGTTTTGTATAAATTTACTTTACCAGAAACCCTTTTTTTGCGAATTTATAGTGTTTTTTACGCCGATTACGATTCTGAATTCAGAATTAGGCGGACTTGAATTAGCTACTTGAACTTTGAAGTTTTCCTCATTTAACAGTAGGCGACAGGCGCAGCACCTACAGCTGGCGGCTGACGCGACTATGCCCCCGCTCTTCGTGGTCCTTTTTTTTATGTTGGACACGTAACACGGCTTCCAGAGCCTGCTGCCACAGGAGGCAGAGGGCTCCGCGGTCATTTCACGTAACATTAATTCTTGAAGTTCAAGTAGCTCTAAGTTTAGAACTAGAAGAGTCCGCCAATTTCTGACTTCAGATTTGTAATCAGCATAAAAAACACTGTTATGCAAAAAAAAAAGGTGTCTGGTAAAGTAAATTTTGTGAGACTTCGGAAAAGTTATGACTTATAGCTCTGGTGCGCGACTCAAATCTCAATAGTCCTTTTATAAGTATGAAGGAAACATACCCCTAAATTCTAAATCGAAAACATACCTAAACTATTGCATACCTGGTTCTACTCTGTAAGCCGAGTCCTAGCCAAGATCTGAGTTGTTGGTTTGAAGCCTGCGACAATGTGTCCGGGAGCAATAACTTTTCCACTGTTCGATAAAATAGACACTGTCAATAGTTTTAAAAACAAATTGCAAAGATTATATATATAAAAATAAAATCTAATATTTTAGTAAATCTGTATTAGAATTTTATTTATATTAGATTATTTATTAGTTATATAGATAATGCTAGTGTCTTGTTAAAATGTCATGTTACTATTATCAACATGTTACTTTTATGAGCTAAATCAAACTAAAATATTTTAATAATAAAATTTAAATATTTCCATAAAGAATTTTAAAGATATCTAAATTAACTGAATTATTAAATTATTAGGATTATAATTGTTATAATTATTAGGATGTGTGGCCGAGTAGGTAAGGCAGCTTGCAGTAAATGTTACTATTTTAATAATCAGTTGGGCGATTTTGTTGTCGGATAAGAAACTGTTAGTAAATAGGAGCTGCCATTCCCTTTGATAGCAACAAAGTGACGACTTGTCCCGAAAGCGAATTGAGTAAAAAGAAATCATTGCACGATGGTAGCTTTCTGTTTAATTTTGAAGGCCTGTTAATCTACATGAAAAATATGTTAAACTATTGAAGTGGTCAATACTTGACGAAAAATTATATTAGTTTGAATAACACGCAATTGAATTGTTTACAATAGAGTCCAGCCCTAGTTTTATGTAAAAATAAACACATTGGATTATTCAAATATGGATAAGAACTTTAAACAATAACTGAGTTATGAATTATTTAATTTAAGTTATCTAGTGATGTTTTATTAAAGTAATATACTATATAATATATCTAGTGCTAAATGGACTCAATAAACATGGAGACAAAAGATGACATCTTGCAAAGACATAGAAATGAAAAAAAAGATATGCAATGTAAAATTCAATCAATGAAAAAATCTGTTGCAAAAGGTGATCGAAAGAGAAAAAAAGAAGTAGCTGAGCAAACAGCTGACATTGAATCTAAACTGAAACAGAAACACCAAGAAGAATTAGATAAATTTACAGAGCACAATGACGAAACTTCAGTTATTAAAAAAATGGAAGAAGTCACAATAGATGAATCTACTCAAAAAATAAGTAGAGCTGAAAAACGTAGAGCAAAAAAAATTACCCAGTTAAAAGAAAGACAAGCATTTATTGAAGAGCATGAAATCCAAAATTTTAGTGGCATCCGTCATCTAGAAACGCAAACTTTAATTGAAAAACTTAAAATTCTAGGTTTGGCTATTATTGATATTCCATCTGACGGTAATTGCCTGTATAGTGCTGTTGTGCATCAACTTAAAGAAGTAACTGGGAAAGTGTATACTGTTCAAGAAATTCGGCATATGACATCTGATTTTCTTAAATGCAATAAGGAAGATTTTATCCCATATTTAAGTAACCCAGATACTGGAGATATGTTATCCGACGAACAATTTGATGACTATTGTAATCAAGTAGCAAACTCAGTCCAGTGGGGTGGTGAAATCGAATTGAGGGCGTTATCGCATGTATTTAAGACTCCTATAAAAGTGATTCAAGCTGAAGGAGCTGATGTAATTATCGGAGAAGAGTATAACACCTGCACTAAACCATTAATAATTGTATTTCATCGCCACATGTATGGTCTTGGGGCACATTACAATGCTGTATATTTAATTTAATGTTTTAACCTTGGATGTTAAAAATATAATTAAATGAGCAAATATTTAACTAAAAATTGTTTAATGGGTTTTATATTTTCAACTACAAATTACTCCTTTACATGTTACGAGTTAGCAAATAAGTTGATTTTTAAGTTAAATACTTATTACATATATATATATATAGTAAAATAATCTCGGCTTTCTGAATTTTTTTTTTTTTTGAATAGAAAGTCATTAAAATTTGAGTTTATAATCTAAAAAGTTGGTTTTTTCGTGTTGCCCAAAATTTGAAAATTTTTCTAATATTTATTTAAGAAAGCTGATATAATTTTACATAAAATGTGTAAATTTCAAATTAGGTTCACCATAAGAACGCTTACAGTAAAATTTCATAGAAAAGTCAAAAAAACAAAATTATCTTATTTTTACACAGAATTATATTAACTATTTTAATTACTGTAGTCGTTTCAAATATTTGTTCGTATTTGGCGTTTTGACCCATATATATATATATATATATATATATATATACATCTATATTTCAAAAAGAACAAGTCCCTTAAAATTTAAGAATGGAAAGTCAGTTTTAAAATCATTTATAAGTTACATACTAATTATCTTATTTTAAATTGTAATTAATCCAGGAATCACACCTCTTACAGTGAAACTTGTCTATGGCAGACCCTGAATAGTCTGGAAAAATGATTTTACATAAAATTTGAATTATATTATTGAGATTTGTTATAGTCAAAGTTTAATACTAAAATAAAATAAAATTGTTAGTTTTATATATGTATATATTGTGCTTTTATTAATGAACAAATATTATAGCACGACAATTATTATAACAAACTATATAAACTTATAACAAAACACAACACAAAAACGATTAAACATAAAAAAAGAACAATCAAATAAGAAAACCAGCTTTAGTAAAAAAGGATATTAGGAGAAAGATCTATCTATATCAAGCAGTATTATTTTGAGGAAGAGAATTCTACTTGAAGTGGAAGGCCTTAATTAATTAATCACTTTAAGAAAATTTGGGAGAGATCAGAGGGTGGAATTCAGAAGGAGGAGGGATAGATTTAAAGAATAGTAGAAAATGCTAGCTTATCTGCAACTTCATTACCAAAAATACTTGTATGTCTGGGTACTCTGAGGAATTGAACTTTTTTAATATTCAGAAATAGGCTACAGATTAAGGATTAAATAATGATTACTGTTAGTTTTTTAATGAAAACAAATGTAAATAATTATGTTCCTACAGTACTACAATTTACTTTATTCGGAATGTTTTTTTTTTTTTGTTTAACATAGAAAATTACTGGTTATGGTATGAGTTGATTTTTTTAACATCTAAACTACTTAAACTTTAAATGTTATATTGATGTTGACATGGCAAAAAGGTCTAAGCGACACTTAAAGTTTTAGCGACGAGGCTTATAAGGCTATTGGTTAGAAAACAGTTAAATATTGTATTTTTTTTAATTTAATAGAGAACTGAAAATATTGTAAAAAAAATTTTTTACTTTTTTATCTAATATAAATTAAAAAAAAAAAAATTGTAAAAATCACAAAATAACATTTAGTGGCTAGCCTGAAAACGATGAAATATGTCGCTTAGACCCTTTTGCCGTGTCACCATCGATATTGTTTACTTGTCTTTAATAACTTATGTGATATTTTAATTTTTGAGAGTTATGTATTGACTCCATCCGTCAATAGGAACTAGATTTTTAAAGAATTTCCTAAAAATGATGTTACATTGTATAAAATTGTATAAGTTTTATACATTTATAAAATATAATTATAACAACTAATTATATGTGTAGAACACCCAAAAACATTTTTTATTTTCAGCTTTTCGAGTTTGTGTTGATATTATCATATACAAGTGCTTTCAATGGTACTCTTCTACACGCAATAAATGGCATAGTTATACAAGACAATTATACATACTATTCGTTGGAAAACAGAGGCTATATTTCGGTTGTGTTGATTTCAGTGTAAATAGTAAATTGTAACATTGTGAATAAAAACACTTAAATCTGTAATTATTATATATTTTCAGGGAAGGTGATGCTGACTTATATGTGTCACAACCTCACGTTTCAAAATCTCCAACTTATGAACCAGACACTTATTGCCTTCAGTCGTCGACTTGTGGAAATGACATTGTTTATATACCTAAATGGTAATTTTATTTGACAAAGGAATTTGGTTATTAGAAGTCCTTGATATATATTTTTTTCATTTGAATGTTTCACAGGTTTAAACGACCGGTATACATAGGCATATACGGTCACCCATCCAATGAAATTTCTAAGTATACTTTAGAAATTTATCAAAATAAAATACCCGGAGAAGAGTTCAATTTAAATTTATTTAATTCTGAAGACGAAAATGGAACTGTATTAGTAAATAACGCAGAAGATGATGTAAGAAAATCAAACTAATAATAATAATAAACTAATAAAACGAAATCAATGGTTTTTTTTTTAGGAATCTAATATAACGGAACAAGCTGATCAAATCACTTTGCCACTTCAATTAATTTGGAACTTTTTAAGTCTTGCTGTAGAAATTGTATTTTTATAAACTATTTGTAATTTCTTTAATATAATGCTTCCCTACGAAAATCAAATATTTTTGGATGTATTGCACGAAGATGGTCTTGTAATATGTGCAAAGTAAGTAATCAAACTAATATTTGTTATTTCGTTTTTCTGAAATTGTATTAATTATTTTAACTTTTTAATGATTAGGGGCCTAGGATTAGAAACTGTTATCTTAAACATTATAAAAGTTTATTGTGATCCTGGTAACCTAGTATTAGTGCTCGGTTCATCTGCACCTGAAGAAGATTATTGGATAAGTCAGTTAAACAAAGAAGGTGTTAAACCTTTACCTAAAGTATTATCTGCTGACACTTCAATAAGTGAAAGGTAAATTATTTTTATGACACTTAAAAAAACAAAGTTTGCAAAAAAACTAAAACCAAACTGGTTTTTATTGTTTAGTTTAAACCCAATAAATGTTTAGTATTTAGCCAAAAATATAAGTTGCCTGGTTTCTGTAAACCCAAAAACAACCTAACTAGAAGGCAATAGCCAATTTAAAAAAATAACTGGCTTTGCCAACTAAACTTTTTTTTTTTTTAATGTTATACATACTACACTTTTGTAGGGAGAAACTTTATCTTCAAGGTGGAGTGTTGTTTGTTTCATCCAGAATTGTTGTTGTTGATCTTTTAAAACAAAGGATTCCTACACCTCAAATCACTGGATTTTTAGTCTGTCGAGCTCATAACATCTTGGAGTCATGTCAAGAAGCATTTGCTTTAAGATTGTTCCGCATGGGAAATAAAGTAAACCTTATTTTAAAATACTTGCTAAGAGAAGTGATTTTTATGTTTGAATACAAGCCTTACAGCAAAAACTCTTACACATTATAGAGTGGTTAAATTGCCAATGGTCATATCATTTGTTTTTGTTACAGTCGACTTAAATTTCTGATTTTTATAAATATTAATTCTGTAATTTATAATAATTTTTTAATATTATCTTTTGTTTTTATTAGACTGTAGTTTTTGTTATTTTTGGTAGTAAACAAAAAAATTGGAGATCTATAAAGACTGTAAAAAATAAGAATCAAAATTGAATCAATTTATGGTGTCATTGTTTTTTTTTAAAGTAATTTTTTACCACCAATATGGTTATAAACTTATAGGCAAAAATTGTTACAAATAATACCATAAAGCTTATAAGAACTAATTAACCTGAAATTGATTTAAACCATATTCTGTTTTTAACCATGGCTGAGGCTCTTAAAAAACTTATTTATACATGTATATTTTTAGACAGGATTTATTAAAGCGTTTTCAGCGTCATCACAATCATTTACCTATGGATTTACGCAGATTGAACGAATAATGAAAACCCTCTTTGTTCCTAAATTATACTTATGGCCAAGATTTCATCTTTCTGTTAAATCAAGTTTAGATAATATAAAGGTAAGCTTTATTAAATATGCTGTATATATTTAAATTAGAAACAAAGATAAATACAATTTTTTTTTTCAGCCAGAAGTTATAGAACTACACGTTGAATTAACACCTGCAATGATTGATATTCAAACATCTTTACTTGATTTAATAAACTTTTCTATTAAAGAATTGAAAAGACTTAACCCTTCAGTAAGTGTCTCTATTTTTAAAACAAATATTAATTCATACAAAAATTAATATTATAAAAAACTTAAATTACAGTTAGATACAGAAGAATTAACAGTAGAAAATTGCCTAGCAAAATGTTTTCATAAAATATTACAAACACAACTTAACCCAATTTGGCATCGCCTTAGTTGTACGACTAGACAATTGGTTTCTGATCTTAAAGTATTACGTAATTTAATGATGTAAGCATGTAATATTTATGTATAAATTATTTTAATAATTTAATAAAATATGTTGTGCTCTAGGTCTGTAACAACATTAGACAGCGTTCGCTTTCAATCAATGTTATCAAATTATTCAAATGTCGAATATGCTCACCGTAGTTCAGGATGGTTATTACTTGATGCAGCAGAAACATTGTTTGTTACGGCTAAACGACGTTTGTTGAACTCAAAAAAAGGTACTACTAAAATAATATTTAATATGGATGAGTTTAAAAAGTTGCCATCATTCTCTCTGGCAAACCAATTAATGGTATCTCTGGCCGGCTTAAGCTCATATACTGGGTATTTAGAATTTTATAGCCCATTTGATTTTTTAATGATAAACTAAAATTATAAAGAAAAGACCTATGGAAAACCTTTTTGGGTTTTATTAAATGATAACAGTTTAAAAAAAAAAATTCAGTTAAAAGACAGATTTAGGATACATTTAATTCATTTTTTAAATAAAAAAATTTACTTAAAATGTTGACTGGTCCATAATCAGCTTTTAATAATTACTTTAAAGTTCTTAATGTTTAAAATTTAGGATAGGAGGGGGTAGTGTGGTTGAGTAACCTGGACAGATAACAATAATACTACTTGTTTGATAGAAAACAAAAAGAGTCATAGGTGTGGGTATATAAATATTTATTTAATTAAAAACTTACTATATACACACATGTAATTATTATATAAAACTTAATAAGTTAATCTTATAACTTGGTTGTGTGACATCAGTGTGAAGCCGCCACATAAGGTTTACATGGGTCATTTTTTCAAAATTTTACTATATCATTAAAAAATTAGGAGGGCCATGAAATTCTGAACGCCCTTTAGTTGTATATTTTTACTACACTTACATTTTAAAATTTGTTTTTTAGAAATTTCTCCTGAACCCAATCCAAAGTGGGGTGGATTAACTGAAATTTTAAAAGAAATTGGACAAAATTCTAAAGATAACGGTGAAGTTGTATTAGTACTTGTTCAATCTATAGACACTTGTCGTCAATTAAAAAAAGTATACAAGCTACAATAATTTTTTATATAGGGTGGACTAAAAATATGTTTTTTTTCATTTTATTTTGGTCTTTGCTTGACAGTTCTTTTGGTAAAAAAAATGTTCCTAATTGTTTTAGATTATTCAAAAGAATTTTTAGAAGTTGCTACTAGCTTTTATGTAGTTATGTAATTCTTTCAATTTTTAATTTTTTCCATGGATAAAAAAAAATTAAGATAAAAAGTGATTTACATGAAAATTACCAGAATTAAAAGGAACAAATTTTGACCTGAGGTTGATTTGTAAAAATGAATATTGACGAAGATACACGCCTTTAAAAATGACCATTATTTTTGTATATTATTCTTATGGTATACATATAATAATATAAAATATAATTTTAACATACAAATAATTATTTTTTCCCTAAAATATCAAATCTTAGAATTAGAAATACAATTGGAATATTTTTATTTTTGTTCAAATAATTTTTTTTAACCATTCAAAAAAATTTTAAAGTAGTAATAAGGATTTGTTTTATGAGTACTTAAAAAAAATTAATCTTTTGAGGTCTGATCTCTGTCAGTATGATTTTTTTTCGAATCAACCTTAAAGTAAAATTTGTTCCTTTTTTTTATGTTGATAGTTTTCATGTGAATCACTTTTTCTTCTTAAGTGTTTTATATCCCTGAAAAAAATTATAAACTTAAAGAACTACATTTTTTCCCTTAAAGGGTAACCTCCAAAAATTTGAAAAAAAATTAGGAAAATTACTTTTTATTCAAAGATCAAACTGTCACAAGAAGAACAAACAATTTGTTTGGTCCACCCTAATATTTATATTTATATGAGGTATTCTTTGTCAAACCACGCAGTTATCGGTACATTTTTCGAAATTATTTTTTAAACATCTTTTGGTCTAATATGACATTTTTTTTTTTTTTTTTTTATCACTCGTATTTACCCCTAAAATATAGGATTTTTAAGTTATTTTTCACGAAAAATTGATTTCGACCAGTTTTAAAATACTGAAATTTTTATCATAAAATCAGAGACTCAAATCAAATCTTTTTGTCTAATAACAAGAATGGACAAAGATTTATTTCAAAATCTGAAAAAAAAATGTATGATTTCAGTTTTTTTATTTAATTAAAAAAAACATAAAACATGTCAAAATATATTAAATATTATATCAATTTTTACCAAAGACATGTTTTGTTTTATTTTTTAAAAAGATTCGGTTTGAATGATTTTATGAAAAAAATTTCAGAATTTTAAAACTAGCCGAAATCGACTTTTCGTGAAAATAACTTAAAAAATTTTATTTTTAGGAATAAATATGAGTGATAAAAATTTCAAAAGAAAAAGTAGACCAAAAGAAGTTTAAAAAAAAAAAATTCTAAAAAACGTTGAGGAGGTTGGGGTGATGACTGCGTGGTTTGACTCAGGATGCCTCATATGTATAATTTTCTAGTTGATGTATTTTATAATTATCATTACATACTATTTACAGCTTCTCGTTAAAGGTGCAGATGGACTATTGTTAGAGTTATACAAAAGACATATTAAAGATAAACCAACTCTATCAAAAGATAAAACCTCTGGTAAAGAAGATATAGAATATGTTGCAGAAAATAAAGAAGATTTTAATGAAGATGATGAAGCTTGTGAAAGTTTTATGTTAACGCAGCAAAAAAATGGCGAAGACATTTTAACTTTTACAGAATGCTCGGAAGATACTCATGTAAGACAATTGCATACTACGTATTTAATTTAATTGTGTGTATTATGTTTTTGAAGAGTTACAACATTTTTGTAAATTTTAATTTTTAATTTTTTTGAAAATGGGTATGTTTTTTTTATTGTATTTGAATTTATAGAATGATACAATGAAAGATCCGGTAATTGTACTACAGCAGTATAAAAAACACGGGGATTTTTTGTCCCTGCCACGTGTATTAAGAGATTTACAACCCAAATACATTGTTATGTATGATGCAAACATGACAGCAGTTCGACAAATTGAAGTATTATTTTAGTACTTTATTTTTAGAATAAAAATAAAAATTTATCAATATGCACTGTTCCTTGTTTATAGGTGTTTCAAAACGCTGATGCTAAACAAAAATTAATTGTTTATTTTTTAATATATGCTGGATCTACCGAAGAACAAGCATACTTAACAACTCTCAGAAGAGAAAAATTACTCTTTGATCATTTAATTAAAGACAAAGCTGTAAGTAAATAACGTATAACTTCAATAGACAATAAGTAATTTTTTTAGCTTTGATATGAAACTGAGAGAAAATTGTTATTACAATGATGACGTCATAATATTTTTTCAGTGAAGTTTTAAAAATTAAGGTCTGAAAATAAAACTGAAGATTGAACTACTGTGTAGCCTTTAACTTAAACAGAATTTTCAGTTTAACTTCGCAGCCTAAAATTGAAGAATTTAAAAATTCAAAATCGTACCCACTAAAACTTTACATTTTTGTATAGAAAAAATCAGAATAAAATAATTTTGATTATTAAAATTGTGCAATTTTTTTCCCATAAACGTCCTCTTTTATTTAAAAATTGTTATAGCTTGTAGAAAACAAAATATAAAATGAATATTTTCAAACTTCTATTCAATTATTTTTCCTAAATTAACATGGGACTAAATTTTGTCATGGGACTATTTTTTTTAAATATGGCTATATTATACCCCTTAATTATAATAAGGCTCCTTAAGAAAATACCAAGAATCTAAAAATATAAACAATAAATACAAATACTATAAATGTGTATAAAGTTTAAAATTGTTACCCTAACTTATTGTAATTTTTGTGTCGGTCATACAGGTTGAACAATTTAATTAAGCTATATTACATTTTTCGGAAATAAGTGTAATCTGGTGTTTATTTTTTTGAAAATTTGTTTGTTAGTTTTTTCATAGTATAAAATTCTAATTCAATCTGTCAAAATGTTTTTAATAAAAGATGTATGTTAACATTTAAGTTTTAAAAGTTGGTAGGAATATGAAGTTTAAAAAAAAACTTGTGACTCCTCCCACTCCCCAGTCAAATACAACTGTGCTTGCTTTTTTTTAATGTATAGGTACTAATTTCCAATTTTGTTAATCTAGATTATGGTCATACCTAAAGGTCAAGATGGTAAAGACGATGACTGTCCTGAGTTGTCTCGAGATTTGGGTGTTCATCCTTCAGAATTAATGGAAAATGAAGATAAGATACATAAACCGGGAGAGAAGGCTGTCCAAAAAGTAACACCTGTAATCATTGTTGATATGCGAGAATTCAGATCAGATTTACCTGTTTTGCTTCATCGTCGTGGTATTGACATTGAACCAGTGACTCTACAAGTAATGTATTAACAATAAACATTAACCAATATTATTGAGCTTTTGTATTTAATTAATATTTTTTTAAATCTATGATTTAGGTGGGTGATTATATTTTAACACCAGAAATGTGTGTAGAACGAAAGAGTATCGACGATTTAATTGGTTCACTAAAAAGTGGTAGACTTTATCATCAGGCTCTAATGATGTGTCGTCACTATAAAAAACCTATATTACTTATTGAATTCGACCAGAATAAACCATTTGATTTACAGGTATAAAATTTGTTTATTGATGGTGAGCAAGCATTACCACATAATAAAAAAAAAAAAACAAATTGTCCAGGAAACAAATATTTTTACAAATTAAATGTTTTTTATCTTAAATAAAGTTTTTATTACTATCAGGCTATACTTCTAAAAAATTTAAAATGATTCATGGTTTTTCTATAACAAAATTAGTTTTTTTTTCTAAACGGTGATATAATAACATTTCAGTTTTTCTTTACTTACCTGGTATTGCTTGCTAACCGACGTTTTACGAGTTAATAAAAAAATTACTTCAAAACTTCAAAAAATTAGTTTATTCTAAAACCATTGTATGTACAGACTTATAATAATGGTTTTAAAAATAAAAACATTTTAATAAGTAGTGCATGTTATCGTTAATGGTCCAAAATTATATATCTTGAATTATTATATATTTCAAATAAATAAACACTCGACCAAAACTTAAAATCTATTTTTCAATTTTTTTGTATACTTACAATCATGTTTTTTTGGAATTGCTATAATAATATTTTTTTTTTAGGGAAACTACTACTTAAGTAAAGATATGACAACCAGTCATCGAAATGATATAACATCTAAATTGCAGTTATTAACTTTACACTTTCCTAAACTTCGCCTGGTTTGGTCTCCTAGTCCTTATGCCACTGCAGAACTTTTCCACGAACTTAAAGTATGAATGATGTATATTATATCATTTTTTTTAAAATTATATATTCATATATATTAATGAATTTTTTATTTATAAAACGTTTTTATCCTTGCATTTATCTAGGAAGGAAAAACACAACCAATTTCATCTGAAGCCGCTGTTATTGGCTTAGAAGCTGGTCAAAATTTTGATGAAGAAGAGTATAATGCTGTTATTAAAGTATATTATATATATTTATATTATTAATATATTGATAGGGAAAAGGAAAAAAGGTTTAAACGACATCATTCAATATTAGTAGATACTTGGCAGATGCATGGCTGCATTGGCACAGGTCGTACCATCTAGTTGTTACAGTCGCCTTAAGGCCCCTGGACACCGACTGTTTTTTTCAGTCAAAACACATTATTTTTTGTCCATCGTACAGGCCAAACCAATGATCCGATAAGCAGTCTAAAAAAATCTGAATTTGTCATGAAGTTTACTTGAGATGGTCAGAGTATTTTTAAAATTTTTAATTTTAACCTTTTCCAAATTTTATAAAATGTTTAAATGTGTTTTATGCGTAGTAGGAATAAGATATCAAAATAGTACGCTGACTGATCTCAAGTAAACTTCATGACGAATTCAAATCTGTTTTCAGATTACTTATCGGATCACTGGTTCAGCCTGTGCGATGGACAAAAAATGTACTATTATATTAACTAATATGGCTTTTACTCATAGACAAAAAGATTTAAATTAAAAATAATACCATGAAGCTTATACAAATTAACCGGTAAATTAATTGACATTTTCGAAATTTATTAATATCACTTTTCTTTAAATATTGCCTTTACAAAACTCCTTAAAAATTGTCGGTATCTAGGGGCCTTAACATGCGCTTAGAGATAAATTCAGTAAGATGTCATATAACTCTACCAAGTGATCGGAGTCACGCAACTCGCGTATATGTCAATTGCAACTATCGACTGTAGTTCACTTATCGATCAACCTAATTGCCAGCATCCCCACAAATATATTGCTTAACTATCAATAAGATTCTTGTTGATGATGTTATAATATAATTGATTATACATTTATGGCTTGTACATCATTGTTAAAATGAATTAAGTATTATGATAAAAATTGTAGCTTTAGCGGTGTATTCACCTTTAATTAATAATATAGGTATAGTGCCAAAAATGTCTAATGTAGAAAATACACAATTTTTTTTTTATGACAATATTTATTCTGAATACTATTATTTTACAATTTTTTCAAACTAATAATGCAAACCAATTATTTTAACGAGTTGCATGAAAAAAAAATAGACTGTTTTTGGCTCTTCTGTCAATATTAAAATGTTTGTTGTTTGCAACCTTTTTCTTTTACACTATCGATATTATGATTTAAATTTATTTTATAAATTTGATGCCAATCATTTTTTTTTCTTTTAAAAGTAAATACAAGTACGTCATTAAAGATTAAAATAACAGACAATATATTTTAATTGAAAGCCTCAGTACAAAAATGATATGATATGATATTATATTATGTGTGGATGTATTATTACATCCACGCATCATTCTATTTAGGGTATCATTTTTTACAATATTTGTGCTGTAAATGGTAAATAGAATTTTAAATTTACGATAATGTTTTGTTTTTCTTTTTTGAATTTCTTAAAGATTAATTTAACAAGTATCAAATTTATTTGTAGTAACCGTATCATTATAACAAATAAAGAAATAACTATTTTTTTTTTATAACAGGACTTTTTGTGTAAATTACCTGGAGTTACTACTCAAAACATTTGTAGTATATTAGATAAAGGAAAGTCATTGCCTCATATGATGAATATGTCCCAACAAGAATTAAAGACTTTATGCCGAAATTCAAATGATGCAGACTTATTGTATAGTTCACTGCACACTAAATTGAATCCATCCAATGAACAACCTGGATTAAAAGTTCAAGCTGGTAAAATATTCCGAGCAAAAAAGAAATTCAAACATTCAAAATCTAAATAATACTATAATAAAATAATTTTTTTCTATAAATCAATATGTTTAAATATTAAGAAATATTTTTTTTCTGCAAATTGTGTTAATTTTTACTATTTAAATAATTTGTGAACTACTAAAAAGTATGTTGTAAATAGTATGTGTTTTGGATTATACACTTAATTTGCACTGTCATTTTGAATTTTTTCTTTGTATTTTTGTCATAACGTTTTTATAACAAGTTGTATAATCGTATTTATATTTTCTAATCATATTAGAAATTAGATATATGAAGTATTTAGAGTGAAAGAAGCACTCTGTAATGGTAATAACTACATAATAAGCATTAAGCTTAGGTTAAAATAATTTAATTTATACTATTTTACCCGATACCGGCAATCGTCAAAGCTTAAGCCGGTATTACCATGGCGTCGGTTTCTGATAACCATATACGCGGTATCGAGTTGGATGATTGTAAACAATTAAAAGTATGGACCGTTCGTGCGCTCGAATCAAGGGTGTTCTGGTTATCATACGATATATGATAGTACCGTGTACTCATAGGGCATAGACCTTTAAATGTATATAATATTATTATGTATAGCGTGACGGTTGATGACGTAACGAAGCGTTTACTGTAACGCTTGATATCAAACCGCTACGGGCTACCATTTACCTTATAGCTAAGTTTTATCTTTAGAATATAAAAACTTTAAAGCAGTAATTAAATTCTTCGTAGTTCTATAGAGTATTTCTAGATTAAACGCCCATACAAATTTAATAATAATTATTAAATATTTTACGTCATTTAAAAACAACCAATTCTTGTGAATGTACTGTTTGATTACATTTCTATTGGAGCAGTACTAGACTTGTAATTAGGTAGTCAAATAAAATTAATCTACATTATTATTATTTATAACGTAAGAAGCAATGCTAAATTACCTTTTTTGAGTCCTATATAATTAACAAACATTCCAGTAAATTGAAATATTATTATTCATGATGGGACTTAATAAGTATCTTATTTAAATTATTTTTTTTAATATTTATATATTCGTGTACTATATAAACTATTGAAACATTTTAAAATATGACTTGGGGATTTGTTACTTGTGGACCAAATGAAGCCTTGGTTATTTCAGGTAAGTTCAATTAAAAATTGATATTTTATTTTATTTGATTTATTACAGCTGGAAATATTCAAACAAAAACTCTTATTAAATTTGCCACAGTTTAATAATAAATTATATTTGTACAACTATAAACTTTAATTATGTCTTACAGGCTTCTGTTATAGTAAACCAAATTTAGTACCAGGTGGGCGAGCATTTGTTTGGCCAGTCCTTCAGTATTGCCAAAGGTATTATTATTATTGTTATTATTGGATGTTGTAGGAATTTTCGTTCTAATCAAATACAATTGTTTATTTATTATTAAGATCCTGCCAATTATATATAAAGTATCTAAAATGTTTTACATTATTTATTTATTAAAAGATATAAGTAACAATAATATTACCAGACTAATATTTTGCAGTTTGTTCTTACATTAGAATTCTGCTTGTAGCACCCTCTTCCCATTTTTTTCTACAATATAAAAAATAACTGAAAATTTGGATGATTACTTAACCCCTTCGCGTGCCGCATTGGGGATGAAGTTTAGCCAAAAAGAGTAGGTTTTCAGTTTATTAAAGGGGTTTTCATAGAATCATAGAAAAAAATGGAGGGGAGACTGTTGCAAACAAAATTCTAAAGTAAGGATTAGTTAATTTTGTAAATATAATTTTTTAAAGAGAATATTTTTATGTTTCAGAATTTGTTTAAACACTATGACAATACAAGTCGATAGCCCCAAAGTATATACCAGTCAAGGTGTGCCATTATCTGTCACAGGAATCGCTCAGGTACGGTAAAATAGGATGTACAATTTAACCATTATAATTTATAAATATCATTAAAATAAAAAAAATTCTTATTATGTGGAGTATTTATATAATATGGTTGATGAACCAAAAACTAAAACTATTGGCTCAAAAACAGCTTACTATAAATTTCCTAAATTTTAAAATTAGAGTATATTGTTGGAAATATATATTTTCCAATATATATGTTTGTTATCATAAAGATAACTAACAAAAGTATTTTTTCATATCGCCGCCCCAGTAGAACAATGATTCAACTGAAAAAATGGAAATTTTACAGGAGAACGAAGAAACTAAATTATTTTTTCTAAAATGTTATGGGATGTAATTTTAATGAAATGAGACTGCTTGGGAAATTATTACAACTATAGTTACATTGTTTTGCTACCTCATGCATTTGATATATTTAAACACATTGAAGCATTTAGCCCATTTTACCAAATTTTGCAGTTAGGTCATTGTTTTACCGGGGCGGCAATATGATATTCTTGATCTACATATTTTTTTACTTCAAGTTGATATATGTTTTTAGAATAATGTATTGCAAGTTTCCTAAATAGGTTCTTTGTCTTCTAAAAAAATGTTGTAAATAAATGGTATTTTTATTATAAAAAAAAAAATAATAATTTAAATTTTATTATAACTTGCTCTTTTTTTTTGTTTTTGTGAATAATTTACGTTTATCCTAACTGAACATTTTTATTTCATTAAAAGGTTAAAATACAAGGTCAAAACGAAGAAATGCTTTTAACAGCGTGTGAACAGTTTTTGGGTAAATCAAAAAATGAAATACATGAAATTGCCCTGCATACTTTAGAAGGTCATCAACGAGCTATTATGGGGACAATGACTGTTGAGGTTTGTCAATATCACTAAATCTATTAATTAATTATGGTAACTTATTATAGGTAAGAACTGGGCCTCTATTAGGGTGGTAGACAGAAGAAATGAATTAACAAGTCAATAATGGCTATTCATAATTCTTATTTTAATCATTTTTTCTAGCAATTTCGTGGTACTCGCTACGCTTTACAAACTTTGTGGACACTCAGCATTATACTTTATATTATAACTTGTCAATAACACAAATTAATTTGTGTGTGTGTATGTGAATCTTGCATAGCATAAATTACTATACTTAAAGCTTTAAAAGTATTATCTTTTAAATTACATTGTATTAAATGTACTCATTAGTTATAAAATTAATTTATAGGAAATTTATAAAGATCGCAAGAAATTTAGTAAACAAGTATTTGAAGTAGCTTCTTCTGATTTGGTAAACATGGGCATTACTGTTGTGTCGTATACCATTAAAGACATTAGAGATGAAGAGGTAAGTGTTGTTTAATTATAATTTGTATTCAATTATAAAACTTAATTTTTGTAGCTTGTAATATTTAAGAAATTAAGAAACATTTATTATATTTCATAAGTAAACACTTGTGTTAATTATTAATTTCAGGGATATCTTAAGGCTCTGGGTTTAGCTCGAACAGCTGAAGTCAAAAGAGATGCTCGTATTGGAGAAGCTGAGGCGAAAAAAGAAACGACAATTAAGGAAGCAGTAGCCGAAGAAGAAAGAATGGCAGCAAAGTAACAAATTTTTTTTTTTTAACTATTATTTATGTATTTGTTTTTTATTTGTATTTATGTATTTTATGTATTTGTTCTTATTTATTTTTAATTAAGGCTAATAAACGATACTGAAATAGCTAAAGCGCAAAGAGATTTTGAATTAAAAAAGGCTGCGTATGACGTTGAAATTCAAACAAAAGTACTGTTTAAAATTTTATAACAAGCAAAATATATATCTTTTTGATTTATATCCACACAAAAATATTGCAGAAAGCTGAAGCAGAATTAGCTTATGAACTTCAAGCTGCAAAAACAAGACAACGCATTAAAGAGGAACAAATGCAAATAGACGTTGTTGAAAGAACTCAACAAATAGCTGTTCAAGAACAAGAAATTCAAAGAAGGGAACGCGAATTAGAAGCAACCATAAGAAGACCGGCTGAAGCCGAAAAATTCAGGTGACATTAAATTAAATTGATTAAAAACAAAAAAACCATAATGAATTTGCTTTCATACATAACTTTGGTATCACCTTAGCTTTCTTCAGTTTAACCTATTACACAAAGCTAAATTCTTCTTCGATATTCAAAATTTCTATGTAAAATAACATAATATTTATTTTGAGTTTATTGTAGTTTTCATTTATTATTTTTTTTATTAAAAATTAGATTGGAAAAATTAGCACAAGCTAATCGAACTCGAATAATTTTGGAGGCAGAGGCTGAAGCTGAAGCGCTTAGACTTAAAGGAGAAGCAGAATCGTTTGCTATTCGAGCAAAAGCAAAAGCTGATGCGGAACAAGCACTGAAAAAAGCTGATGCCTGGAGAGAATATAAAAAAGCCGCAATTATTGATATGGTTTTGCAAGCATTACCAAAGGTATTGAATTTTTCATTTTTTAAATAATTTGATATGATATGTAGACCGCGGATTTTATGTACTTTAAAATATGTGTTATTACACACCATACAGTAAATGTAAAAAAAAATTAAGAAACCGAATGAGCCCTACATATCAAAATTTACATATGCAGTTTGCATATTTCTAAAAAAGATAGAATTATGAAAATAAGTGATCTAAACAATAAATAAGGATTTTATAAAACAATAGCATGTCCTAACTGGAATTCTAGGTGGCACGTTAGTGACAAAAGGGCTTTAATGTCATTTTCAGAAAAATACAATTTGAGAGTAGTTATCTATGTTTCTTTGTGTGCTGAATGTGGGACAAATGTTTAAAAAAAATCCTGGAGACCTGTAAATTAATTTGTCAATGTCAGGTTTTTATTGTTTTTTTTTGTAATTATTATTATATTATTTGCAGGGAAATTAAATATTTTAAAATGGATGTGAATAAAAATTATAATTTCTCAATATATATTGTACCAAGTAAAATGTAGGCAAAAGCTTTTGTATTCAATTATTTTAATTTAAGGTCGACTATGTACTAATCTAATAACTTTTTCTAAACCTATGAACTTATGATGACTCATCAGTCATCACTCTTAACTGCAAGTCTAAACTTGATACTGTTTCTGTCTTTCTTTTAATTTTCACTTACTTGTATTCTTGTGGGTACAAGTACAGACTTGTTTCGTTGCTGGCCTACTATTGCGTAACAAAGGGAATTGCCAAAATGTAAACAATGACTTGGTATTAATATAGATACATTTACTCTTTAAAATTTTTAGGCCACTTAATTTATTATTAAATATTAAGTTTTGAAAATTATTACATTTTTATAAATTATAAAAAAAAAAATTTTAAACTAAAATAATTATTAACAAAAAATTCGCAAGAAATGACGTTTAATATCTTTTATTGCATAATATATTATTAAATTATTATTATTATTTTATAGGCAACAATTTAATTATTTAAAAATGATTATTTAATAATATATGCACAAAAAATATGCAATATGCAGTTATTGCATATTGCATATGCAATAACATAAAATATGCAAAATATGCATATTACAAGTAGTGTATATGGTATAAAAAGTCTAAAACGGATTTTGGAAGGAACATTCTTTCATAGGAGGACCCATAAAATACATACAGTTGCATACAAATCCACGGTCTAATGATATGTATAATTAATAACTTTTTATTTTAGCTGGCTGCTGAAGTTGCTGCTCCATTTGATAATACCAAAAAAGTAACCATGGTAGCCAGTGGTGATGGTGATGTAGGAGCTGTTAAATTGACTAATGAAGTTATTCAAATTGTTAACAAAGTGCCTGAAATGGTAACTACATTAACTGGAGTCAAAATAAATGATGTTATGTAAGTTTACACTTAAAAATTTAAGATTTATAAACTATTACTTACCAACTCAAAATTATATAATACTTATTTCTGGTGTAAACACTTTAAATAAAACCCCTTAGATTGTAAAAGTTTTTCTAGGCTAATAAAACCTTTTTAAACAACTTTGTCACCGGGCGAGCTGAAAAATAAAAAACTGTATGCGGAAAACTAGCTATTTCTTAAACCATCCTATTTTATTGTAGTTGTAAAGTTTTCAACTCTTAAAATCTTTTAAGGTTAATTTTTATTCATTGTTTGAAATAGACTATTTTCCATTTTTAATTACTTATAAATACAAATATATTAAGTTATAGTATCAAAAAACAACAAAGATGTACAACATGTAACATGGTTTTTAGGTGATATTCCAATTTTTAGATTTTACTACTACTACTGACTGACTACTGTATGGCTGTGTATTAGCCGACCAATAATAATAGTCTGATCAAAAAACTGACTCGAAAAAAAAGTACCATTAAAAACCAGTAGTATTTATTACCCATTAACAATTTTAAATGCCCAAAACCCAATAGAAAAGTTAAGTATTTCAGTTTGAAAACCTTGGAAAAAATATAATCAGGGATAGATTGGCAATATTAGAATAACTGTATAATTGAATGAAAATGGTAAAAAAGAATTTATAGTAGTGAAAAGAGATAAGTTAAGAAAATTGTGAATTAACTTAATAAATAAAAAGAACATATTGCAGACAGACAAAATTGATTGCATTAACAAATCTTTGGTCACTGTTTGTGTAGCAAAAATAAAAAAATAGAGAATTCACAAATTAAATTATTAAGATAATAAGTTAGTAATTATAATTATACCTTTACAATTCTAATTATTTAATTAAACATGAAAATAATTTTATAACAGGAATATGTAAATAAATTGCTTGGACTTAAATTTGGATTACAATATTATTGGTATAATACATCAAGCCTGTACGAGTATTTTAAGAAAATCAGAAAAGAAGACTTAAAAATTATAATAACTATAATTTAAGTTAACCATTTAATCATTATTTTTACTATTCTATTATTTATTATACTAATCATCTTCAATTACTTGTGTTTACTTTTGTTTTTATATAAAGAATTAAATGAATAATGATATATTTATATTAATTTTTTTTTTATATGCAACTATAGCATATTAATTAATGAGCCCTATATTATTGTCGTGCCTAATTTTTACTATTTTTTTTATAACTTAATGATATGTTTTAACTTTGCTTAGCTACATTTTGAAAATTGTGAAAAATATATTTTCTATTTTATTAGTGTTTACAGCTACCTATTAAATATTTTTATATTTAGTCAGATTTATGTGTATCAAAGAATATAAATTATTTTAAACTTAATCTTGCCTTCTAAAAAATGTTATTTTATAGATATCTTTTACTTAATTATATTTCTTTATTTACTAAATTACATACAATTTCATTTATATTTCAGATTTTGCCTAAATTTTTTTTTATCTTTAAAGACATCTGATAATGGGTTAGCAATTTTTAATTAAAAAATGTTAAATACGTATATACCTAAAGTTTATTAGCCTAATGCCACATTGAATAAATAAAATAATTATAATTCTCATACTTTCCAAAAATTTCGAAGAACAATTTTTTGTGAGTATTATGCAAAAAAGTCAATGGTATACAATTAGGTATGGAATTTCCAAATCTTCACCCATAAAAAATATTTTGTACTAAACATTTTCAATCTATTTAACATTTAAATAACTGGGTACCTTATATTTTTTTTTTAGTATTAAGAATGTGTACACCAATTTTAAAAACATTAATAAAATGTGACAATTCTTAAAAAAGAAATTAAAAATTATTAACATCATTTGTGTGAACTTTGGCTGAATGACATAAATTATTGGTTCTCAATCCTTATAAAATAATCTAAAATAAATGGGTTCTTTCACATATTTCGAATTTAATTCTAAAAATACATACAGGCACTATATAAAATAAAAAAATCATATGTTCTGGTTTTATTAAATTCTAGTAATAGCATATAAAGTGACTAGAACACATGTTCTAGTATTAATTCGTACAGAATGGTTTTTCAAAAAAATTGTACTGTGAAATAATATTAAGCACTACTATTATTTATATTATTATAACTATTAATTTACCACTAATTAATAAACACATGTTTTAATCCCGAAGAAAAAAAAGAGCGATACAAAATTTATTATTTAGTCAAATGTATAGTTAGCCTCTAAATGTAGTTCTTTTAATATAAGTCATTGTTTAATGTTTAAAAGAAAAAAATAATAGCTGCTAAAAGACATTGTATTTCAATTAGATTTTTCTATAAATTTCAATTTACTAGCATCAAAAAACAATATTTTCCTTCATTGTAGTTTCACAAATGTTATTATGTATGTTTGCCATTGTTCCGTTGCCTAGAAATGCAAAACAAAAACATTATCCAATTTTATTTAATATTTATGTATTTTTATAAATATTAAAATAACTATATAACATTTAAAGTACATCGTACACTCAGTTTAAAAAAATAATAATTAGTTCAGCCAAATCATTCAATTTGTGAATCTACACATTTTTTTTTATAAAAACAGTCTTCTTTACACTGTGAGCAATAATCCACCAAAAGTGGTTGTGGCTATTTCTAAGTAGAGCAACAGAGTAAATAGTTTATTACAAAGTTTTTCAAAGTTAAATTTATGCATTTGTACAACACTGTATCATTAATCAATCATAGCCTTATTTTAACAGTTACATTTATGTACTTATAAAAATGAACATTAGGGCATTGATATGCATGTTTAAACCTAATAATAGTAATTAAATTAGGTTAATTATTTTAGTAACCCTATTATTAGTCGGGAAAAAATATTTTAGGAGTTGTTAATTGTAATAGATAGATACTTTATTTTTTAATACTTTACTAATCTTTTATAATATAATATATTAGGAAAAAAACGTTCTATTCATTGCTTATATCCAGATTTTTAACTTTTTGTATAAGATGTAAAAAAATAAACTTAGATCAGTTTAAACAAAATTTTAAGTTTGAAATAGGTATAAGGATAAAAGATGAATTTAATATTGCACCTCATGTATTAATAAAAACAGTTTAAAAAACGAAAAACTAAATTGCTCTAAACAAAATCGCTTAGATATTTTTGAACTTTATATTTGTTCAATTTAATAGTATACATATGAACTTTTACTAACGAAACTTTGGTCATACAACACAAAAATATTCTTAATTATTTAAAATATTCATTTAGTTTGCAAGTTAAGCCTAACATTACTTATGGAATGATAAGTATTCAGATAAGATCATTATAAAAGAATAGTTTATTATAATTTCTACTTATGTTTATACACACGTTATAAAACTACTGTATAACAACACAGTAATGCTCAACACCTTGGGAACTATTAACATTCGTTTGTAGTCTCCAGCATTTACAATCTACAAAGATATTTTTTTGTGTATTTTTAAACGATAAATTATAAAATATTGCACAAATTCATAATTATAATAAAGTTTTAGTTTCATTGAATAAAATGTTTTTTTTAATGGTTTAAACAAAAGAGCACATTTAATCTTTATTTTTAGAATAGCGCTTAAAAAAAATGTATTATTCCAGTTACATTATAAATAACATAGATAAATGTTTAAAATTAATTCTTTTAAACATTAAACATTAAGATGCATAATTTAAAATAATATCTTGTAAATTGTAAAGCCGAGTTTTAATTATTTTTTTCATTAATAGGTGCTACTTTTTATAATTAATATAGTAGGCTACAATCATAACACCACCACTCAGAGCTAAAATTCCGAGTCCTAAATTTCTCAATGGGTTAAGCCACGACCTTTTGATTTGTTCCCATTTTTCTTGCTCTTTTTGTTTTCGTTTCATCAATTTCAGTTTATCAGCTAGAGCTTTTGTTTTTTCTGCTTCCTCGTCTAGTTTTAATTTTTTATCTTCTTTGGTGTTTTTCGATTTATTATGCCTTAAAAAGAATATATCAATAGTATTGTATTCACTTTTGAACAGAAATATTAGAATAGCTTACTCGTTGATATTAGGTTGATCAATTTCTCTCGGGGGTGGTAATGGAGGTGGAGTAGACTCTGTATCATCACTTTCTGACTCTGAGACTAAAGATTCTTCGTCATCATCATCACCCTTGTCATCATCTTCATCATCCTCAACATAGTGATCTTCGTTTGATTTTTTTAAAGATTCTGTCCGTGGAGGCGGTAATGGAGGTGCTTCACTACTAAGTTCACTGTCAGTACTATCGTCTTCAGACTCGTTATCATTATTTAACAATGCTCCATCCAAATTAGGCAAATCTTCCTACAAGCAAAACATTTAAAAAAATATAATATAACTAGTTAATAATATTTTTTTTAATATCTTATTTTCTCTCAAGTATATATAAATTTATTTGCTCTGAAACATTATTGGAGATAGAAGTGAAATAGTCATAACTCCGACCTCCACTTTTACTGTTTTTTTTATAAAAAGATTGCTCTATTTTCTATGATAAAAAAATAGATCATAGAAAATATTTGTACCTATTATTATTTTAAAGTAAAGCCAGGAAATTACAACAATATTATGTTTTTTATATTTATATTATACACAGATTCATATAATATAAAGCGTAAATGACAACATGTACAAAATTAATACAATAAATTTAATTAATAATAATGATGCCATAGATACTACTTTAAAAACGTTTGGAGTAGACAATTGTTTATAAGAACTTATTATGATAAGACCTATTATGATTTTGTATATTTAATAGGATAGATTGAAGAGACATTGGAAGTTCTTTTTTTTTTAAACAGACATCACAGTCTTCATCAATAACGGTTTGGAAATCTCTTAATAGTAAGTCCTAATATTATTTTACTAATAAAATATTTACCTCATTCTCAGCTTCCCAATTTGTATCGAGAGCTTCAATTATGCTTTGATAACAGAATCGCAGTTGCTCTGGAGCTTGTACAAGTCCCATTCGACATTTTCTCATTTCTACTAACAACGAACGTACATGAACATATTTCAAACCATCCGGTGTGTTCATCTGAAAACAAAAAACACAAACTTATAATAATTTTTAAGGAAAACTATGTTAACCAAACAATTATCAGTTAATGTTTTACTTGAATAAGGCAAAGATCTATCAAACAAAATGTCCCTGAACGTCCTATTCCTGCAGAACAGTGGACAATAGCTGGTCCATTGGATAAATCAAGACTACCACTACGCCTAATGTCTCTTAAAAATCTTAAAAAAGGCGTTGGAGTTTTAGGAACACCAAAATCAGGCCAATCGGTATAATGGAAATGGAAAATCTCTCGCGAATTTCCCGATTCTAAGTCATTTAGTCTATACAATATGAAAATAACTTGTAATACAACAACATAATAAATAAAATCAATAGAAAACCAAAATCACATACTTCAATATACTTTGCACATAAAAGCCATGGTTAATTTTTGATATGAATTCAACAGACAAACCAATATTGTTCCAAATAAACTTATAATTTTCACTTTTTTTCTTGGGCCAGTACTGGTGACACTTAAGCTGAAGTAGAAAAAAAAATTCAATATTAATAATTAATAAAATTACAAATTATTTAATAACTATAAATTGGTGTGCACGATATCTTACTTTTTTCTTTTCGATAATTTTGTTTAGCATTAAAATGGCTTTGGAATTTTGTTCCCACACCATTAGCCAAAAATGAGAAGAAGTATTTTCCAATGGACCTTGTGTAAGAATATATTGTCTATCACAATCACAAACCTAAAACATTTCAAATAATTAAATAAACACAAACAAATTAAATAAATTATAATACTTACCTGAATGAGGTTCGCATTGATATAGGATACATTGCCTTTTTTAAGTGTTATTATAGTATCATCGTAAGGTGAAACATCTTGATACCTGTTAAAAGATTTGTTTTGTGGTTTCTTTGCTTCATCAGATGTTTTTCTTATTTTAGAACTTTCTGCTTCGACAAACTATGAAGAAGAAAAAAGAAAATCGCTTAGAATTTATTTCAATCGTATAAACAACTTAAACAATAAAGTACTTCTACATAAGCAATTAAACAATTTTTAAGACATTCAAAAGTTTTATAATAAATGTGTTATTTCAATATAATCTTGTGACATTGAATTTCAACAGTTATAATATATGACGAGTACACTTACTCTATACGTGGTGTTCCACATGTTTTTGGTTTCGATATCATTAAATTCATCACGTAATCGTTTTTTTACTTGTTGATCAGAGTGCATTTTGAAATCTTGAAACTACAAATTAACTCTTAAGTTTCAATTAAATAACCTAATCTTTAATTTTTGTTTACGAAAAACTGGTACAAAAAAATATTCTAGTTTAAGAACACAACAAATTTCCGCTCAGAATAATATTTTATTAAAACCATTAGAATTACATCTGTCTAGTTTTAAAGCTAGGACGTAAAATATTTGTATGTTATACTTTATATGAAATAAAAATTATTGAAACGCCAACTACCCACTACCTAATATTATAATCAATAATATTCATTTTTATTTTTATCACATCATACACCAATCACACAATCATATAAATTACGTTCTCTATTATTATCATAGACCTTATAATACTATATAGTCGGAGCATGCATGTAGTGCCAGCGAGCCAACGCGCTGCGCTGACGACGGTATTCGATGACGTCATGAGGCGCTCTGCTCATGCGCATTTGAGTTCCCAGTTTAAGAAATATGGTACACGATTTGAAAATTATTGTATGATGTCGCGGCTCGTGAATAATAAATAATAATTCAAATATTTTCAATGCCGATAAAATCAAATTTTGAGTCGACAGCTATTTTTAGGCCATTAAAAATTTAACTTAACAAAATACTTTTGTATACGTATAATTTGTTTTAAATAGGTAAAATAAAGTATTTGGTTTGTAATGCAGTATTTAATTGTAACATTGGAACAAAATTCTACTCGCGAGTACTTTTTTTATAAAGTCATATTATAAATGTATAGCACGTTATACATATATCTTTACACAAAATTTATTGAGACGTCCTCAGATTCCCCAAAGATGAAAATATAAAAGAGACAAAACAAAATAACGTTGTACAATTCATTAACTAAAAATTTATACTTCTCACAGTGGTATCACTACTACGATAATAGTCGGGCTCGCATCACCCGGCACCCGCTCGCATCCTACCCGGATGCTCAGCCTACGTCTAGTCGTATAAATATAAAGGTCCATGATTATTATCAATATGTTAAACCAAAAAAAAAGAAAAAGTGAGCCGCAATCCGAGTAATAAACTCAACCGTGGTATATTATTACCATTGAGAAATCATGACAAAGTACACCGTCGCTATGTTTATTGTACATAGGCCTATAAAGAATGTTCACTTATACCTAGGTCTATGATATTGTTATTATTGTACGATAAGTACTAACCACGTTTTTTCCACACAAAATACAGATTACCATCAGCATCAGGCTTCACATTTGTCTGATAACTGATTAATGATGTGAGTTATTATCATTTGCCAAGATTCGAAATGTCTATTTTCAAGTTTCATCTGAACTTCTAAGTACATTATATATGTAAAAGTGTTGTTTGCGTAGAAATTTGATATTTACTTATCACAACGCCTGTGAATACTTTAAAATGGTAAATAAAACAATAACTAAACTTATTATTATACATGTCGACTACGATTTTCCTTAAAATCGTCAATTACCAATTTGATTTACACCAATTACTACTAATGAGAAAAATAACAGAAATAATTAAACGATAACATTTTAATTTAATGTTAAGGATAAAATAAATAAGTACAATTATTGTATAAAGATATTTCAATAAATGTACTTACTGTACTTATAAACTTTATATATATTCAACTAGGAGGAGGAGGATTGGCCGAGTGGTTAAGCTGACAGTGTATTTGCGCTCACTGTCGCCGTTTTGACACTCGGTTACGAGCATTTTGGTGAAAAGCGACCGCCATCCTCCTCTCCGGTGACGGACTGATGACCCGTCCCGGACAGCAAATCCGTCTTGAAACCATCATCACATTATGCCAACGTTGGGCCTTAAAGGCCCGTTAGCTTGATGATGATGATTTATTCAACTAGGGGTTGATTATAAATTAGCAGTTTAATAGTATAACTACAAGACATGTTTTATTAATTAAATATTAAAATGTTTCAATTAATTGTGTATTTTTTAGTTAATTTATTAGTAAAAAATAATTTATATTATTACAATATCTCATTATTATTGTCTTGAATTATTTGTAATTTTGTATAATGTTAAATATTAATTAATAATTACAGCCAAAAACCAAAAAGAAATTTATTGATAAAAAGAATTCTGTGACTTTCCATGTAGTACACAGAAGTCAACATGATCCTCTTGTCACTGATGAAACAGCACCACAGCATGTTTTGGTTCCTCAAGAAACGCATAAAACGAAAGGAGTAAAAGTTTATATTTTATTCAAACATACCTCAACATTGTACTTAATTTTATATTTGGTTTTTAACTGTCCTTTATTAAATATTTAGAAAAAAAATAAAGACGAGGAAGCTAAATATGGTATATATTTTGATGATGACTATGATTATTTACAACATTTAAAAGAGAGCCAATCAAATGATTTTATTTTATTGCCTGCACCAACGAATGCTTCAAAAGAAAAAGTAAACATATAAGTCGTAGTTTCAATAACAACAAATTAAATTTTTAATCCACTTAAAGCTAATGATATATCTTTAATGTATGTATATATATATTGTTTTAAGACTGTTAAACCAAAAGTGATGTTACCATCTTCAGTTTTCGAATCTGAAGTCGAAGAAAAAGTTGGAATGTTGAATAAAGCAGCTCCTCAATCGGGTAATTTGTTACATAATTTCTATAATAAAATCTATTATTATTCATGCCATGTATATATATTATAATTTTTTATTATACATTTTAGGTTTGCGGTTGGATTTGGATCCAGACATAGTTGCGGCAATGGATGACGATTTTGATTTTAAAAATCCAGAAAATGAGTTGGAGGACGATTTTGTTGTCATGGCAAACCAACTTGGGTAACATTTTAAAGCCGACTAACATGTATAATTTAATGTGTTTTAATTTAATATAATTCAATTTTTAGATCAAATGAGGAATTAATTGAATTAGAAGATGTGATTGAAGAATGTGATGATTATGACAGCGAAGCATATGATGAAGTTGGTAGTTTAAATATGGAAGAAACTAAATCGCAGTTTACCAATTACTCAATGTCCAGTTCTGTTATAAGACGCAATGAAAACCTTAAATTGATAGATGATCAATTTGAACAAGTATTTTCTTACTAAATTAAAAAATTTTAAAAATTAACATTTGATATCATAATTATCGCCAACAGTTATTTGCTGCATATGATGATGCTGAAATCGGAGCTTTAGATACAGAAGAAATCGAGGGGACATTGACTATGGAATCGGATATTCTAAAAAAAGCCTCCGAAGAATTTGAATTAAATATGAAAAAAGTGATACAAAATATAATTAATTATCAGTGTTAGTTACGTTTTAATAATAATTTATGCTATTTCAGGAAGGAATATCTACGGACAAATCATCTGTTTTAATATACGATAGTGATTCTAACAATGAAGAACCTACATATAAAGTACCAGTTGATGAGGTTGATAAAAAAAAATGGGATTGTGAGAGTATACTTTCAACTTATTCTAATATTTACAATCATCCTGCACTCATTAGGGACCCGGTGGTTTGTATTTTAATAACTCTAACTATTGTCGTAGTACAAGCTTATATCAACACCCTGTACGAAAAGTAGTACCGTTCAAGTTCTAGCGAAAACTAACACCGTTCGAGGCTTCTTACGAAAAGTAGCACCGTTGGCAACAATGGAAACAATAGCACGAACGGTGCTTGTCTTTGTAAGAACTCACGAACGATGCTACTTTTTGTACGGATCGTCGATACGATTAAGTATATAAAGTACTGATCAGTCACGGACATATTTGTTTATAATTATAATATGTAGCTATGAGCTGACAGTCATTAAATTTTACTATCACAATTGTTTGTTTTATAGATTCAAAAAATTCAAATAAATCCCAGAACGGGAGTGCCTATATTACAACAAAGGCTTACAGCTAAAGCATTGAAGTCACTCGAGAATAGTAGTACACAGAATACGGGTACCAAATCCATAATTTCTGCTTTGTCCATGTTGTCAGTACGGTCTAAAAGTGAAACCCCCGAAGAAAAATTAAAAAGAAAAAAAGCATTAAAAGAATATAGAAAAGTATTATTACAAATATTTATTTATAATGTTAATTATTAACAAATTTTTAATTTGTGTTTTGATTATAGGAAAGAAGGCAAGAACGTAAAGCAAACACTGAAGCATTCAAAGAACAAAAGAAAAAGTTGGAAAAGGAATTAATCAATAGAAACGTTAATAAGACTGTACGGGTTATGTAAACATTTAAGTATGAGATTTTTTTAATCTCCTTGTTAATAAAATATACATATTTCCATTATTGATTTATAAGATTTACAAAGCTTTATATACTTTGAAACATGAAATAATAATTATTTATTTAATTAACACGTCATATTATTCATGTTTTAATGATGTAAGAGGCTAGAATGTCTTTGCCGTTAAATACCCTTTACAAGAATATTTTATTTGAAAATTATTTTCAAGATATAGCCTAATACTAAGTACTATTATTTTGTGTTACATTATAGTTCGCAAATAAATAAAAATGTTATTGCCAACTCTGTACACTACACGTCATGATTAAAAAAAAAACTAAAAAGTACAGTTGAAAAAAAACAATCAATGTATAATACAAGAAACTATATTGATAGTGTAGTAATGGGTACATTCAGCAAATTTTAATCGTTGACTATTACAGTATTGTTATTTTTATGACGACTAAATAAACAGGCATGATTGCTAGATAATACTGTGCAGGAAAATTGCCCCAGACTTGGCCGTGGTCATGATGTTTACACAGATTAGTTTTATATAATCTGTGATATTTATAACAATACTTTAAAATTTTAGTTACATTATTTGATGTATTAAAATAATGATCTCGACAAAAAATGATTTTGTAGTTTATTCTACATAGTACCTCAACAGTGGCGGCTTCAGAACTTTTCATGAGGGGAGAGGAGCCATGGTGAGGCCAACATTTTTAGAGGGGTCAAAAGTTAAACTCGATATTAAGCCGTGGTGGCTACGCCCTCACCCTCCGAAATCACATACAAAATATTGTATAATATAAAGCACACTACTAATTTTTGTATAGTATTACATAACTAAATAATAAAAAATTACTAAAAATGTTTTAAATTAACAATAAATATTTAATATTATACTATCTTGATTCATATATACAACAAATTCACACAGTAGGCCTTTTAAAATAAAAAAAATGATTTAAAGAGTTAAATGTTAATTTTTTGTATTCTTGTCATAGGATAATTTTTAATAAAGGATTATAATTTATTTTTAAATCATACCAATTATAATTATGAATCTGATTTAAATTTTAGGAGGCCCAAGACTTTTTAGGGTGTGCCCGGCGCCGCCGCTACCTTAATTACTGATTCTTATTATACTGATACTTTTTACCATTACTATCTATAAATTTCAGAATAGATAATTAAGAGTCAAGAATAAGGAATTGCTGTTTTATAATATTCAAGTATTACGAGTCCAAAGACAACCTTTTATACTAAATTATAAATCAAAAACTATATATTGCCAGAAAAATAACATTTAATCTTACAATACAGTTCATTACAGAACAAAACTATTTTTAGTTATTATTTTCCTCCTTCTACAAACAATCCAGAAAATAAGCAACCTCCTCCGTCGTCCATAGTAACATCTGGATGTGTTCTATTGGGTAACACTTGATAGCATCTTAAGAAATTATCTGTTAATCGTAGAAATACAATATCTTTCCTCATCTTAAATTCAGCATATAATGTTACCAAAATCTCTCGATAAACTGAATATACCACAAATGGCCTAGATAATGATAAATAAGGCAAAAGAACTTTGATCAGTTCTGTTGGTTCTTCTCTACATACCACCACTAATCCATCAAATTTGTTAGATTTTATGAAATCTACACCGTCTGTACTTGTGACAGGTCGATGTTTTTTTTTAACTTGCGTATAAGCTTCATCACTTTTCCTTTTTTTTTCTATGCAATTAGAAATGTCTTCTTCTTCTACGACAACATCTTCTGCAACTCTCGTGCCTAGAAGTTCATCAATATGAACTGTTGTCATTTGTTTTAGCTTTATCTCTGAGAAATTCATTGATTTAACTGCTCTTGACGCGTTTTGTTCAGTAGTAGAAGAAAATATATGTACCAAGCGACCATTATCGTCAAGTTGATTTAAAAATGCAGCTTGTAACAAACCTTGGCTTCCGTTCTCGTACAACAAATATTTACCGCTTGGATCCAAATTAACACGACATAATATTTGAGCTAATGTATCAAACCGTATAGGTATAGTTTTAGGGATAACTTGTTTGTACAATATATCGGTAATAAGTCTCAAAGTAGGTTTTAATATAGTTAAATAATCAGAATACTTTTTCGCTTTCTTCTTCAGATATTTTTCTTGGGCATATTCTGTTTTCAATTGAAATGTTTTGCTGTTTTCCAAAAGCCGCTCAACAATATTTTGGCCAGTTTCACCACTATCTTTCAATGCTATTATATCGTCTGTACTTAATAATTGAGAAGTGCTATCATCAGTTATTAGTTTGTTGTTGGTGCCACAGCCATTTGTTAGCCACTGATTGCGCTTGAGGCCATCATTACAAATAACCAATGTGTAATGACGTTTCTTCTCAGAAACAGGTTCTAATTTATAAGTGGTCGAGTAAGGTTGACCAATAGCTACTTTAAGATCAATAACGTCACGGTTCAATTTTAATATCGCTTTGTTTGATATTTGATGAATTAAATAAGTATCGTTTTTGTTGATGATCAAATAATTACCAGGATTAATTGTAGCAGCCTTTGAGCAGGGTTCTTCCATATTGATTTTATACAACTAATTTGTTAAATTGCATTAGACATTTTTAATTCAAAAATATATGTAAAATAGTAAATCATAACGTCGAATTTTAAATTTCGTGTTACTTCGGAAACTTTGTTATCATGAATCTTGATAATATAATAACCACATTGTATATACGCGGATTTTAATTCAATAGTGCGTTGCCAGCAGAGATAATTTTTAATATCTCTTGTTTAATGTTTGCCAACCCTGTATGTGTGATAACGTAATTTATGTTATCAATTTTGTACAACATGGGCCATGGCTGCTGGCTGCATAGAGTAATTACCATAAAGTTATGTTCATCTATGGTAATAATTGATCTAAACATTTGCTATAAATAATTGTTAGGATTACACAGTCACCCAAGAGTTTTGGCACCCATATTTGAGTGATGACAACAGGGTAGAATATTAAAATCTTTTCTGTGGCGTAACTACTAACAGTTTGTTATGGAGGAAATATGGAATCAGTCATCTAGATCTATTACCATGGTTAAAAGTCACAGTTAACCACAGTATGGTTAGCAACCCTTTCAAATCAGCTGTTGTAAATTTTGGTGACGGAAGCCGCGGTTTATGGGTACAATTTGCATGTAACCATAGACCTGAAATGTATTATGTTAATAGGTCTGTGCATGAAACGTCAACTTAATTGTTATCAAAGAAACAGACTAATATTACCACGGGATATCATAAATTATATTATAAATATAAACCAACAAAGGTTACTAAGAATATATTATCATCAAGACTACAGACTAAAAAAAATTACAGAACTCGTCCTAGGCTCTTTTGAGTTTCGTGATAAAATATTTATTGAGGATCGTAAAACTCTCAAGAGAATAATTGCCCAAATCTCGGATAGAAATGGCTCGTAAGTAAATTTTCATGATTCAATATAGCTTTTGTTCTGTACCCTATTTCCGTTTTTTTTTGCTCAGGAGGCAATGCTAGAGACCTTGCTCGTGAAAAAAACCAAAAAAAACAACAAGAACTGCAGAAGCGTAAAGGAATTGCCGATAAGTCCAGCAATCAGGGGTTATCGTTAGAGCAAAGAATGCAAAGGTAAACAAAATCAAGCTAATATGTAGCCTTTTAATTCGATTTAAAATACAACTGAGCCTTTATGATCAAGAACCTTTTAAATAATATCTTCCAAGTGGTAGTAAGCTGTTGACAAATAAAATTACTATGTAGATAAAATAATATATTCATAGTTCTTGAGCTTATTCGTATTCATACTAAATGTACTAAAGACGATATTGAAGCGTCATACGAAAAGTAGCACCGTTCAAGTTCTTACGAAAATTAACACTGTTCGAGGCTTCTTAAGAAAACTAGCACCATTGGTGATGACCTTACAAAAAGTAGCACCGTTTGCGAATTTCTTACGAAAACTAGCACCAATAGCACAAACAGTGCTAGTCTTCGTAAGAACTTGAACGGTGCTACTTTTCGTAAGAATCTGTGAACGGTGATAGTCTTTGTAAAAAGTCACGAACGATGCTTCTTTTTCGTATGACGCGTCAATATATTGTCGTGAATTTTTTTTTATAAATTAAACCGTTGGCAACATAATATTTACATTTGTCATTTTAAAAAAATACAAAATAAGGACTTATTTAAACTATTGCCAAATCACTAGAAAATTCAATTGTTTTTAGCGTTACTTTAAAATATAAAATCGGCCAAGGTACACCTCCTCGCCAAGCTTCTTCCATGCTACTGACACAAATTCCAAACTTTGAAATTAACGTGTAACTGCAATATGTTGTACAGTGAACTAACTAGTGTTGGTATTTTGATGAACACTTTTGATGTTTATCCTGAGGCTCACTAGGACAGTACGAACAATAGGGTGATATTATATACTATATTATCTTTCTCTGCATTAAATTATGATAAAAACCATGTGGGTAAAATTACAAACACTCCAGAAACTCTTCTAGTGGTAACATTAATGGTGCAGTGGTTGAAGGTTAAACCATTTTTAATATTTGAGTGACCTAATTAAGAAAAATCACTTCAATTCATCTAATATTAAAAATATATCCTAAATTCTACTAATATACTAATTAAATAAACTGAATTATTTAGTCGTAGAAAATATAATTTTAAGTATTAGTGAACGAGTTGAAATGTGCAAACACATAGATTTAGAATATTACACACTTATAAATACTTTATTTGTTTCAATTTGTTATTTTTTTTACTTTTTCAGGGATGCTGATAGAATGAGAGAAAAACAATTAAAAAAGCAAGCTGGAAAAGAATAATCAACGCACATTTTAATTAAAAAAAAACCTATATTATATATTTTATTAAAACTAATTAACTAAATTAATTCTTATTATTGCATAATCTTAATAAACATTAAGTTATTAATAATTTTACAATAATATAATGTTAGTTAACTTAAACATTTTTTTTTATGTCAGTTCTAAAATGGTACACTTATTACAAGCATTATATTATTTAACAATAATACTGTAGAAATGTAAAATAAATAAATTATTATTAATGTACGTATCCTACTAATTTATTTTCTTACATTTTATTATTTTACTGATTAGACCTATCATATAATTTATCATTTTTTGTAAGATTTAAAAAAGCCAGTACATTGGGGTTGGGGTAGAGCGATGACAAAGCATATTTGGGTGGGGAAGGTCTCAGATCTATAATATGAATTGTTACGACTGAAAGTGATGAAACCATTATCAAATAAAAACTCGCATTGGTACGATTCTGTAATGGTAGATTTACAAGTATCAACAAAACCATTGTAATGACAATAATGTGCTTAAACATTTTTTAGTATTGGGCTGGATATGATTTAGGGTTGATCGTCGTCTTTAAGAATTTATTGTTGCCATTGCTACCTCCTATATATCTTATTTAACATTATAATGAAAATATTTTCAAATTCCTGTTGACTGTTGAATCACACACACTTAGCAAGCTAAAAATTGACGACAGGTAAAGTGTAGTTATACCTTTTTTTTGGAGGGGAAAGAGGTTCCTCAATAAAAAATAAGTTGACTACAGATTATTGAAAAAATTGTTTATGTTATAGGCTAAAACTTAAAATCTAACTTTATCTGATCTAGTTTATTTACTACAGACATTTAAAGTTGTACATCATAATTCATAAATAATAAAATAAAAACATTTTTGTAACATTACATTAACATATTTTTTATAGGTCTTATAAATAATTCTCCACAAATTAAAGCGTTTTTTTAATTTAGTGGGTATAATAAAACTGAATTACAGAAAAATTTCATATTTTTATTAAATTTTAACAATTATTTTTGCAATGAAATGTAATAATGATCACTCATAAATTGGACCATATTTATCAGACCAGTCCAAATACAACTTTACAAACGAGTAAATTAAGGTTAAAGTTAAATCGTTTATGTAAATCTAAATCCCTTAAATCACAGCACAGAATATATTAAAATTAACTAAATACAAATATTAGGAGTGGAACTTTCAAAATATTCGGATTTACAAATTACAACGGATTATTCTACACTAGGTTTTGAAGAAATAATACTAAACAGAAGCTTAAATATAAATATTGTAGGTACGAAATTTATTTGTGTAAATACAATACTTTAAAAAAAATCGATGACATTGTTAGATTTCGAATTTGTATTCAGTTTCAACTTTTAATAACGTGTTTAGCAGATATTTTTAATTTACTACACAACTACATTGTGTCTAAAATTGTAATACTTACAACTTTATATGATTTAAAAAAACACGTGTAAGAATTCGAGTTTTTGGAATCTCACTTTATATATAAATTATGACATTTTAAACAATATAATATAAAATTGAAGTATCAATGTAAATATGAAAATTTTACAATAACCTATTATTATTATAGACCAATGAAAAATCATATCGACTACATTTTAAATACTATGAGAACTATATTAATAATTATGGTTGGTTGTTATTTTGAGTTTTGACCTTTGGTTGGAGACTGGAGTAGCATCCTGTACGGTATAAAAGGTTCAAAAAGTTATCTGTTTGTGTACAGTGTATCGTATCATATCATGTTTACCTTCATCCATTCTATTGTTTAGCCAATTGACAATTCATATAATCATTTATCATAATCGATGTAATGTGTAATTTCCTCTCTTATTTTTAATACAGGTGTATTTTAACTCTTAAAATAGGTAATAGTCAACGATTTTGAACGTTTTGCTCGCAATCTGTATATTTGTATCTGTGTATTTGCTAAACAATATCGGGTTAAATAATTATTTTTTTTAAAATGCTGCGTCCGATGCTATGTTTTTTTCTCGTTTGCTATTTTCATTTTAGCGAATTATCCACAACATCAAAACTGGAAATCATCCCAAAGGATCCTTTGTCCGACGAGTTCATTCACTATATAAATTCTATACAAAATACATGGAAGGTACGACTATTACGCATTTAAAATAATTAGGTGACAAAAAATAAGCCAAACAAAAAAGCCAGCTTTTTTTTTGTGTCCGAAAATGTTTGATAGTTACCAAAAAAAATGCGTTCACCTAAAATAATGTAATTGGGTTGAACTTTTTATTAAAAATCAAGTTATAGCCAACTCTACTATACTCAATCCCGTATGAGAGTGGTAGTGCACAGAAACCAAAATGAATTTCTCCCGTATGCGTCTGCCTGGCCACGTGTTTTGGTTTCTGCACACTACCGCTCTTATTTGGGCTAGAATAAATATATATATATATATATAATCAACTTTGTTACACTGAAAAAATTAGTGGATTTTAATTTTTGTAGGCCGGACGAAATTTCCATCCAGACACACCTATGTCGTACCTTAGAAGGTTAATGGGTGTGCATCAAGAAAATGATAATCAAGAAAAACTAGAAAGATTGTTAAGTTACACTGAAAGTACTGATTTGCCAGAAAATTTTGATTCTAGAGAAAATTGGCCTAATTGTCCAACAATTAGAGAAATCCGGGATCAAGGGTCGTGTGGATCATGTTGGGCAAGCACTTATAATTAAAAAATTGTATTTATCAATTTATTTTCCTGTCAAGTTTTATAAAAAAAATTTTTTTATCTTTAGGCTTTTGGAGCAGTGGAAGCTATGTCTGATCGTGTTTGTATACATTCCAATGGAACAAAGAATTTCCATTTTTCTGCTGAAAACTTAGTGTCTTGCTGTTGGACTTGTGGCTTTGGTTGCAACGGTGGTTTCCCTGGTGCAGCATGGCGCTATTGGAAAACTAAAGGGATTGTCAGCGGAGGCCCATATAATTCTCATCTGGTAGGATTAAATATTTTTTTATGATGAATGCACTATAACTGAATCTTTAGTACATGGTACCACAAAGTAGTATTAACTTAATATCGCAGATTATTATTACAGACTAATAACTATTAGTACTTATCAGTTTAGGTTGAAGATTAAGTTTTGAATCCACAATGCTTTTAAGAATAAAATTTAAGAGCCCAAAATCAACTATTTATTAACCCTTAGAATGCTAACCATTCATAGTAATTTAACTTATGTATATTTTTTACTATATTTGTTAATTTGATGAAGGGTAAGTAATAAACATTTTAAAATAAGGTAGGATCTCTAGGGGGGGGGGGGACAATATTTGACAATTTTGTTTGGCATGTTTTTTCATTTTATTGATTGAAACACAACAACAATCTACTGTAAAATAACAGTGTGTGCATGCTTTATTAATTAGGGTAAAAATATCAATAATTTAATAAGTTTAGTATACTGGTCAGATAAAAATAATCTTATCTTGAATTGTCACAGTAGGCTTCAGTGACATATTGTAGGTAACAAAGGTTTTTTAGTACTATGATATTGTTATTAATTTTTAAAACTGAACTTTAGGCAAGCTAGAAATGATTGTCACTATGTGCCTTTACCAAAATTTTTTTGTTAGCTAATTATTATTTAACAAACTGGTAGTTTCTGTATTGGAAATAACAAATGTTATTTTATCTTGTTCAATTCAATTTACTTCAAATTTACAGGGTTGTATTCCATATGAAATTTCTCCGTGTGAGCATCATGTAAACGGAACAAGAGGACCTTGTAAAGAAGGAGGAAAGACTCCTAAATGTGTTAAGAAATGTGAAGATGGATATAAATTATCTTATGCTGAGGATTTACATCGAGGTAAATACTATTGTTTCCCTCAATATTATCATCATTTGATAAATGTATTGACTTGTTTTTCAATTCAAAATGTAATAAAATACACTTCATTATCAAAGCAAATTACAAATTGGTGATGAAGGACGAGTGGCCAAGTGGGTAATGCAGTGTCTAGCGCTCACTATAACTGGTTCAACACTTGACTTCAGGTGTTCTCTCTTTATGGGCAGGCGACTATCTAGAGAGAGACTACTATCATTCTTCAATGCATAGCGCCCCTAAAATTCTAAAAAATAAGTAAAAGCCAGCATGGGGGGAAAAAATTTGGTGATGAAATATAATTTTGTTTTTAAGAAGGCAAATATGTTAACTCTGGATATACCTTGTAGGAAAATGTTAATCATGGCTTAAATATACTTTATTGTATATTTAAGCCATGTTTTTAATAATGTTGACATCCTCTCCCCTTAAACATGTGCAAGATTTCATGTACGATATAAAATTCTTATGGCGCCTCATAAAATGATAAAAGTAAACAAAGGATAACTGTTCTTGTGTATAAATTATACGTTTTTATTATAATTAACTAATTAGTATTTAATGTTGAATATTTGCACACTGTATATTAAGATAATGTAATTGTATTCTTATCAGGTAAATTTGTATACTCTATTGGAAATGATATTGATGAAATAAGACAGGAAATTTTTAACAATGGACCTGTAGAAGGAGCGTTTACTGTGTACGAAGACTTTGTAGCGTACAAATCAGGTTAGTATTTTTTAAGTTATTAGGAATATCAAATATGTAATTTTTAGTTTCAATGCAGAACTAAGAAAGTTTTGTCTTATACTTTTGTGACTGAACCCATGATAATTTTTAAACAGTTAGACCACATTACTTGATTTTGTAGTACTACATTTTGGATTTATATATTATTTAACGGTATTGCAGCAAGACAAAATTTGGTCCGTCTCACGAATCCCCACGCGAAAATTTGCCTAATTCTTCCTTACAATATGGCAGACGGCTGTCGGACAAATTGTCGTCAGTATTTGATAATAACTAGGCGTGTAGAGAGGGGTTGACGGGTCCGGCAGTGATAGACACATTCAAAATGCGCAAAATGTTATTTTTCTTTTGTGAGACAGATGTGAAATGAATGTAGTGTGAAAATTAGATAGAGGAGATAACTAAAATAGCCTTATAACATACAATTTTTTCAAAAATCTAGTCTTTTTTATAAAAAAAAAAAAAAAAACTAAAAATATGATTATAGACATATTTTTTACAGTTTTTTTACCTGTTCATTTTAGTTCGTTTTTTATTTATGGATATTTCATATTTACATGGTAATCAATTTTAAATAAGACATTTTTTTAAAAATTATATGTGTTAGTTTTTCTGACAATATTATGAACATTTTAATGTACTAGTCTAAATGTTCAGTAGATTATTCTTAATTTAGAAACTTTATAAAATAAGTACAGTTACCATTAATTTAAAACAAATTTGTAGTTGACCTTTTTTTTTTTCATTAATATAAATGGTTCTTTTTAACTTAAATTAAAAGATTATTAGCCACTTGAGAATTTAATTTACATTTGGGATATATGTGAACTAGACTAATGTTTATTGGATCTTATTTACTAAGTAAATAAAACTTTGTTAAATTGTCAAAATGATTAGTGTAGAAAAGAGTATCAATTTTTTTTTTTTGGTAGTAGAAGTAAGGGTGATAAAGGTATAATAATAATTAATGAGTTTCAAAAAATCTTACTATCATATCTTACATATATAATAACGCTAATTTACAATTAAAGTTGAATTTTGTTTAACTATTAGGAGTTTATAAGCATGTCGCTGGCAAAGCACTTGGAGGACACGCCATTAGAATACTCGGATGGGGTGTAGAAAATGATACTCCCTACTGGTTGGTAGCCAATTCATGGAATACAGATTGGGGCGATAATGGTTTCTTCAAAATACTGAGAGGAAACGATGAATGTGGCATTGAATCTCAAATTAATTCTGGAATACCAGCCTAATTTATTTAATTATATACAATACTAGTTACATGTATGGAATAATGATTTGATTTTTAAATATTTTTTAATTGAATCATTATTTTGGTATCTCACCTATTTGTATATATTTAGAGCCACAAAAGAATCTAAAGATAATTTTATCAACTATTAAAATGATGGTAATAAATCAAAATACTTTATTTAAAAATCACAATAGAATTTTTTTTTAACATTTATAAAATTTAATAATGTTTCCAACATCCAGTAACGGTTTGAATGTTAACTATAATAGTACCAATATAAATATTATACAGGTAGATCAGCACTTATTTGTTTTTGAATGCAATCAACAACATTCTTCATGATTTTTTTGTTACATTGATCTTTTAGTGATAATTGTTCTATCAAACAAATGTTTTTCTGAAAAAAGAAATTAATTAATTAAATTAAAGTTCAGAAAGAAAAATATATTTACTTGGATATCTGCGAGCACATTACAGTTTATAATGGCAGGGTTGTCGTCACACAACTCATTAATGATTCCATTACGAACTGATATTAGAGTGTTGTGTTCATAACTTTCTAAAATTATCTTTTTAATTTTATCATCAAAGACGACAGAAACAGTTTTACCAAAGTAGTTTAAATAAAACGATTTGCCCAATTGCTCTACAAAGTTATTCAACTGAAGTAATAATTGGTTTTAAAGTTTTTTCAAAAATATGTTATACTAACCAATAATATTTTTGTATAAGGATTTTGACGTTCTGTGTTTATTTTTGTTCATTATTATTTTTAAACAGTCAGCGAGAGATTTTTGCTCTGGATATTTAAAAATGCACCTGTAATGATGTACTAAAGGATTTATCGAGGGAATTTTGTTGGAGTTTTCTACTTTAACAAAGTATAAAGCATTTAATTTTACAGGACGTAATGGAATAATCATACAATGGTTTTCAAATCCTAACGTATTCGGCACGCTACATACAAATTCACAGTTAACAAAACCAGATGTAATGTTCTCAGCAATAGTGGAAGGCAAATGATGCCTTAACACCAATGGTTCTTTAAAATTAAACGAATTAGCTTTAATTGGATAAACTTCACAGTTTGAAGAAGATTTTTCACTATCTATAACACGTATTATAATTTTCCAAATCTTTGATGGAAACGATAGCCACTGACAAGTTGTAAAAATTCTGATAGCAAAAATATACTCGTCTTCGTGTCCACCTAATTTCACTGCATTGTGACCTAAATGAGAAACACATGAAGTAAGAAACTAGATTTTAAATATTTGGAAAAAATTACCTGAATAAATCAATAAATCAAATGAGCTGTGTTCAATAATTAGATTCTTGCGGGCAACTAATGAAATCGCTTTTAAATATAAATCAACTTGATCATTTTGTTTTGCTAATAGTTCATTGCTTTTACAAATATCTTTAATATCCAGTAACAAATTATCAGTTTCAAAATTGCATTTGGAGTCTTTTTCTTTTTTAACAATATTATGATATGCCGAGGACAACTTGTAAACTTTATGAAGTTGCGTAAAAGCTATAGTATAATCTTTAAACCGACGTAGTGATAAAATTCCTAGAAATTCCATAAGTCGAGTATGGCTATTTCTAATTTAGAGAGTAAAATATTTGATACCTTTTAAAGGAGTTACAACTTGTCTGCTGATAGTAGAAAATTGTTCATCTAACGTAACGAGTAATAGATTGATACTGTCACTTACAATTACAGTATAATCAACAATGAGTGCACATTCTACTCGAGTGACAGGAAGACAAATGTATGAAGGCAATGTATGGACATCGCAATGTATAACCATAAGTATTCCATTAGCTGTTATAAAAATAAGTTTTTTTGATCCTAAAAATTAAAAGATTATTAAATGCTAAAAACTAATATTTAAATGTTAAAAACAAAACCTGTGTTTAAAAATTGAGTATGAATTATTTTTTGTGGAAAGTCTAAAAATGTCATAACATTAGTAGTATCAGATGTAGTAGCATAAATTTTTGAGTTGTTTGATGCCAGCAGGAGAACATCTTTACACCCGAGTTCAATTGATTTAAATAGTATTTTAGCTCGGTCGACACTTATGTATTTCTTCCAGATACAAGATGTGAAAGAATCTACTACAAAGGTTTGCTGAAAATAAATGTTTACATACAATTTTTTTTTTAAAACATATTCGTCGTCATGCAAAAACGGATTAAGTGTATTTTTATAGTTTTCGTAATATTTTGTCTGTACAATAATATAGTTCAAATTACACATTTTATTATGTTATTTCACTGGGTCACTTCTTGCACAGTCAATTTTTACATGACGACGATATATATATATATATATATATATTACAACCTCTTTTTGATAGTGGACAAGTTTATGTGAAACAGGAATTACTAAAAATTCATTATTAACATCAAATGCAATTTTTAAAAATTGAAGTTCAATCCTATCTCCAATTTCTATGACCAACACTATTCCTTCTGAGTAAAAAGTCGCTGCTTTAACCTTACAAAGGAATTTTTGTTTAAAAATAGACGTCCATTCATAACTACAGGAAAGCGGTTCTTGTGTCGCCTGAGAAACCAGTGAACAGTCATCGAATAAATCAGGAGAGTATCTGAAATAGTTATTAAAATTTAGGATAAACATTCTAAGGTCAACAATAATAAATAATTTTACTACCGGTGAATATTTTTAAGATGATACATGGTTCCATTTTCGACAATACAAATAAGTTTTGACTGAAATGTTAAAACTGAAGAAACTGGATTACTTAGTGGTATAATCTAAAATTAGAGTAATATATTATTTATGTTTTTCTTAAGTAATTGCCTATATACATATTATATTCTAGACTGATTAAATTGTTGATGCTTTGAAAAGAAGAAATGTAGAGATAAATACAGATATGTATAAAAAACCATATTTTCTCCGTTGAATTAAAACATAAACAAAAAAACATTTTTAATTAAAATCTTCAGAACTACAAAGTTCATAAATATTTTTAAATATAAAAAAGATTCTGAAAGATGCTTTTATCTTAAAAATGTTCTAATAGATATTTGATCTTGTTTATTTTTATTGGTAGAAAAAACGTAATTAAATTAGAAATAATGGCTTAAAGATGTATACAAATACATTTTTGAGGTAGGGTGTAGGGTAGGACAACATTTTTTTTTTGAGGTTTATACAAATAAAAAAAAAATAATATTCTATTGAAGAACATAATTGATAATAATTACTTGGAGACTCCATTTTTTTAATGAGCTTGAGTTAAAGAAAACTCGGTAATATTCAGAAGCAGTGTCATAGGAGACAATGTCTACCAACTTAAAACGTGATAATTTAATTTGGGTTTATTTAGTTTAAATAAAAGTTTTGTAGTACTTAAAACTTTTATTTTTGTTTTTAATTATTTATAAAATGACTAGTAAATTTGTACTCTATAAAATATTCATATTTTTAAAAATATAATCACAACACTTTTTAAAGCTTAAGAATTGTATTCTATTTTCAACTAGTTTTTAAGACATATAATTAATAGTTATTTATAAAGTTAAAGAGTTGTTAAGTATCAATTAAAGACAAACATTTTTTTTTAATTTAGAGACGACAATAAATGTTATGATTTATGAACTATTAAAGCAAAAATCAAAGTTTGTCAAATAAAAAAAAAAAAAAAGTAAATATTAGCCATATGAGGTGTGGTATAAATGTAATTTTGTTGAGTTTACCACGTAATCTGTAGGGTTAAACAACGTTCCAATTGTTTGACTTTCCAAAGGATATAATACTGTATTACAACCGTTCCACGATATTAAAAATGAATTTTCACTTTCATGCAAATGTATTTTTTTTGCTTTAGTGTAAAGATATTCTGACTTTAAAGGCAGTTGTTCAAAATCGAAAAAAAACTCCATTTCCTAAAAAATCCAAAAAGCATTTAAAATTTTGTACATACATAGTTTATATCTTTAATAAATTTAAGAATGAATTTTTTTATCTCAATAATGAACTTTTTTTTATATAATTGTTTTATATAGTGTACAGTATACTAAGTAGAATTGACAAAAATGTTTTAATCCATACAAGTTTGTTAAGTTATTTTTGCTTAATATTAACTATTGCAATTAATAAAAAATACAAGCTTTTAAAAAAAGGTGATTTTTAAAATTAATGATTTAAATAAATAAAAAAAATAAGAAGTAACTTTATTGGAATTAAAATTCCAAATTAGAAAAATTTTAAAAAGTAAACTTTTACGGTGTTATTGCACTTTTTATAAAATGAAGTTTATGCTTATAACTTTAGAAGTAAGTTCGACCGCCAAAATCTGACTTCACTATCGTTTTCGGTGTAAAAAAATACATAAATTCAAAACATTTTTTTTTGAAAAAAGTGGGAACTAAACTGCATTTATCAGGTATAAATGATAAAAACCATTGTTTTTTTAATTGTATACTGAAATTAAACTAATATATTATAATGAATTCATATCTTAAGATATAAAATATGATTATCAACTAATATTAATATTGAAAGTATGTAAACGAACTGATTAAGGTTACTTCTATACATTTATATTTAATCTTAATGTAAATATAACTACTACAATTACCTTAAAAATGTCTAATAAACTTTAGGCCACATAATTTACTAAAAACCCATTTAGATATTACTTAATTAGTTTTTTATAGTAGATTTTAAATCAAAGAAAGGAAATTTAAAATTTTTAAACGTGTAGTTTTAAAAGTGTGAATTATTGGTAGTTTGTTGGTAATTAAAAATTACAATATATAACATTTACAATACTTCTAAATTCAAACCGTTTTAAGTAACCGATTTGTTTTCGTTCAGTAATCATTTCATCGTGTTATCGGTTTTCTGCAACGAGTGTGCACGAGGTTTCACACTCGTGTTATCAGCCATTTGTTGTCTATAAGAAATTACTGATATTCCTTTTGAGTTTTCGTTGTTAGTTTAAGCACAAGACTTAATAATATACAATCAATACATACGACTTGACAACATATTGTACCGCGTAAATCTCTCACACAAATTTGGTTTCATCGTGCTGTCAAATTATATTAATATGTTTATGGCTTAATAGTAACATAATAATATAATCTATGGTGGATACGGTTCCGGACCAACTAGCCACTGGTCAATTCGCATTGTATATTTGAGTTTTGACATTTGTTATTTTGTATTAAACATTTTAACTTTTGACAATATAACACGGTTTGCTTTTTTGTTCGAACCTCTATACATTAATTTATTTTCAGATTAGACTTCACAAGTGAATATTTACTATTTTTAATTAATCCATATATTTAAATGATGTTATAAAGTGTATATTTTCGTATGTAGAGCTGTTTCAATTATGTCACATTCACAAAAATCAAAACCGTCATATTTCGGAAAGAAAAACTATACTAGAGATAATCGCTTTAAGCTTCAACCGGGTATGAAAGGCTTTTTATGTACATGCAATTTCGGTGAAAAAGATTGTCAAAAAGAAGCCATTAATTTATTAAGAGAATACAGTGAAGAAAATGAGGTAATTTTTTAGTTTCCTATTTTTAAAACGTCTTGCCAAAATAAGTAAATTATAAATTAAGCTAATAATTATTATTAATTTACGGAAATTAATTATTTTATTAAGAATACTACCAAAATAATATGCAACTTAGAAAAAAAGTTACCAATGGCAAAAATAATGTCAGACAGATGCGAGGTAAAATATTACTAACCATAATAATTTGTATAAATATTACTTTATTACCCAGTTTTATTCCTTACTGTACAATAAATGAACTGCAAAGCCTTATAGAATCTATAGGGAGAAGATATTTTGACCAATTATTAATGAACATTTTCTACTCATATTAATACAGACTAGATAGTAATTAGTCATAGTTATGATGGTTGCTTGTAAACCTTCTACACAGTGATCAACTTATCGTGAACCACTCAATATCTGACTGGGTTTAAAAAGAAATTACATTTTTTCTTTACATAGTGTTTTTATGCAATGTGATCACAATTTTCATCAATTTTTTTGTTTTTACCTCCTTTCCAACTTAGTTTTTTTGATAGCAACTTTTGAAATTTAAGTAATAACGCCAGCATTTCATTAACTTTTTAAATTGAGAATAATGTACTAAAAATGTTGAATGGTCGATAACCAGTTAAGACACTAATACCTAGTTATAATAAATTAATTTTTAGTAAATTAATATACCTAATTATTAAATTAATAATGTATACAAATAATTTATTAAGTGGAATAATTACAATTGATTGTATTGAGCATGTTTAGTTATAATTATAACCCTTACCCAAGTAATAATTATAATATTAAACGGACTTACATTATTTTAAAGGCGGTATCACAGCTACGTCGTCTGTCGTGTGCCTTATATCGCCTTCTGATTGGCCGTTGTAATCACGGTATCATTGAGTAACCATGACCTACCGGGTTATTGTTAATGTTATCCCCATAGACCTATAAAGATCTTTATAGGTCTATGCTAATTACCAAATTGGTATTGAATAGTTATTAGTAACCTTAAGTGGCCACGCCCACTTCTTAAATCGCACGACACGACAGGCGACGTAGCTGTGATACCGCCTTTATAATGAAATAACTATACGTAACAGCAGTATTATTACTACACCATTGTTTTTAGGACAAAAAAATACATCAAATTCATGTATTATATTGTTCTTGTAGACTTGTATAATACTATCTTTATTGGTTTAAAAAAACAGCTTTTTAGTACATGTTAGATAGGAAATATAACTTTTGATGATCTGCATCTTAGTGGCGCGCTTTATAGACAGCGTAACGCGGCGTGACCGCTATAAGCCAGTCGAAAACATACACCGTCGAGTAACCTGGTTATCTATTTGACTCAAACTCAATTGTACTGGTATCACTTTCAGGGCCACGACTGTAGATATCTACAACATTGGTATCACTAGCATTGTTGTTATCACTATCATTTCAAAATTAAAAAAATTATAATAATTAAACCTATATAAAGTAGTATTATTTAAAAACCAGATTAAATTACAATGTCTTCGAAATCCGTTTTTGTTACTGTCGGAACCACTGATTTTGATGAATTAATTATGTCTGTTACTGAACGTCTAACACTAGAAGTTCTTAAAAATAAAGGATTTAAATCAATAACTTTGCAAATAGGAAATGGTAAATATGTTCCTGAAGCTTCTGATATAATGCAAATTAACTATTATAAATTCAAACCTGATATTGAACCAGACATGAGTAAGAATGATCTTATAATTAGCCATGGAGGAGCGGGCTCTATTATGCAAGCATTAGATCACAAGAAACATTTATTAGTAGTCATAAATGAAAAATTAATGGATAACCATCAATTCGAGTTAGCAGAAAAATTATCTAAACAAAAATGTTTATATTTTACAACTACTCATAATTTATGTAAGTTTATTAAAAATTTAGACTTGGAAGAATTGAAATCAACTTCCATTGATAAATCGCCGTACATTTGTAAACATATAGAGCAGTTGTTTAAAATTTAATTTGGTTTTATGTGACTGTTAACTTTTATACCTATTATTATAATTATTTAAAAAATGGCTAGCATCATTACTTTGCAGCAGTCTTCAAGCCCTAGTGTTTTAAGTTATTTTCATTAAAATATTAACTATTTGGCCCATATAACAATTTATAAATGTAATTATAAATTTATGTAAGTGTTTTATGTAATACTATACATATTTTATTATGTTTATCGCTACCGTTTATTAGTTACTATAATATAACAAAAAATGTATAATACTAACTTTATAAATAATGTGTAGTTTTTTGAAATGTTTTTATTAAATATTAAATTAGTGATAACTTTTACCTTATGTTTTTGTTGAAATTGTAATTATTAGTTTGATACATTTTTTGTTTGGCATAAATAAGAATTATTAAAAAGAAATTATTTATTTATCAGTCGCGTTTTTGTTATTAAATTAAGTTTTGTTTTCTATTTTAAACACTACTATAAAAATACAATATTAATTATTATTAGGTAGAGTCTTTAAACTACAATTTTTTGTAATATAATTTTAAAAGTGTACTGAGCTATGTAAAGAAGAACTTTGAACTATTAAAACCATTGAAATTACAGATTTTATGAACAGTTTCTAAACTTCAACACTATTGTTAGAGATTTATAACAACTATTACAAATATGAGTTTACTTTTTATAAACATAGCATTACTGTATACTCTATTTGGAATAAGAACAGGACTGGATGCACATGGAGTGGCTTTGTTCCGAAGCATTACATCAGCGCGCCTCGATTTGGTGGGAGAAACCTAGACAGAAAATTATTTTACCATAATTCCTCCAGCCTCTTCAGCTTTTTTTAAAAATAATTAAAAGATATATTATGAAATAAAACACTAATAAAAATATAATAATAATAATTTGGTGTCATTTTTTTTTTATTGTTTTCGTTTCTACAAGTGTAGACACACATCGTAGCCATTTGCTTGACCACTACACTATGTATTTTTTTTTAGTCTACAACTTGGTTAGTTTGGACTACTCTTGCTCTACTAGAGACAAGAGTTGCCATCCTAGGGAAGTGGTTATGGTGCGGTGGTTTCCCGTTACCTTGCCCGCCTGGCTAGAGAAACGGTCAGTGACCAAGATTCGAACCACGGCTAGTGCGTAGAAACATTGCCGCGGTAACCCTCTCATCCAAGACTAAAAAATATTTTAGCAGAGTTTAAACATCAATAACTGATATTTCCTTTAAATATAATTGTATTTAGAGTTCTAAGGAAAAAGAAACTACCAGTTTTGAGAAAGATATTATGGACTCTGTTGAAGATGAGCTTGGCACATTGACAAAAAAGGACAATAGCGACTGGAATAAGTTCACACCATCTGTAACTGGTGTTGGTAACTGTGTCTTTATTGGAACCACGGTTTGTATGTTTTTATTTTTATTTTTAAACTAGTAATAACTTTTTAAAATCACTAGATTGATGACCCTTGCACATTGATGTACAAGATACTTGAGGATATAGAAAAAACCAAAGTTCAAAAGACAAAGTTTCTCTTGCGCATGCTTCCTATTACAATCACTTGTAAAGTAATTGTACACAACAAAATTACCTTAAATGTGATATAAATATGTGTAACTTATATTCTTATAGGCAAATGTATCATCCATAATATCAGCTTGTACTGAGTTGTTTCCAAAATACTTCACCACAGAACCAACTACATTCGCTATTGTTTTCAAGTAAAAAATTTAATCTTAAAATTTAAAAATTTTGCGGTCCTATTTTTCTATTATTCAATACAATTTTATACATATTTAGTCATAGATATAACAATTCAGTGCCACGCAGTACAGTTATTGAAGAACTAGCAAATAAAGTAGCGGAATTTGGTCAGCATAAAGTGGATTTGTCTGGTGGAGCTAAGTTGTCTATTATTGTTGAAGTGGTGAAAGCCATTTGCTGTTTATCAGTCGTAAAAGATTACGGACGTTTTTTTAAATTCAATCTACTCTCTGTCTGTGGTCAACCTGAAAAAAGACCAATAAACGATGAAAAAGGTAATGTAGTTACTATATTATACAAAACATTTAAAAAATACTCAAATAATTGGTTTTTCCAATTTTACTTTCAGTATTATGATGTGAACCATCATAATATTTTATTAAAAAAATTGATTAACATGAATTTAATTAATTCTAATGAATATAACCTAAATGAGCAAAATATACTGAAATAAGTGACTAGTTTTTCCCATTTTTATGTATATTGTGTTTTAAATTGAAGAATATTGATATTAATTGTCAAATAAACAAGTCAAACTTACAGTTAATTTTATAAGCAAAATTTAGGTATGTCAACAAAAAGTATTCATATTACTTTTAAGTACAACTACATAATATGTTGTTGTATTCTAACCTATTATGTAAGAAAGAAAAAATTATGGATATATTATTATTAATACATTATTGAATATGATTTTAATCAAAAATGTAATATTTTGTTAAATTATTAAAACCTTATGTATTTCTTTCAACATTTATTAACTCTAAAATATTTTACAGGCTGCACAGATAATACCCCGCCTAAAATAAAAAAATGTGATGAAGAAATCCATGTTGAAAATCCAGATGAAAAACCAGAAAACCTTACTGAAAAACCTATAATAACCTAGTATATTGGTTTTTTAAATTATACATTTATCAATAATATATAGTTTTATGCTTATCATTTAAGTAATATATAATTATCATAATTATAAAATGTACAATTTGTTCATTAACCTTCATGCGCTCGCGCGGACGGCAAATTGGCCGTCCTTATAAATGTTCGCAAATATTATTGTCCAAAGTGCCAAGGAAGCGGTGAGAAGGGTATGTATTCTCTAGTTATACATCTCTCCGATAGAATATGATCGAATTCGGTCAAACCAGTCCACCCCAGCAGTTCAGTATAGCCACAAACTCAGTAGTGTCAGTATGACGCCCAACTTGCCGTCCACGCGAGCGAAAACGTGAATTTTTCGCCTGTATTTTTCATACTTACGATCTGGATTTATATTATGAAAAAGGAGGCATATAGAAACGGCAAGTGTCAATAGAAATTACAAGAACCTTTTACCACTCCCTCGGTGCTCTGAAGACAATTTTTCTCGAAAATTTAAATGGACGGCCAAATTTGCCGTCCTCGCTCGCGAGTGGCAGTGTAACTTTAGGAGGCGCAAGCGCATGAAGGTTAAAAAAAAAATTGATCTTTTAAAAACTTTACTTACTTTACTTTGAACGGGTAAGAACAGTTTAAATTCTGCTGGCAATTCGTCTTCAGAATATAGTCTATCACTAAAATAAACTCGTCTTACTCTACAGTTGGCATGTAGTTGAACTCTTAATGTTTCTACATATCCAGTGCCGTAAGCACGTCTTGTAAAATCAGCCAAATTAAATTGTATTTGATTCCAACCTTCATCAAGGCGCATTGGCATTGTACATATAAATGGTTTAACTCTAGTAGTTGACTGATAATTACTAGCTCGGAATCGTCGTCTTATGTTTTTGTCATCTAAAATCTATTAAAAGAAATGTATGAGTTCTATGGTTTTTTTAAAGGTACAAAGGCAGTGAAATCAGGATAATAAACCCTATTTTTTTTTATTGCTAAACAAAAAGTTTGATACTCGGTAATGGACGCTTCGTTTTGCTAAGTGGAAAATCATCTAGTATAGAAACTATTCAGATTATTCTGTTCCAAGAGCATCCCTAATGAGACTCCTGTTTTTTTTATAGGAACCAAAAAGGAAGCCTACCCTTTTTTTTAAAAACACATTTTTAACAGGATTTAAACCTATTGCATCTAATGTCAGTTGAGACACCTTAAGTCTCTGTACCACATACTGCACACATACATATAATAAAAACCTAAGCAATATGAGCTATACCATTATACTTATATAATATTATCAGTAATTATGTATAGTTATTATAAAATATAACCGCAGTGTTGATAATAATTTTTTGATTTTAATTATTAATTACCTGCTGGTAATCTTTAACAGGAAACATGTTCTTAAAGAATCAAAAAAAAATATATAAAAATAGTTATAATTTGTTCTATACAATACTAACCGTACAAATTTAAAAAAACAAATTATTATTATTTAAATGGATTTCTCATTTATCGGGAGTTCCTTTAGAGTGCTTAAAAGAATCCTGAATGAGAGGACCAAATTAGGTCTAAGTGAAAATTTTCAGAATTTCAAAAGATGCACAGATTGATAATAGTCCAAATTAGGATGGAAAAGGAATAAAAAAATTACTTAACTAATCAGAAATTTCAAAGGAATTCCATATTGAAATCTTAAAAAAAAATTATTTCAGGACCCTCTTAGGGCTTCCGGTGCTATTAAGGCAGGAATATTATTATCTTTTGATTTCATAATAGGTGCTAGTGTTCTAAAATCATTACAGCCTAAGTTAAACTAGCACTGCTAAGTTAACTTTTTATTTTGACAATAAAGTAATCACAACAAAGGTTGGAATTTTTGTACAATTGGCATTTTTTTTATAGCCGAATGTACTTTCTGTATATGTGAACTACTTGGGTGTGCCAATTGCATATGCACATTTTCTTTAGACAATTAACAATGTTTAAAATGTTTGTAAAAAAATGTTTTAGTTAAAAAATTAAATGTAGTATAAAATATATAACAGATTACTGATTAGGTACTACATAAATTTTTACCTGCACTTCAAATGTAAAATACTTCTTCATATTCTTTACAATCATTATTAAATATGGCAGTTTAATTCCTAATGTCTTGGTTTTTTCTGCTGGACATGTAATATATGTTGTGCTAATATTTGTACCCACAATATCTAATACTAGTGATTGGATATCATTGTCTGTTATACGTTTAATATGACCATTTCTTACAGTTTTATCCCATAGCTGTAATGGTTTGCTACCTATACTATATAGTATAGATAAAAATCCACTTTGAAATGTATTCTTAAACATCTTGTCTTGATTGAATACAGAATAGGAGAAATGCCAATTTCCTAAAAACAATTCATGTTAGATCAATATTTATGTAACTAATTATTTAAGTAACTAAGCAACAAATAGTTAGTGATTACAAGTATCTAAATTGTTACCATTTTACATTAAACCAATTGAACATAGTAACCAATTATTATGATAACATTTTTTAAAATTAGAAATATAGGGATTTATTCACGTTGATAAATAATATTTTTATTTTTAGAACTCATCTATTAGAGGTATTTATAATACTAACTATGTATATCAAATATTGTCTACTCATTAATCCAAAAAATTATTTTCTACAACCTACATAAGTTATAACCAATTTCAAGTAATGGGGTAATGGATAGTAGTTTAGTTAAGGAGTTTTGAGAAACTAAATGCAGATAAACAAAACAAAAATTCTGAATACCTCTTGCTAATGTATTAATTATTAAATAATTAATAAAAACTTCAAGTCACTAATAAAAATTATTACTCTACAAGTCGTTATTTTAATAAATATTATCATGCTTATTATTTCGTATCGTAATTAAATAATAAATTGCAATACATTTAATTTAAATTAACTTAAGTTTAAAAACAAAATTGGTATAATATAATATTATAATTTTGATTAGTTTCAGAAAAATAAGTCTTACATTAGTGAATCATTCAGCAGGTATCATGTATAAAACTCACTATAAAAAGTAAACAAAATATATTAAAATACAATTTTTTCTACAATAATTGTAATTATTTATTTACTATATTTTCCAATTGATCGTTTATTTTAATATGTGTAAATGTAAAATCCAAAACAAAATAACGAACTATAATACCTACATTATCGAATAACAAATACATTACCGTTAAATGTTAATATCAATGGTTTACGGCTTACGGCCGATCACCCACGAGTGTGAAACTAGCAATTCCATTTTAGCAATTCGTGATAACGATTTTCCGTATGGACCGCAGCGGTTACCGACTGGTGACCTAAAAAATATCATGATATCTACCGCTAGAGGCCGCCGCATATTCCGTATATGCGACGGCAAAGACCCATAACCGCAGCCCAGCAAACACGCCACTACCGCGGCGCGGCCGGCTAGATGGCCGCGCCCGGGACCGAGCCACTACGGCTGGGGAGCACTACGGTGGCGACCGACACATCGCCGCACCATCTGCCGCGGCCCGGCAAACGACACCACTACCGCGAGGCCCGGTAACAAGCCATAGACCTACGCCCGGGCCGCACTACGAATATTTCACACAGTTTCAGAAAATAATTAAAAATATAACCCCCGACGGGTGACCTTTTCCTTATGCCCGTCCTATGTGAAATTTTCTTAGCTTTTTAAACATATAAGTTTAATCAGCGGACTCGGCCCGGAAAATATACCCGAGCCCAAAAACTACGGCCCGGTCGCAGTACGGTTAATAATTAAAAATTGTGGCACTACGGTTTTCGAAAATATAATCCATTACGAGTGCATTTTCAAACTACAGTAAAAATTTGTTTAATATTTTTATGACCTCATCGAAAGTAATAGATTGTGTTTTTAGCCCTTAATTATAATTCTGACTCTTAATTATATATATGTCTATCTTATGAACATTTTACTCAAAATCTTTTTATTAGAATATTTAATTTTGTATAATTTTTATCTAAAATATTTTATCATATATCTAACAGTTCGTTAAATATATTAAACAACTACAAGTTGTTAATGTTGGTAAATAAATATTTTAACATAGCACTAATTATGTGTAGTAGTTATTATGTTAGAATATAAACCTAATTTTTAAAAAAATTTTCCTACCAAAGTTGACGTGATTAATTACACTTACACAGCATTTTTCATAAACATAGACGCATAGATAACGTTTCGCTAAATACTAATTTAGATTTTAACTAGTTTATACTTATAAATACAGTATTGAGGATTTTTTATTGGTAATTCTTTTATAAGACTATCACAGTCATATTTATTGAGCAAATCACAATTATTTTTCATCAATGTTCCGTAGATCTAATACTGTAAAGTTTTAAGTGGACTACAGTCAAATAGTCAAAATACTATTGGGTTCAATGTTTTGTTGGAATCCGATACTGAAAATGGTGCCAAAAAGCAAGCATTGCGGCTAACCAATAACATCATTAATTAGTAATATTCATTTGATTATAATGTAGAAAATAATTATAATTATCAAAATCTAATTCCAACAAAACGCTTTATAACATCTTTCTAGCGGCATATTACTCATGTGTCCAGGTATACGAATACTGTAGCATATGAAATACCTTTTTTTTGTACTTTAGGTGTCGTGATTGTTTAATACACTATATAATATGCGACGTCATTTTATTCGCGTGTAAATTAATATTCCCAGTCATCGGTACAAAATAACTCTCTTCTTGATAAAATCAAATTTTCCCAAAAAATAATAGTGTAGATGGTACACATAATTATTTCCGAGAAAAATAAAGTGATTGTGTGCTTACATAGATAAATGGGTCTTTATAGTTTATAGGTATTTTCGACATACACTTCCGCCCTATGTATTGTTGTACTATTATTTTTTTGGCGATAAAAATTGGTGCGACTACACACACATACACATGGCTTAGTTATTTGCTATAATAAATATACTTCACAGGCCATTTTATAAATGAAAACTGTAGAGTTTGATATAATAATAATATATATATTTTAAACAATGATGTATTTAGATTTTAACCAATATATTAGTTATTACCAATGTGTATTTTTTTATTTAATTAGAGTGCCTATTTTTATGTTTTAAAAATTTTAAATACGATACTTATATGAACTTATAAAACACCCTTAAATTTGATTTCATAATAATATTGCTACACGAGTCATGTATTTAAAATATTTTAACTTACGGATAATACCGAAATATAAACTTCATACTTCCTACATATAAATATCATAGTTTGTTATTGACATAATATTAATATCAATGACCAAATGCACACTTTGGTAAATTAAGCATAGTGTATTATTACTATTTTGAAACAAGCTTACACATTAATTATGTACTTCCAACATTTTTATTAAACCCTATACTGCATGATTTTTTTCAAAAAACAGGAGATTTGTGTAATTCTTGGTTTTTGATGTTCCTTATGTGTTCTTTAAACCTAACCCCAATATTTCTTTTTGTTTGACCTACATAACATTTAGCACACTCTTCACATTGTATTTTATAAATCAAGAAAGAAAGAAAGAAAGTAAGAAACAAACAAACAAACAAAGAAAGAAAGAAAGAAAAGAAAGAAACAAAGAAACAAAGAGAAAGAGAGAGTGAGAGAGAGAGAGAGAGAGAGAGAGAGAGAGAGAGAAAGAAAGAAAGACAGAGAGAGAAAGAGAGAGTGAGAGAGAGAGAGAGAGAGAGAGGGAGAGAGAGAGAAAGAAAGAGAGAGAGAGACTCTCTTCTCCCTCTCTCTCTCTCTCACTCTCTCTCTCTCTCTCTCTCTTCTCTCTCTCTCTCTCTTTCTTTGTTTCTTTCTTTCTTTCTTCGTAACGAAAAAAGTGTTACAAAACCGTTACAGGGATAGGAGACAGGAGGTGAGAGATAGGAGGTAGGAGATAGTGGGTGGGAGATAGGGTGTGGGCGATAGGGGGTGGGAGATAAGAAATATGTTGTACGATCAACGTTCAAATTAGAACTAAATAATAAATTCAAAATAATTTAATTCTCTATGTTAAGATACTTTTGGCCAGATAATAAACACTACAATTTTAGCCAGAAACTTGAATGTACATAATTTTTTTATCTCCTTGGTCTTATGCTGTAACTGGAAGCTCCTTGTAATTTTTTTTTTTAATTATAATTCAACAACTAATCTATATTTATTCGGTACTTCAACGGGGCATGAAAATGCTCTTTCGTGGTTGCAGACTCGGCTGAAAAACTTTTTGGTAACGCTTTTTTCGGTTATGTGCCAGAGCTAAGACATAAAAATGTCAATAAGTATCAAAAAAACCAAATTTTTGCTTTGGTTCTGTATTAGAATAGTATACCTATCGTCCAAAACATTTTTAGAGTTATTATTTCAGACTTTTTATATTAATCTAGAAAAAACTGTTAAGCAAACTTATGGTTCAATATAAAGTAAAGATATAAAATCTACTTGATCCCTAAACGTTTTATATTGTTGAAAAGTAAATGTAAATCCCATACTGTCAACAAAAATAACATTATTTCCATTTATAAATCCGTTTTTTTCAATTGAATATCGACACGTTTTTAGCAGTTAAGTATTATTCTCATACTTTATGCCACTTTATTTGATATAAAACATGAACTTTTAAACATACTTTTGTACTATTTATTAAAGGAATAAAAAGTGAAAACATTGGGAGGGCCAAACACTCCCTTGCTCTTCCCCCACTAGTTTGTGTATAACTATTTGTTATGCTATATATTATAGTTTATCATAAGGATATTTAAATTTTGTCTTTTTTCATGTGTGTCAGGGCACTTAACCCATTAGCCACTGCCTTCTCACTAGAGTATCTAGTGTAGGATTTACACTATGATACAGTTTGCTTACGATAGTAATAATAATTACTCGTATTTTAAATAATATTAGCGTTCGTGTTTTCCAGCTTAGTTGTACAAGATTACTCCAACAAATATCTACATTTTCACACAGTGGGTTCGCATTGTATTAGCCCGTCTATTGTTATATTTTGCAAATTATGATATTGTATTTTGTAACTTAAGTATAATGATGATGATGATCGGCTCATGACATGTGTCCATAAAAAAAACAACTAAGAACTAGGCGAGCTATTGTTTCTAATAATAATATCTTCCTTACAACACAGCGTTCACTAAATAATTAAAAATATAATAGGATTATTATAGGACTACAATAATTTAACGTTTAATAATAATTTAAAACAATTGTTTTTTTGTGTTGTGTGCTTCTTTAAAGAAAGTGAAGAAGCGCCAATGTGATACACCCTGTAGATTCCGAATTCGTACGGTCCGTGCTAATACGGTCAGTGTCATTCCGTAGAAGTACGGCCCGTGGTTTTACGGTTTTGTTTTTTCCGCGTTAGTACGGTCTGTAACAATACGGTCCGAGTGTTTATGGATTCCGTAAAAATACGGTCAGCCACATTACTGTCCGCAGCATTATTTTTTCCGAATTCGTACGGTCCGTGACAATACTTTTTTTTCCGTATTTGTACGGTCCGTGACAATATTTTCCGTGACTTAACGGCCTCCCATGGACAAAATGATTTAAATTAAAATAATACCATGAAGCTTATAAAAATTAACCGAGAAATTAATTGACATGGTCGAAATTTATTAAAACCACTTTTTTCTTAAATATTGCCTATACAAAACTCCTTAAAAATGGTCGGTATCCAGGGGCCTTAAGTAATTTCAGTTATAGTGGTATTTTTTTAAAAGGTAGAGAAATTAGATAAGGTATCCTCTAAAAAATATTTGCGAAGGAAGCGTCTAGACGGTCGGCATAGCTTCGGTGCGAAACTGAGGAGATATTTCATTTCTTATTAATTTGTACCAGACATCTAAATATTTCGTTAATTTGATCTTAAAATAAATAAAACATTATTTTCGCATCGACGCCAAAACCGAAGCAGAAATTAATTAACAATACAACATTGTCTACACATCGTAATATATTTTATAAATGTTTTATATTGTTATGTTACATAATAATAGTTAATAGTATATAGTTATTATTTATTATTATCATACATAATGCATACAATACGGATAAAAAAAACGTACATAAGAAATAATCCACCTCACGATTTAAGGTTTTAGTGACACATAGGTATTATCATTAATTTTATTTATACACATATTTTTTTATCATATAATATTATACAAAACATTTATTTAACGATTTTTCCCTTAATTACGCTTTGTACATAATTTATATTATTTTTAATATAATATTAGTTAAGCCTAATATGGCATATTGGGCTTATCATTTTTTTTTATGAGCAACAAAGTTTAACAAAGAGTATTTATTATAAATCAATTTACCTATTATTTTGTAGGTATTCTACGTAAAAGTATAGGTATCAATATACTTTAGCTGTATAGATAGCTAAACCTAACCTAAATACTTAACCTAAATTTATTTGCAAGTTATAATCAAATAAACATTTCTAAAAGTATTTACGATTACAAACTGAAACACTGGAAATTTTATTTTTCAGTAACATTACATTATGTTTAGCTCGAAATTATGTTTTTGAAAAATTAATTTTTGCGCATTGTTAACAATTAAATTCAACATCCCAACGCTACAACCAATTTTTTTTTTAATAAAAAATTAAACAATTAGGCAAAATTAAAACCCTAAATTTAACTAACTATAGCCTTATTTTGAACAGGCTCATATTATTACAATCAAATTTTGATTTTTGCTGTTAAATTTTAATTACCTACTCTAAATGGTGTTTTCATTTAACTAATATGCTCGGGGACTACTAAAATACTAAATGTTGTAAAATTGTCAGTATCATCTGTATCGGAAAAAATTAAAGAAATTCATTTTTCATAAAAAATGCTAACATTTTAATCAATAGTAATGTTATAGGATTCATACGATCTTCTAACATAGTAGGGATGTACCATACACGTTTAATATTAAATTATTTTTATATTTCATGGTTTTTTAAATAAGAAATGTACATTATACACGATGGTGGAACAGTTATTATTTCTTTTTTTAATATAAATTTTTAATTAATCATTAAACAATAAATTATTAGTTATTTTAATTTTGGTGTTTTTGATTTGACAAATTAATTAGTTTACACCATTGAGTATTTTTTTATTTGCTAAAATAATATCTTCTAATTAAAAAATGCAACTTTATAAATACATAAGTAGGTATTAAAAAATTAATTTCTTCGTGTTAAAAATTCGGATTTCGGATGTGCTTCTATCTTTTTATTTTGTCATTGAAATGTTAAATTTCCTTTAAATCGATGTAAATGTATTTAGGTGTACACATGTTGTACATTTATGAATACACAGTTATTGTTTTGTTATATTTTTTTATTAATTGCACATTAGCAGTTTTAAGACTGATATAATATGTTGATTATTTAGATGAATATTAATTGTTATACAAATTTAGGAACAATGAATATTGTTTTTTGTTTCATAGTAATTTTTGTTTTTGGAAATTAGGATAATTTTTTTGAAATCGAGTAGTTTTATTTTATTTTTAAAAAATGTATCACACATATATACTATTTTAAATTTCATTGACTATTGTAATTGGAAAATTGATGACGAAAAAATAATTATAGGTGTGCTTTGTAATTGACAGTTTTATCTTAGTTAATATATGTTACTAATGAAAGTAACAAATAGTTACTATTGAAAGCAATTAAATAGAAAACCATCATGTTGTACAGTTTTTGTAGTTACCAATTTGATAAACCTTTTTGATTGCTAAATATTGATTATTCTCTAACGAGTTAAAAACTATTTTGAAATTGCTACACACCACTTAAGATGAAATTATTAATGACTTGGTCCTTTAACCAATATCTATTATCTTGGACAATTATGTTAAAATATCTATTGATGATAAACTGATGTGGGTACCGAGTAATAGATATTTTAATTTATAATTTTGTATATATTTGTTCCAAATTTAAAATAATTGTTATTATAAATGAAATTAAACAAAATTGTTTTGAATTATCGATAACTATATGAAATCGTAAAAGCCTTTATTTATTTAAATAGTTTTTATTTTATCACAGTGTATTTAATGGTTTAAAAAAAGTATTTTCCTGTAGACAAAAAAAAATATTATTAAATAAAAAAAATTAAGTAAAAAATAATTTATACTTTACATAAACAGTAAATAAAAAGCAATCTATTGATTAGTAGCAGAAATATGAAGAGTTAATAGATATTGCGTTAAAAAAACTGGAAAACTTATATAATAACTGCTCTATTTCAAATAGTTTATGTATTAATGTATGTATTGACTTAATAAAAAATTAAGTATAGATGTTTTACAGATTACTTAAAACACACGATTTCCTTACTATATCTACACATAACGCATTATAAATAAAAAAATCACACTTTTATCTTACTATTTTCGTTAAACACAGCATAAATTTTTAATGAAATTTAAAGTTACCCAATACATTTTATGTATGTTTCAGTAGTCGGTATTCATAGAAATTTAAAATTATACTATTTTGAATTCTACATTTAAAAGATGTTAAATTAAAAATAATAAATCCCGTATTAATTTAAAAATTAACATTTTTTTAATATAACTGAATTATAATTAAAATAGTTAAACAATAGATTTCTGAACAAAATAACAAAAATAGTGTTTTAAAATTAAAAACATTTATTAACTAATAATTGATATCTATTGGTAGGTGTATGTAATTTTGGGTAACTATGGGGGTAAAATAATTATGCACTAGAATTCAATAATAATATAATGACTGTTTTCATATTAATATATTATTAAACTGGAATGAATTTTGCTAAGTTTAACCATAATTTAAAAAACCTACGTAATATTTTTACTATATATAGTGAGACTTACGCTAAAAAAGTGATGCTTAATCAGTTAAATGCAAGTATGCTCTCTTTTCAAACTTAAGAACTATATTAAATTTTAATTATATAAGAAATTAAACGACATAAATTATTTTTTCTCGTGCATAATTTGGAATATTTTTTAAAAATAAGTTTGTTAACAGAGTAAAAAAATTAACTTAACGGGTAGGTAACTAATTGGTAAAAAAAGGTAACTGTGTGATGGTTAAATTTAAGTTAGAATACCTGAACTAGATATCACAAATAATAAATATGTTTACCTATGGAAAATAATTGAGTAGGTATAAACTATAAATAAAAATAATAAGATACAATGAAACAAATAAGATTATAGCACGTTGTTAAACATTCAAAATTAAATAGGTTTAAGAGTATGTAACTCATTTTTTGAGCCAACAGAAATGTTATCGGTAGGTAGAAATTGATAAATAATCAATATACGATAAGTCTAATAAGACTTATCGCGATTGAAGAGATTCATGTCAAGACCTTGGAAAGAGAAAGAGAAATAGCGAGAGCTCTTTGTTCAGTTTCGTAACAGTTACACGAAATTAATATCGATAATAAGCCAAAAGAGTCAATTGAAGTTACTACTTTCTAAAGTTGATGGCAATGTCTCCGTAGCTGAACTGATAACAGTATATGAAATATAAGTTAAAGCACAAATAGGAATGGATATAATTATTAAATGTGGAATTTATAGGTCAAACAGTTGGTACTCAGACCAATCATTTTAAAGGAACCTATTAAACATGACCACAATTTTAATATTATTATTACGCCAAAGGAAATTTCTACTCTCCTTGATCTTTGTAACACCCTGTAAACGCTTTAAAAATTGTATGTAAATATTTTGTTTTTTAAGCTCTTATCGTGCGTTTTTGTTTTTGAAACATTAAGGCGTTACAATAATAATACATCTAACAAGTGACGTGAGTCGTATTCTATTCGAAATCGACTCGACTTTGTTTGAAAAAAAAAATATAACAAAAACAAAACGATATTATTGAAATCCACAAGGTGAATACAACGTGTCAGTCACTCGACGATTATGTGTGGCGCCGAATACAGAACGGCAACGGTGGCGACCAAAGTAAAAAACGTGAAAATTATCAAGCAAAATCTGTCCACCACCATTGCCGCGTACTTCCAGTCATTCTTGACTTCTTGGTCGTCGTCTTGCTTCTTCATGTAGTCTGTGATGTACCGTACTTCGTGTAGTATCAGTTGTAGCTCTCGGGCAGAGTAAGTGCACACGCTTCGGGTCTCGGACGCCGGCGACGAAGTGCTTGCCCCGCTGTTAAACGGCCGATGGGACAACACACTCGCCCGGAAGTCGTCGTCTGAAATAAAACATCAATAAGTTTTGAAGTTGTCTTGAGGGTTTTCGGGGCTAGGACAATAGTAATAAAAAAAAAAAAACCATCTAATAATAACTTTAAGGGTACTTAAAGCCACTTTGATTGCCACTTTCAGGCAAAAAAAAATAATTAAAACATTTACTAAAAAAAAAAAACAACAAATGGTTTTCAACAATATTTAATACAGCGGCTTCTGTTATTACAAAACAAAAACATTTTTTTTTTGAGAAACATTTCTCTCCCGGTCAATACGTCTAAGATAAAAAAAAAAGCAAGAGTTAGGCCGGATAATGTTACGGCTAAAATTTACATTTTCAACCACAATATATAAAATAATATTTTTAGAAAATTTTTTTTTATAGAAATTGAATCTTAAATCTCTCTTATTTGTTTCAGGTCAATTACAATCTATTAGTCTACTTTAATTGGACCCCGAGTTTTTTTAGTGATAAAAGTGAGCGTTGGATTTTTAAACTTTGGCTGTACATTACAAAAATAACCAGTCTAGCAGTATCACTATAAACCCTACTCTATTAGTTTCTCATAAATGTAGCAAGTAAACGTCGTACGATAAAGGTTTCAAAGAATCAAACGAGGATTGAATGTTATTGTACCGATTGGACTATACATGATCAGTAGTCGGATCACTTCTGGTGATACAAAAAGCTAGATCATAAAATATAACATCTACATGAGCAACAGCTTAGATAGAATGAAAATTTTAAAAAAAATGCCCTACCTATGTTTACATGTAATTTACTAATGAATTGACTTAACGTTATATTTAAAAGAATAAAATCAATTTGCAATTTTTTCAGAATTTTACGTCATACAAAATTTCGTACTGATTATAATCTCTTTTTTTGTTTATACAGGTAATGAGTACGAATTACAAAGTATAGTTAAAATAAGAACAATGTTATATCAACATTTTTAGCGCAATTTGTAAAGCGCGTTGAACTTTGGTCAAATGAACCACAATGGATTACTTTGGTTATTTTATTGTTTTTACACAGTAGTTTTTTTGTACAAAATGCAAATTGAACAGCTGGACTTGTGTATACAATGTACAGCAACTGTGATTTAAAATAAAATGTCATTAACGCATTAGTATTGTATTAGTAAACTCTGTTGAACTACCATTTGTTTACCGTTAGCAGCACAATGACATGCTAAATTCTAGTTACAGATACGACTAATTGCATAAATATAATGTTTAAAGATAACAAAATTGAAAAAAAACCGCATATTTTGCTATAAAATTAATAACTTTTAGTATAAAAATGATAGTGTGTTCTGCTAATTTTAAACTGATGATGTATAATGTTTATAACAATGATTGTAACCTAATTTCATGGTAATATTAAAAATCATATTTCGTTAATTCAGCTATATTTAATAGAAAATCCCTAATAATGAATGGTAATATTTAAATAAAAATATTGTTTTTATATGATTTTTTCTATTGAGTTGTGCAAATGTAACATTTAAAAAAATTATGTTAGATTATCTAATAACTAAAAATATATTTTATAAAAATAAGTAATTTAATTAAAGTTGAAATATTACCTATATCGAGAACGTTAGCTAGTAAGCTTCTCGATGATCGTTCTCGAAGTTCCATACCCCTCCTCTCGGTATACCTACTTCTGATTGCTTTAAACGATATGTCTCTGCCTGGCCTTTGCATGCACAAAATCCAAGGCAACCACAGAAGGAAAAAACATTTTACCTATAAAATAAAAGTAATGAATATAACAATAATTATTAACTATCATCATTCATCATACATTTCATAAAATATGTAGATTTGTTTTACGAATAAACATAAGGCATCAAGTTTAATGTATATTGTTAAATATATTGAACCGATCTAATATAAATAATAAATGCTTTTTAGACAAATTTTGAATTTTAACTAAATATCTTAGTATTACTTTTATAAATAATTATGCATTATAATATTGTAGTAAGATATAGTTGTTTACCCATGGTCCCATAGTGTGTATGTCAGCTGACCGATGGTGATAGTTGAGCACGACCAATGTGAGCACCACCGATGAGGCCACCATAAACATGATGCAATTGAAATAAGTACCTATACCAGAAAATTATATAATTTATACACGTTATCCGTTAATAAAATGTACATTTAAGCAGAGTTTACACAAATGAAAATGGTAATAAATGTTCTTAACAGATTTTGATGTTTTAAGTATGAACTCAATTAATCATAATGATATGCTCAAATAAAATTTTGAAAAGTCGTCTAAAGCATAACAGTTTTTATAAACTAAAGTAATTTAAAAAATGTAATGTTATAAAAAGGTTAAATACGCATGCTAACTATTATAAGTACATATGCATTCACGTGAAAAGATAGAAACGTAGGTAATACTCAAATTCATAATTTATACTTATTTTGTTGAAAAAAAAAATTAAAATAAATAAAGCTTAAATAGCAAAAATATTAATTTTGTATATAATAATAAATGATTTTGGTACTTAATATTATAAAATTTAGGTATAGTAATAAAACTATCCATTAAGTTAAACCGAAATAAATATTATAGAGTACACGCAAAGTTGGTTCAAATAATTATTTAAATAATTACCAGTTATCAAAATATAATGCAATTTGTACTACACCAATATATTTTGTATGGATAATTGCATTTAAAAACAATTTTATTTGTCTAGTATACTAAATTAATGGTCTAAATTATACTGACTATGTACACTAAAATTTAATAAGCATTAACATCTACCTATTCTGTTCGTCGTCTTTGACAAGATTAATAAGGTATTTTTGTTTTCCTAATAGAATTTTAAAAAAGTGTTTTCATCTATAGCTGATAGTATTAAAATTAATTTATTAAAAAAATAAATATATATATATATAATAAAGATAAATTTGTCTGTTGTTTTAAATATTTCGAGTAGTCTGTAAAGAAGTGTGTTTACTAGAGCATATAACTCTGCTAAAAAACTATGAAAAAAAAAAATGAATGAGTTAAAAATAATTCAGAAGTAATATTAAACTATCAATTTCTTCAATGTATCTATTATGTACCTAATGAAAAAAATTTTTTCATCACCAGAAAAAAATGTTTATGAAATTGTATTAATTAACCTTTAATTACAATGAAACGGAATAGTAATAGAAAATTTATAATTTATTAAGCGTAGTTTGTAGTAAAAAAAAATGTTCTCTTAGCAAATATTCTAGTAAGTAGTATAATAATATATATGTCAACTAAAATTGAAAATAATTTACACGATCCTTATAGCAATACAAAATAAGGCACTATAATAGAAGTATGATATAATATAAACAAAAAAAAAAACTAAAAAAAAACTAATTTTGTTTTATTTAGTGTTGATTTTTATAGTTATTGCGTTTTCTATTAATACATAATTATTGATGTTTTCGTTGTCAGATCAGATGATACTTGGAGTTAGATAACAGCCATCGAGGCGATTTTTATTTAAGGTCTCAGCCGCATGTCACTTCATTCGGCGAAACTGGTTTAAAATTGTTATTTAACATTTATAGTAATTTGTTTAAATTGTTATACTATTATTTAACAAGCTTCTTGTTTAGTTGAAAGTAAAATACTTTGTTTAATTTTTTTATGAACGTCAATTGCGTTTTATTTATATAGGTACCTGCAGCCTACGAATACAGACACGTAGACGTTAAATTGTACACAACATATTAATTTAAAATAGCACAATATAATAACACTTCAGGTAGACATTTGACAGGTTTATTAAAACGTTTTTATATATATTTTTTTTTTTATAATTATTCCTCTTTGACAGAAAATGGATGAACATATTATTAATAAAATAAAATATGTTGCGCGAGGGAATAAGCCAGATGTATTTCAATGTAATTTAAGTATTTTATTATGTAGGTATATATGCGATACTAATACGAATACATGTATATAGATTTGTTTTGTATCGTATATGTACGTACTAAGGTTTTAAGAGAAAATAAAATTGCGTGACATGTGTGCCAGATCCTACAATAAAACGTTGCTAACGACTCTAGTCACGTATTATTTTACGAGTTCCCGCAGGCTTGCGGAAATTCAAGGAATGTCACAAAAAAAATTGTTTAAATATTCATACAAATTATTGAATTATGTGTAGGAAAAGGCGAACGCAGAATATATATTATATATTAGAGTGCCTTAGGTACTACTCAACGCGTTTTCACCTAGAGTACCCACCAAAGATTTTCAGTTTTATTTTTCGACTATTTTCTGTGAGGTCTATACCGTGTTACACACAGGAACTTACGTCTTATAATATATGTAGTTCAGTAGGGTCAAGTATATAGAGGGAATAATAATTATTGTTGCGTAGCAACATAGCCATTATCATAGTATCACATACCTATGTATACTCCATTGCTTCATTACTAATAAATAATAATATATATATATGAAAAAAAAAATGAATAGCAAATCAAACAAAAGTGTACGAAACATAAAACATGTTGAAAATTAATCGAGTTTTGAAAGTATTAAATCACTCGTTTGCCAACTACTATGTTACGTTGTGACAGTATAATAGTATTGTAATGAGTAAACAACTCTCCACGACGCTGTGCATAAATTAATATTTCTTTGCTCGAGCTTACAGAAATTGTGAAAGTTTTGGCCGGTATTCATACTAATCTGCCAAAGTTTCAAACGCAAATTATTCTTATACTTGTTATGAAACTTGCTACAAGAATTGCAAAACTGATAACTATGAAAATTAAATAACAAGTCAATTTAAAGTAAGGAAAATTTCCGTTGGAAGAACCCTGTCATTTATCTAACCAAATATTATTTATTAATAAAACTTTTATTCTACGTTTCATTAATTTCATTTACGTTTTAGTTATTTTCAAAATACATCTACTACTTACTACCATTTTTTTTTTATTCATTAATTTCAATTTTTTTTTGTAGGTTTTACATTTTTCTTTAAGTTTTATGTATTCAGTGTTAGTTTTAAGATATGACGACGGCGAAAGCAATAATTACAACTTTATTAGATATATATTAAGTATATAGCTGTATTTAATACTTTTTTTTTAAATGTACATATTGCCAAGTTAAATTTAATTATAGCGGATTAATTATTATACATTTGGTTTGAAGAAAAGCAAATTTTTAATTAATGAAGAAAGTAAACTTATATTCTTTGTTATAGAAATACTTTATAATTGTGAGTATTTATTTGTTGATTGTCAAGTTAAATGTTTCACGAAACTTTCATAATGAATTAAAAAAGATGTATTTATTTTATAGGAACTTTCTATTATTGTTTATCATATAGAAGATGCATAATTTTATTGTCAAAGTCTATCAATGCAAATAAAAAATTATCTTTTATTTTAATTATTGATGGAGTTAGAATAGTTTTTGTTTACCTTGCTCATTTGAATGTTTGGCATCATAATAAAATAAGTCGAAAATCAGGAAGTTTTCTGTTTAATAATTATTTTTACTGGCATGCAATGTAGTAGGAGTACACAATATCTTACATGAAGAAAAAGAAAAAGTTAAAATATGCAGATTAAAAAATTTGATGAAGCTAACTGTAAGTATAGTTAAAATATGTTCAAGTGTGATAGGGTGCGACAACTCAAATGTCACGCTAAAGTAATTATTTTTATATTAATCAATAGTACTTAATTGTTCGTATCCTAAGTGAAAATTGTTTATTGAATTCAGAAGTGAAGAACTAAATAAGCCAGCACATATTAATAAAAAAATATTGTACGTTGAATTTAGTTATACAATGATTCTTTTTAAAATCAGAATGATACTTGTCACACCCGGTTAGACATGAAGATGCACATTATAATAATATAATAACGCAAGTCAAAACAAGGCCAATAGAACGCGTTAGAATGAAGAACAATGAGAATAATGTCAAAGAAGTAATTCTGTCGTTATGGCATAGACATATATAGTATTTAGTTAGCAAATTCGTACGTTTGTTTGAAGTCACAGTCACAGTACGGTAGGGTAAAAACGATAATGAGCTATCGATATTTTTAAATAGTGATACCAATATGACTATGACAATGTGCGTCGATACCAGAAGTATCGATATTTCACTATTTTCTGTCCCACCAGCAAATGGCTGCCGGCTTCAAATTTTTGTTTAGCAAATATACGGAGTTTGCTATCTAGTTACTATGTATGTCTATTCGTTATGGTGAAATCTGACCTAACAAAGGCACTGCATCAGAGGATTCTGGCAACACTTCTGCCAACCGCAATAGGTAAATTACTTGTGAAAGTAGTATTGCCACACCTGCAACACAAATATATTTTTGGCAACCTATATAATATAATCATATTTGCAAATAACTTGGTACTTATTCGTAATTATTTCGACTTTATCAGGCTATGCTTTTGTGTATATTAATTAAGTCGTGCTATCATATTGTCCATACGAATTTTACTTATTATAATTACTTTTTATTATATACCTATTCTCAAATAATTATTATATTATTATGTTCATTACTATTAGACATTTATTCGTTAAAGTTTATCAGTAAAATTGAATTGTAAGTTTTTACTAAGAAAATACATATATCAAACGTATTCTGTCATTATATTGTTTAACATCAAATGATTATAACATTACTTGAGTACATAATATTAGCACAAAGTACGTCTACATCGCTATATCAAGGCTGTATATTTGACATTTTTGTTGGTTATTTTTTTAATAGGTATACCCACCTAATTTGTTTAAATGGATCAGAAAATTGCAAACAAATACAATCACAAACTGCAAATTCACATCGATATCAATATGCAAAAAGACACACAAATATATTATTGCCCAGAGAAAAAAGTAATAAAAAATATATAAAAATACTAAAAGAAAAAAAAAGTAAGACAGAAAACTGAAGTGAGCAAAATACTCGAGCGAAAGATCCAAGTGGAAAATAGTAGACACACCAAAGTAAAACCGTACTATAGATTTGTTTGTTTATTGAATAATTTATTATTGTTTTCATGTACAAGGATGTGATGTATAGTATACGGTTTGGCTTTTGGCGCGTCATTGGCATAAAACAGAAATCGTACTAAAGGAAATATTCGTTATAGCTTTAAGAGCATTGCAAACGGTTCCTTTTTTGACCTAAAACGGCCTGTTTTTTTAAATGTTAACCTACTAAACAACCAAATGATGAATTCTGCATTAGAAGCTTCTTCGCATCCTTTTAAGATTAATTATTTTATTTCGTTTAATTCGTATTAAAAATATTCGTTTAAAATGCATTCGATTAAGAAATGTAAACAATGGACCAATGTATAAAAACAAAAATGAAAAAGTCTTTCTCAGTTCATGAGTACACATATAAGGAAATTAAATTTGTTTTCTTTGTCGCATCACTATGTTGATGGATAATAATTTGATGATATAATTTAGAATGAAAATAGTTCTTTGTAGCGGTAAAAAAAAATATGTACGATTATTATTATTCACCCCCGAGACATGATTACAACTTGTGATATTGTATCATATTTACTTTGTATATTTTACATTAATATTATTTAGCTACATCGGACTGCACTGTTTTTGAAAAATAATTGGTTGTACATTTATCGCTTACATCTCATTCCCTAAGGCTTCAAATAAGGAACCGTCGATTTTTTTTAAGTGTTCTAAGTGTTTTTTAATTATTATTTTTTTTTATAAATAAATGTACACGACTAAAACTAAATAGCTGTGTTGCGGTTTTAAAATATTGGATAACTGTGTTTAAGAATTATGGTTGCATTTACATTAAATAGACAGAATAATGTAATCCTGATTTTATTTGCAGTCGAATATCTCCAAATACTCACAATTATTATATTGTAAGCAAATTACATACATCTAAGTTTGGATTAGGAGAACGAACGTTGAAGTCTATTAAAAGTTTAATTCATTGGTACGAGTACTATAATTTTCACTTTAGTACGATTTCTAAACATTCATTCAAATGGTAAAAAGTATAATAAATAGTCTATTAAAACATATAAATGAAGTGTGAAACATCACTATCCGTCACAAGATAATATGACTTGTATTAGAAAGAACAGGGGTTGTGTGTGGTACCTAGCAAGGGTATCGCGTCAGAGACTTGTGGAAGTGTCTCCGCCACCAAATTCAGGAACACTGTCAGTGATAGCAAGATGGTCACTCCTGTAACAACCAATTTGTTTTTATGATCTAAAAATAAATTTGGGAAAAACATATCCTGATAAAAAAAAATCAAGTTTAGTTCAAAATTATATCATATTAGGTATATTATTATTTGCCTATGTATATAGCATGAATTATTAATAGTTGATATATAACAACATATTTATTTGTGTATGTTTGTTGTTTTTTTTTTTGAGGGTGGATATATATATATATATATATATATAATAACATGTCCAATGAAGTGGTTCCTCCAAGTACCAAATGACAATGACATTTGTCACCATGCAATCTGTTTGAACATGTATGCGTTTTTCATGATCCTACCTATTAGGGGAACCGCTTCGGACGTAGTTGGCATTGACTCGGCGACCAGGTTCAAAAATACTGTTAATGACAGTAGTATAGTAATTTCTGAAACGAACACTCCATTATTTCCATCTAGTGTGTCTTAAGCAGTTAATTAAGTGTTCTTTACGCAATAATAATTGCTTCTACGTTAATAGTTAATAAGTAGATTAAAAATTGACTAAAAAGTGTATATAATTTTCTGTTTAATGAAGAAACACTGAAAGCTAAATATTTACAATGATTGAATATAAAAAAAAAACAATTTTATAAAGGCACATCTTTATTCTGTAACCTCCATTCCATACATAAGGTTTTTTTAAAAAACATGTAATTATATATTTTAGACGATATACTGTACTTGAATCCATTATTGGCAATTGTATATTAGAAAAAACTGTTTAAATAGTTTGGGAACTATGATTGGTTTGAAAACTAAAAAACCGTTTAAAATACACAAAGACAGTAAAACCCACATACGTCGGAGATTCATCAGTCCTCGGGGACAAATCTGATGGTTATAGATTTTGTACCTCAGTCAAAGGATTTTTAAATTTTTTGATCCTCGTCTGTCATTCAATAACAATAGCGTATAGTACGCAATTATTACAAAAATAACTCCATTAATCTTTACGAAAAAATAGCTGCAAAACGTTCCTTGAAATTATTGTGAGATATCTACAAGCCTGAACAACTTTGTACCCTTTGATCGTGTTTAGTCGGGTGGTGATGAACAAATTATATCCATCTAGCTTCTTATTAAATCCATTTTTATCCCTTTTATTACTCACTCTCTCTATCTCTCTCTCTTTTTCTCAATATTTTTCCTATTCGTTTTTCCCGAATCCTTTGCCTGGTGTTGAACTGTAATAACATTTTTTCATTTTATATAATCGTTTATTGTGTTCTTACCGAGCGTGAGTTTTTCACCACAGTCCGGTGGCAGCGTAAAGCCCAAGAGGGCCATGGAAGAGATGAGCACGCACGGTACGATCAGGTTGAAGAAATAATATAATGTCCTCCGTCTGATCTTTATTTGGAACGTGATGTCCACGTACGGTTCTGGGCAACAGGCGTACATTATCACGTTCTTTTTCCCTGGCATACCTGAAAACATACAAAGTAGTAATGTTAGTGAAATTTCCCTTCAATGATTTCCTAACCTTTAGAGTTTCAGACCTATAGAGCTAACACAATTCGATTTTACAATAATAAGAATAATCACAGGTCGAGAGAATAGTATACAATTTTTCTCATTTTTGGATCCGAAAACTTATGTATCATATCGGTACATAATTAGTTAGAGACTTTCTGAAGAGAAATGTTTGAATTTTTAGTTTGGTTATTACATTTGTATAAACCTATTATACAAGATAATCACAATTAGTATTCAAAATATATACTTTTGCAAGGAGGGAGGGCAAGGGGTCAATTTATTGACTAAACAATGAAAAAAATATATAGGTGTAGAAAAATAAAACTAATCAAAGTTTATTATATTTTGTACGGTTATATAGTATTCATATAATAGTACTAATACAAAATTTTAAGTTCCTAAGCCTAAAATAGCTTTTAAAATCCAAATTATAAAATTTCTCTCGTTTTTCAAGTAAAAAAAAAATTGACGTCAGATTTTGTTTTATTCGGGGGTGAGGAAGTTGAATTTTTTTACTTTTGACCCTCCAAAGTACCATTCGCATACGATTTCGGATCTATAGAGCTAGGTTATCGTATTTACGACACAAAAAACACACACATTGTAAATCAAATAAGACAAAAAAATAACAAATATTTACCTAAAAGATACCATTCACCATTTGTTGTAAAATCTGAAAGGTCTCCGCCGTCCGATTTGAGCACTAAATCCAACTAAAAATAAAAAAACAAAACATAAAAAAAACATATGTATTAAAAACTTTTAAAAAATTGTTTTGTTATTTAATTATAATTTTATATTATCTTTTCTTTGAAAATTCAGCAATCTTAAATTTATTATATAAATATAATAATTGTTATCTGGGGTTTGATATTTTAAGTTCTAGACGATATAAAAATTATGTTTTATCCCGAATTAGACAACTGACAAGCATATATAAAGATGTAATAAAATTGCTATTCGCTGAAATAATAAAATAATTTTACTTTTACAATAAGTTATTCACCGATCCCCTTATCTAATTTTAATTTAGAATTTATTAAATTTTTATTTGGTTTTTTGAAAAAATAATATCTTTTAACAATTTTTGCACTCGCACTTATTTTTTTAACTTATTCATTAACTGTAGATGCGCTCGAGGAAAACTAACACTAGTTACATAAATGAAAATGATAAGTAAAATAAATCAGGTCACGAATATATATAAAATATAGAATGCTTTAATGTGTCTTGTTTAATTATGGGAAAAAAACATATTGGCCACGCTTGACTTATTATATGGTTTTTTTTTTATAATAAGTTAGTGCAACACTTTCAAGACATGTTAGGTTATTTAAATTAACTACTTTTTTATTTACTCATGTATACATTTTTGAAAATAAATCGAAAATATCATTTTTGAAAGTTGGACTTGAGTTAGTTTACCTCTGTACTAGGTTTAAAATAAGAAACGACCTCGGCGGCTATCTGAAAGCCATGTAAAAACCCGGCTATTAGGTAGCCGCCAAAGTAGCTTCTTATTTTGAACAGCGTATAGACATTAGCGTGTACTGTAAAAATAACAACCTGAAATCCGTTGTACGTCCAGCTACCGAATTTCATATCGCAGTGTTGGTCATCAAATGGAAACCACGTGATGTCGATTTTACAGGTACTCTTAAAAATACCCGGTGGTACCCACAGGCATGTACCGTTATGCCTCACAACCACGTTTGTTTGATAAGTTCCATCGAATTTCTCGTCGGCGCTGAATTGATATTCACGAACCAAATAAAAAAAAACAAAAAAATAAATATACAAAATATCTGTATAATTAATGTTTTTTTTTTTAAATATCAACATAATTTAGGTGTGTGTATTTGCATTGTAAGTTTTATACTCAATGTTTATATAAGCCCGGGTAAAACTGAATCTGTGTAATGCGCATTCGACTGATTCTTTTTTATTTTATTTTAGTTTGTTAGCGAGCGTCAAAAAAAATTGTTATTAATTAAATTAAAATATCCCATATTAGGTATATTATATAATTTATAAATTATTTTATTACTCTATTATGCCTACCTAATTATGTAACTTATTGATTAATATATTGTAAAAACAAGATTATGTTGAAACAATTAAAATATAATAAATTTAAAAAAAAAAGGTACATTATAACCTATTTTGGTTATAAATCACTTATAATGTTTTTTTAAAAATTATAGTTGTGATTTTTGATCTCTCGGTGTTCGGCTTTACTAAAGTTTCAAATTTGAATGAAGTGTGAACTAGTCCAAATTAGATAAAATTGAATTACCATTTAATAAGTGTTCATGTTCTACTTAATGTTCAGTTAAATCGATTCATGTGCATGCGTATTCGCTTGTTTTAAAAGTGTAGCTTATATAATCTACACTTGACTTACACACTATTTGCAATTATCATAGAAAATTCATACAGACCTGTTGTACATCAGGATGTCAGGTTTCCACAGACGGTTTGGATTAAACCTTAGGTCCTTGACACCACCATACTCGGATATGTTCCATCTTAAATTGTAGTCTACCCATTCCTAATAAATATATTATAATTAAAAATAACATTTTTTTTTGGTTATTGATATATTATGGTTAAAACTATGAAATTATGGTCAAATAAGCATTGGTTAATTAAAATTTGTAAACTTCTATGTTTACATGATAACAAGTACACTGCTTATTATTGGTACCACTTAATAGACCATAATAATTAACACTACCTTACGTAACTATTTAAGTTGTATTACTTATTCGTATAAATTTGGATAAACTTGTATATTATCATAACAAAGTTAAGTGTGAATATCAGCAAACGTAGAATTGAAAGTGATTTATTACGATGATGTTTTTTTTTTATACTACTCATTTTCTATTTCTTTACTTTCTTTATAAAAAATGTCAATTAAAAACGACGACGAGTTTTGCGTACTTATAAGTTTAGAGCGGTTGATTATTTTGCACAGATAAAAATAATACCATACATTGAAATATACACTATGTCTCTTCCTTAGCTCCGAATACGTTACTTACTTTAAAGTTAATATTGTCATTAAGTACACATAGTCAGTATATCGAATAAACAATGTGACACCCGTGATTGAGTAGGTATCCATAGTTATGTAGTTTTGAACGTTGAAGGTTAATACGCTTATACGACCGGCTTTATCCGTAAAAAATAATAATAAATATTAAAGGAACACAATTCATAAAATTGAAGAGTAGCAAAAGTGCGAGATTACACAGTTTTATAATGATTAGTATTAGTATTATGCGTTTCTGGAAATTAAAGCTTACATATTTATAGTTGAAATGTTTCTATGTGGATTAAGACATTTTACGGAAACATGATGAAAATGTGCCTTTTACTATAATAAATATTATTTTATAAACTACTATACATATTTAAAACTTTTCTCGTTATTTTTTAGTAACGTTTTGGCATAAGATTTTTAGGTACATTTTTTAAAAATAAATATTACAACACAGCAATTGGGATCAATAGGCGGTTAAAATAAAAATTAAAATAAAATTTATTACCCATACAGCAAATAACAAATTTTAAATTTAAATATATTTCTAAAGTAGATACTAATCTACCTATCGTCATTACCACATACAACCGACCAACTCCTACATACATTTTGTAACACTTTTATACTAATAAAGATAAACATATATAATAATTGAAAAAAACTGAGAAATTTTGGAAACAGGTTGAGTTTTGTAAATATTTTGGAAACATTGTTTTAAGTAGGTAGTAGCTTGTTTGATACAGATATTGTAGACACAACAGTAAATATGTCCCAGTAATAATTGTTTGGCGGGGAAACATGTCTTTTAGAGTTTAGGCTATACGCTTCACAGTTTATGCCCAAGTTATAGGCGTACATTATAATTCGTTGCACGATTTTGATTAACAAAAGTTTCATTTAAAAGATTGGAACAGAAATAATAATAAGGGTTTAGAATAATAGCAATACCTTAAATCAGTTTTTGGGTTCTTCATTTTGTACAGAAATTTTAAGTGCTGCATTGGCATTGGCATTATAAATAGCGGTTTCTATTATGTATTTGATTTTGGTATTCAGATATTTCGTATAGGTTACTGTTAAACCGTATGAATTGGATTAATAGTATTATTATGTCAATTTGTATTCTCGTTAAGCATAGCTTATCTGAGAATAGCGGACAGTTTTAATCCCTGTACGTTTATACAAATAATTGATACAATGGAACGTACAAGACCGTACTCCCAATGTGTATGTTAGTATGTCTTTGTATAAATGTTATAAATTATCAGGAATGTCTCAAATAAGTCAAACTATGTTGTATTAACAAAAGTGGTAGATTTTTTTTAATAACAAAAAAAAGTTCATTAAGTACTTTATTGTTAATTTTCCATACAACTGTAGAGATAAATTATGTATGAAAAATCCCCCCCCCAAAAAAAAAATGACTACCGAAAATGTAATGTAGTCATACAATAAAATATCCGTAAACTAAGCGAGTTAAATTTTAATCAGTTAAGTTAGTATGAAAAAAATATCAAGACACACGAAAGCATCGAACAGTACAAATATTGTAGTAAGTCAAATTAAACATTGGTTTGCTGTTTAACAAGTTTATTTTTGCACAATCCATCAACGTCACACGAGTGACTGGTTATTGGAAGCCATTTGCCCTATTATCTACCTACTATAGTTTTCCTATACTAATTCCTAAATAGAACCGAAAATCGTACTGAAAATTAAATTAATCATTACATTCAAGGTAGTCAGAAATTAAAATGGATTTGTGGAGCTTATCGTTGAGTTATAAAAATGACTATCTAAAATGAATTATAGTCTAATATTCTCTTTTATTATTTGTATTAAACAATCTTTACAATTTTTATAGATTTAAAGCACACGCCGTCTGCTTATTAAAAAATATTGTTTAGGCATTATAACCGAAAAAATGACTTGAAGCTAGAACTAATAATGATGAGTATAATTTCCTACCTATTTATATAAAAATGAATGTCTGTCTGTCTGTCCTTTATGCATTAGTACACCATTCATCCGATCGCCATGAAACTTTGGGAAGTTGTTGAGTACACTTCCGCGAAGATAATTGGCATAGTACTTTTTGAAAATTCCACCCCTAAGGATGGCCTCAAACACGAACTTTGTACTTTAAATACGAAATATTTTCAGTTGCTAAGCCAAAATAAACACTTGGTTTGTAACCATGGTACTCGAGCGAATGGTAGGTGATGATTAAAGGATCAGGCCGATTCTATGCACCACGATTCTGGGCAAGCTTTTAACTGTTGGAACGGGATCTGGGACTGGGATAAGGCCCTTGAGTAAGAGGAGGACATAATAACTGAAAAGAGTGTCACAAAAACGCTGTCACGCTGTTATCTCTTAAGAGATAAGAGATTAGAGATGAGGGATTGAAGGTGGGAATGGGAATTATTTTACTCAGCCATGGCAAACTAAATCCCGGGCAACGCCAGGTCCGGACAGCTTGTAACTTATAAAAACGTTAATGGATCTTAATTCTTAGGCAAACGATATTTGTATTATAATTTTATTTTAATTTTTTAGAATAATTAATACGGTATTAGTTATTACACTTGTTTTTAAAGCTAATTGTTCTATTTTATTTATCTATTTTATTTTTTTTAAATGTTTTTTTAAAGAATTTGTCTTTTGATCTCAAGGGATCCAGGATATTTTTGGTTGTATTATGACATTGTATGGTAAATTATATACATAACTTATTTTAGAGTTATCTGCATCTAAGTGTTCAGTAAATAGAATTTAAATAAAATGGTGATTCTTTTTGGAAAGCAATTTTTTAACATGGACTTATTATTGGGCTGGGGGTCAATCGGAAAATCTGTATAAACAGGGTGTATTGTAAAGTTCTACCGAGCTTCAAATGAAACATTCAGGATGCTCTATGAGTACAATAAATTATATTTTTTTTTTTTAATTTTAAAATTATTTAAAATAGAACTCGTATCTCATTAAAAAATTGTCTAATGAAGAAAATAATTTCAGATTTGAAATCAAGAGAAAAAATGTATGTAACATGTTTTTCGGTATCTGGCCACATATACGTCCACAGGGTGGCCACTAAGTGGCCAGCATGTGACTAAAACCAACATATGGCATGCGACACATCATTTAATATAAAATAATTATTTAGACCCCACTGAATTGAGAATAAAATTCTAACCTGAAATAATGTATCATACGCCATTTGTTGGTTTTGGTCACATGCCAGCCACTCAGTGGCCACTCGGTGGACGCAAGTTTGGCCAGATACCAAAAAATCATGTTACATATTAATTCAACAATATTTTTTCTCTCGATTCCAAATCTGAAATTATTTTTTTCCTACAACAATTTTTTAATAAGATACGAGCTCTATTTTAAATAATTTTAAAATTAAAAAAAATATTAATACCATTTATTGTGCCTATAGACCATCCTGAATGTCTCATTTGAAGCTCGGTAGAACTTTACATTACACCCTGTATAAAGATAAGAGATGGTGGATTAGAGATATGAGATTACTGATTAGACACTGAACTTTTTACCTATAAAATAATGTTAATAATAACACAGTCCAAACCAAATACAGAAGAGTTAGCAAAGTAGGGTGTAAGCATTTATTAAATATGAATGTGATTTTATCACAAAAAAACGCTGTGATGTGAATCTAATTTTTAAAAAACTAGAATAATTATAAAAAGACCAAATTATTATAACAATATATGTATCTGTCAAGTTAATAAACTTATTGAATTATTAAAATTATAACTAGTCGTATAATTTCAACCAAGACACTACGCGTAGACCTCTATAATATTAGTGTTTGTTGAAGGGGTTTAAAGCCATTTAGTTCTCTTAGTAATTTTATTGCTACTTTAATAAAATTTAAAAGTGAAATATATTATGGAATTCAAAATATAACTCTAAATAAATACTCTTAGTTAAATAATCAAACAACAAAAATAAACATAACATATTTATCGACTAAAATAGTATTTTATTAAATTAATTTAAATGTAACTTTATACCCATATTTTTGGTATGTTAGTTTTTATAACAAAAAAATCGAATTACAAGAAATGTCTTTACTGCTTTAAATTTCAGATACATTTTTAAAAAAATGAGAACTCAATGTCTTACAGTTTTATAAGTATTTTTTGCTAGAATAATTATACTATATTTTTTATGACACTTAAGTTTATATTGCCATTATTATTTACCAGATTTATAAAATATTTACCTTTATAAAACTAAACAAAATGGGCAAAACGCCGAACTACTTACATCTGATGATATTTTTTGAAAACATGCTATACTGCTTCAGCCAAGTTACGTGTAATTTAATGGCTTGTTGCCAAAAAAAGGCACTTAGAAAAGATAGTAATTTTAATTGGGTCCTACACTTGTCAGGTTACATTTTCACAAGGTATTCAATGTAATTTTATGTCATCAGTTTGAAATAAGCATAGCGTTTTTACTTTGTTTGCAGTGAGCAAGAGTCGAATTCATTTTATTTTAAATACTAGAAATTTTATGCTTTGGAATATTTAAAATGATTACCTTAATACATTTATATTCCTTACGCTTTTCATTGCCTGCTGTAGGCACCAAAGATGATCGTATTTTAGGTTTTTTTGAAATAATTGAATGTTTTGAACTTAATTGTGTATTAAATCAAAATAAAACTATCGTATCATATTTAATTTGTATTTTATTAATATTATTAATTATAGTTAATTTACTAAACTAGCATGTTCTTCGTTTTAATAATTAAATGCATAGGTTACTTTTATTTAAAAAATATAAATTCCGATAGAAATATATGATAATGTGTACAAAACTTATCGCACATTTAATTAAATTTTTTACTATGTATATATAAATATTTTTGTAAAAAATGTGTATACGTATTTTTAAAAAAGGAAAAATTAACCACACATTTTTTTAAAATCACACTAGTTTTTTAAAAAAGCAAAAAAAAAAAAGTACAGATAAACATCTGTTTAATAATTATTGTCTTATGAACAACCTTAACGTTTAACCATTTGTTTTGATATTTTATCGGTAAATAACAATACTTAAAAGAAATATAAAACTAAACATTTTTTTTATTACTTACCATATTCAACCAAGCATTTGTTATGACAATTTGGTTTTTCTCGTCCTGAAAATGTTACAGTTTTGTTATATTGGTTTCATTGTAAGAATTTATATTAACACATTTTTATGATATAGGTCATAGAAATATGCATACCAAACACGTACAGTTTAAATTTTTAGTAAGTTTTAAAGAAATGAATGCTGCAATCGTTAAAAATTATTTAACTTATATACTGGTTTGTTAAGTCTTAATGTTAATACTATTTTTTTTTAACTACCTTTTCATAAAAATGTTAACTAATTTTGTAATTTTTTTATTATTATTAACGTTCTAGAGTTTATGAATGCAAAAAACATTTTGCTACTTTATCACGTTTCCCATTTTAAAATATGCTAATGTTTTTAGTTCTTTTATATTAATTAATATAGTAATATTTTTATTTGACTACGTAATGAACAGTGTAATGTATTTGAACATAAATTATTAAACTTAAAAGGCTAATGCCTAATTGTATATTAAATTCATAGATTAATATTAATATTATGTGTTGTGTTACTTATACTATGTCCGTGAAAGTAATATTAAGTGGCTTATTAAATTATAATATTTATAGGTTGTGTACCATATAAATTTAGTATGTTCGCAATAATATATTTAATAGTTTTATGTTTATTAATTGTTCCAAACAAAATAAGATAAGGCTTCCAAAATTAGAAGTCACTGCACTTATTTTCCACTGCACTGAATTATATTTTATTCTTACACAATTTTTGTGACAACAAATACAGAATATGTGAGTAAAACAAATACTCATCGGTAAAAATGATATAGATAGAGAATAATAAAATAAAAATTTATTACTATCCCTTCTGAGGTAAGGACTAATTTGCTACGGTTTATTTTATTTGTTAGTTACTTTTATGGTAACCTCTTTATTATTGTAAAATGTTTTTCTATAAAAGCATACTTTTACGCCATAGCGCGTTTGTTCTTTTTACATTTTCGAGAATTGAATAATTGGCTTATAATGATTGCCCCACTCGTGCATTATTTATAATTAGTTACGTGCTCGGCGTACAAAAGTACATAGTATAGCACCATTGCATTCTTCTTTCATATTTTGTGACGATATGTAATTAAAATTATATAGTGTACAATATACGAACCACGTCAATTATTTGCTGCAGTGTAATTCCAAACGTAACTTCCAAGGGATCCGATTCGTTTGATACTGGCCTTTCCAGAGGATTGTATTCCATTAGTAGCTCATCCAGAAGCATTCTTTCATATCTGCCTTGTACACTTTCTAAAACACAATATTAAAAAATAATTCTAAATAATTATTGATTCACTATTATGTATATACAATATGTTTATTTAAATTTTAACTATATTTCATACTACTAATTATTATTAATAGTTTCCAAATAAAAAAATAAGATAAATAAATGAGATACATAAAGTTAACAGTGTTTTAAATACGAAGAAAACAAATAGAAGAATAGTTTACATTATTACCTGGTTTAATAAACTAATAATTGCCTGTATAAACAAATACGTCAGTGGTGGTAAGAGAGGAGGTAGTGCGATGTCATCAGATTTTAATAGCATTCGCAAATATAATTCATAAGCACGCGCCCAAGTCTAACTTCAGAAATGATATCTTTTAAAAACGCAATATACTGTCAATGGAATTTTATCGCGTTACAACATAATTATTATATTTAATGTAATATTCTACATTTCCAGTGGTTGGAGACATAAATAATTTGAAAAATACATTTACAATGTGTGCCTTTATATTGGATGTACTATGTTAAAGCACTCGTTAATCATTCAAAAAGCCATTATCCCTTGGTTTTTTTTATTAAATAGTTTTTTCGCCTGATGTCAACGTGGGACGTGGGTAACTGTGCCATTTCATTTGAATCTTTTATGTATCCTGCAAGAAAAGATGTAAAGAAGTATTGTCAATTTATTGCGTCGTTCGTACTCCGATAAATTATTGTATGCGCCTCAAAATGATTAAAAGAAAAACAAAAATTGGAAAAGTTTTAAACTTTACATGATTGCTATGCAAGTGACTACTTAGAAACTGGATGTGTACACGGATAACGCGATTTAAACTCTAACTACCCATACAAATATAAAATATATAGAAACAATATCAATTAAAGTTTTAGTTCATCCATTCAACGTCTACGTACTTATTAGTTTAATTGAGGCGCCTAGAACACATTTTATTGATTTCAAGAAAATCAAGCTCAAAGTTTATTTCCAAATGGCGTTTCCGTTTAGGGGTTAGGTGATTTGCTACCAGATCGCAGCCAATGATGAATAATTCACTTATTTATTTTTACCACCAAATAAAATGGACAATTTGTAGTTTAACTGTGCACTTAACTCAGATTTTGTAAAAATGTCACTTATATACCCCTTGTGTTCTAGGCGTCTCAGTTATTATGAAATTTAATAGCTCACATGGAAATGTAGAAATCTGATGTCTGTAGTTTTCCCGAGTGGAATTATTAAAATTAATGGATCACTCAGTCACATTTATTATGCTGAAAGTTTTGAAATAAATGTCAGACGTAGTATTGTTTTTTTTTCATGTTGTGGCCCACTTGGGTACGTACCGATTTATGATTTTGTATAATATGAAATCAAAAATAGCGGAAAGTTAAAAGGTTTTTGATTTTAAGCTGCGTAGGTGAAAAAATATAAATATATTTACATAAAAAGGGTGAAAAAATTAATAATATTTCCATATTGAGGTTTTTAAAAAAAAATATTATATACGGATATAATACGACCAAAAAATGATGTTTAGAAATGAAATCGCACAGTTTAAAAACATATATTAATGTATAATATAATATAACTTGTGAGTGACAAATAAACGGTAAGCTGAGCTAACAAGTATTGTTCTACGAAAACTATTATTGTAACTACACGTGTTAAAATGTATACAGAGTTTATTTTCCCCATTAGACTAACTATGACAAAATAAATTAAAACGGTCAATACAATTTATAATAATTAATTTAAAAGCTGGAAAACGTGAAAGGTTACAGTTGTTAACGCTAGTGGGTTGCTCACACATTTTGGTAAATACTATAAGCTCTTTTGGGAAAAACCAAACTCTTGGCTGCGTAATATACCAAATCTTCATGCCACGTTTTTAATGTAATAATTTGGCAAAAGTTTGGTAACGCGTGCACATGCTCGAAAGCGTTAACGACTTTTGCTGGGTCCTGTGTATCATATTATGCTATAACACATTTTTTTGTCAGTGAACCATTTTTAATAACTTTTTAATTTTAAACTGAAGTGGGGTCGCTGGACTCCTTCTTTTATCAGGTATTCATGTTAAGTTAACATTAATTTATCTAATTTGCTTATTGTATTGTATGCTTTACGTTTTTCGTTTTTACTTTAAACTCATAGCTTAGTTTAACTTCGATGCGAAGCTTATAGAAGGTATTGATTTTACAATGTAAAATGTGAATTTATTATGTGTGTGCTATTCTCGTGTTAGTAATTTTCAAACCACTGGACCGACTTAATCGAGTAGCACGTCGATTAGAAATCTATCTGGAATGTACCTCGGGGGCCTAAGAAAGGATGAAAAATGCGGCACATTTTCCTCCGTCCTTCTCGTCTATATTTTTGCCAATATACAGTATAACCTAACTTAACGTGCTAACGAGACGCGTTACAGGTCTGTACTTTAATACTGAAGACTTTATGAGCATTTCTGTAACCACATCTAATTGGGAAATAAAACAGTTTTCAAATAAACGGCTGAACAACTAAATTTGATGGGAAAACAAAATGCCAATGAAAGTATCTCATCCGTTCTGGGCGTTATTATTTTCCTTTATAAAAAAAAAAAAAAAAAAACAATATTTCTTATCCCTTTACTTACTGCTTTGACTATAACCATTTGCAGTGGTTCACAGCTGCGTGCGGGTTTTGGATTGTCGGAAACAACAACTAATTAGGTGAGTTATTAATCGTGGTCTTGTGCCGTTTGATCGGCGGGAACGACAACGATAACAGCCAAAGCGCTAACGGTGTGGTGTGCATTTATCATTTGGACAATTAACGGCTCCGTACGGGCGTGACTATTGATTGGCACCACTGCCGGCGGCACTCTTTCGCACGATGTTTGCCGAGCATGTGTAAGATTTGAGCGGGTCGAGTTTAATTACAGGCATCACAGCCACACCGCCGACAATCGTGACTTTTATCAGCTTTTCTTTGGCTTCGAGACGGTCCGACTTTCTCGACACGAAAATAATTTATTACGAGTATCCGAGTAAAAGTTGTATCAAGGTAATAAATAATGACTTAATGTAGCAAAAAAACAGAAGGGAAGTGTACAAAAAAAAATGTTGTCCGATAAAATTGTCCCGCGGCGCTACTCAGCAGGATCACGGACGACGTTTGTAGTAAAAAAAAAAAAAAAAATATTTATATAATTTGAATATTTTTCTTTTCCCTCGCGCATTGTCTCCGGTATAATACGCTAAAATACCACGGTGTTAAAGTCTACGCTGTCTAATTTACTTAACGCTGGTTTCTTTTATTTAATTTTTTTTTTATTGACTCGTAGAAAGAAAAAAAGATGTAGAACAAATTCTGATAGTCATCAAATCCGTGTGAGCTACAAAAGTCGCGTTAAAATAATTTAACGGCGGTGAGCGTGAAATGCGTTGGTCGTTCTAGAACGAGCCGGCGATTCTCTATTTGATTATCTTTTCATTTTGTTGACTCTGAACCAGGTACAATAATGGTTTTCGCCGCCGTTGTTTAGTGCAGTTTCGTCGCTACAGTATGGTGCGGTGTGATTTTATGTCGGTCGCGTCAATAGCGCCAGGTCACTTTGCCATGTTGTCGGAGGCGTCGTTCGATTTCAATTTATAAGAATCCCATTTTGTGTCCAGTGGCTGCCCATTTTCTAATTCTATTAAATTCTATTAAACGCAGTCACTGTGGCAGCGGGTCAACCGGTAAAATCGTCCCCTTTAGTGGACGGCGCGGCGGTTGTTACCATTACCATAGCGTATACCGATTTTTGCCCGTAAGAAACGTTTGATTGCGACGTTTCTAACAACAGGCAAAATGTTCTCTACAAAGGGCGTCCGGTCGCGTTGCGTTGCTCATACGCTTAGTTCGAGTAAATAAAAATACCGCCACAGATTTTAAATATTAAATACTCAATGAAGTTTTTTATTTGAAAACTTTTATTATTATTATTCATGATTGATGAACATAACGTTGTCGTTCGGAAAAGAAACTAAAAGTATCCCTCGAACAATAGGTGAAAAAATATTTTTTATAGTAGTTGTTATCCGACATAAAGTGATTTACCTAACATTTTTCTACCTCTTAAAAACAAAAAAACTAATTACAATTCAATCTATTAGAGGGAATAAAATAATATCGGTTTTGTTTAATCAAACGACAGTCATATTGTGTAGTGCTGATGTGCCCATTGCTGCTTTATACCGGATGGGTGACCAGTAGTGGTGGGACTATTCGAATAAAAAAAATTCGAATATTAGAATACTTTATTCGCACGAATATTTGTTATTCAAATAACGAATATTCGAATTTTTTATTCGAATATTTTATCATTTTCTTTACAGGATTAATTAGATTTAAAAAAAAATAATTAAGAGACAACTAAGGTGTCCTTGATCTATATTTAATAATTTTTTAACAAAATAAATATAATTATTACGAATTATTCTTTTGACAAAATAAATATTATTACTTGTTACAAAAAAATAAGATTTTAACAATTTATATAGATATATAATTACAAAAAACATAAATTTGACAAAATATTCGAAAATTCGAATAATTTGAATAATAGAAAAATTCGATTCGAGGTCTCATCTCTAGTGACCAGTCGGGATTTTTAACGGCGCGCGTCCCATTCCATGCCCCCACCGCACGTGTTCCACACTTACACAAAACCAACAACTAATGGCCAAAGTTGCCTAGGAAAAAAAATAACAGTAAGTTAAAATATTCCCATCACCACAAAAATGAGCGTATAGTATTTTAGTTGTGGACGGTATTTTTAAGTACTCAATTATTTTGTTACTTAACTTAATAACTACAAGTTTTGTTCAACATTTTCTAGATTAAGAACGATGGATAATATTTGCTTTTTTGCAAAATGTTCTATGTATATTTATACTGTATTATAATAAATTGTTAAAAGTCATTATTCATTAGTTGTCAAGTTTTAGTTTTAATTGGCAATTTATTGATTTAGTTAAAATACATAAT